CGTACTTCTCAGATGCCTTTGCCGACAACTGAATCTAGTGGTGCAATGACCGATGCTTCAAAGCACAGATTTGAGGATGCAGAGTTTGAGGTCGACACAGAGCTAGATTGGGTGGTTGGAAGTAGTTTCATGGAGCCCGTGGGAGGCACCGAAGATTTGGCCACAAAGGCCTTGCTTCCAGCTGGTATTACAAATATGGCTATGTGGGGAAAGACCAAGTTTGCATTTGGAAAGTATAAGGAAGAGAAGAAGAGTTACAAGACTGTCTTCGAGGAAGACCCCAGCTATGTTTCATGGTGTCGAAAACACTTGACCAAAGACTCAGCGAAGGGTCCTGCCTGGGATTGGTCCAGGTACATTAAGGCCCGAGATTTGGTGGACTGCAAAGCGGCTAATGTGCCATTCTATGCAGGAACTACCTTGCGTCGAGAGTTTTGTGAATGATGACACTGTGATGGTGGTTGGATCTATACAGGATCTCATTCTATGTGGACAACTGTAGTTTGCAGGATTGTCGAACTGGATGAGTGGTCACTATGTAGCCCTTCGGCTAAGGGCACCCTTATGTATTGGCCTGTCGAGCTTGGGCGATATGTGCTGAAGTCTGGATGGGTTACAGCTATACATGGAATGGAGTTCATCTCAAAAGGGGGTGTGAAAATTTCCGACATCCGTGAGATGAATCCATTGGTCTTTTCATTGGTCTTTTCTGCATTGGAAGAAGTGAATTTGGTTTTCACCTTGATGGTGAGCTCAACCGTGATGGTTGACATCGTATTTGCACGTTTCATGTTTTGCACGTTTTATTGGAGATGACGAAACCCAACAACGATATATTTTTCGTCTTCTTTGAGTACTTTGATTGCACGGAGAACATTGTGAGGATTTGAATTTGTATAGTGACATGGAAAATCAAACCATTTTCCATACCTTTTGCGTTAGTTGTCGTCGACGAAGTGCACGAAGGAATCGTGAGAAGATCGTAGAATTCATTTTGTGACTTCGGAAGAAGGAACTTTGTTTGACATTGATCGGAGAAGTTTAGTTTGTTTTGTCTCTCAATGATGATAGCGAGAGCAACATTCTGAAAGGCATTCAGAACTGGAGTTGCTAACAGATCTGAGGGAGACATCATGAATCATGTTTTGGTGCTTGAAATGTTTCAACGTTTTTCAAACACTCAAACTTATTTAAACAAACAAACCATGTCTTGATGTAAAGACTTTTTGTGAAGACATGTGTTTTTGATCGCTTTTGTGAAGTTGGCAGAAAGATGCTAACTGGCGACTCCGCATCATTTTGTGTCAAGGCGTGACACACCAACAAGAACCATAGCGACATGAGCAAGACATTTCTGTGCTTGTGTGTTTGGTAAAAGTGGCTGAGCTCTGGGAGTGTTTGACTTGGTTGCGTGGACGGTCTTTTAGTGTGTTAAGGACGACGTCCTGGACGCTGACCCAAGTAAGTCTAGAATTTTCGAAGGCTGTTGGCCTTGCGCAGTTTTTGAGGGTATGGTATCCATAGTGGTAGACCGCCAACGTTTGAGCCATTCCAATCATCCCAGCCATGTCTATGGGGGAGACAATGTAAGTGTGTCGGATTGCTCTTGTCAGCGCCACTGTGGCCCTCCCAAAACAATCTTCCCTGTCTTCTAGGGAGGCACCTCGACGGCCACCGCTGAGGAATCCACACCCTGTCTGGACAACAACTGCGATTCGGGCGGTTGCACCCGCCGCTGAGGAGGTTGTAGCTATTCTGAGGCCTCCAAAGTGGCACTCTCTGGTTATCAAAGCGACTTGCCACAAGCTCTTTTGCAGTCAAAGTTGTCAGTACAACTCAAAGTTCAAGCAGTAGATGCGCCAACAGTTTTACCCAAAGGTTCAAAACTGTTGCAAGTCATGCTGTTTGTTGCCGCCTTCATGTCTGAAAAGGGGAATTTTTGCTTCGGAGCAGCAGATTTGTGAAGATGACCGTAACCGTATTGTTTCAATGTGTCAGGCGCCTGATGTTGACAAACAAGGTCATTGCGAAACTCAACTGTGGGGAGTGCCTTGGTCAGAAGACCAGTTCATTGAGCAGATGGTGAAGTTTGGGCACCCAATGGCTGTGAAATCTGGATTGCCAGAAGTTCTGCAATTGACAATTGAATTTTACAAGGAAAATAACTTGCAGCAGCGGTTACAGTATAGAGCCTCCAAGTTGGGTTTTTGGTTGAGGCGCCTTGTTGACCTCAAGGAGCAAGAGGTTGTGTTGAAGTCGTCCATGGACGCTGAAGTTGCCCAGATCCTCAAGGACAAGAACATTTTGGTTTGGGAAGAGATGCTTAGATCAGTTGACGACCCTGACATGGGTGTTGTTGAAGAGTTGCGTGGTGGCACAGATCTTGTTGGAGCTGTGGGTAAGACGGGCTTGTGGCCCACCAAATTCCAGCCGGCTCGGGTTACTTTGGATGAGCTTCACGATATAGCAATGAAAGCCCTCCCATTCGGCTCGGTGAGGTCAGTGCACGCATTCTTGCGTATCTCTCAAAGCTTGTGGTTTGTCTTGGTCAAAGAGTTGAAGGTCTTGTTGACAAACTACTTGGATGATTTTGTGGCAGCATCACCAGATTCAGAGTGCAACTCCATTACTTCTTGCGTACACATGTACTTCCAGCTTCTTGGTTGGGCCTTCTCAGACTCTGGTGGCAAGGCTCACCCTTTTGGTAATATGTTTCATGCTTTGGGTGTAGCTATTGATGTGTCGACACTGCATACCGGACTTGTGAAGGAACTGATCGAGTTCTTGGATATGGTGATCGCACGAGGTCACATGACAAAGCAGGAAGCCTTGCGATTGAGGGGCAGGCTTCAATTCACTTCTGGTAATGTTTTTGGAAGGGCTGACAAATGTTCACTTGCAGCCATCTCGAACCATGCTTACTCTTCAAAGGGAACCTTGCTTTCAGGTGATGCGATTCTCGCTATGAAATTACATAGTTGTTTGTTGCGTGACGGGCGTCCGAGGGAATTGAAGCCATCATCAGCCGCGTCATGGTTCATTCAAACAGATGCTTGTTACGATACAGACGGTGCCAATGTTACTGCGGGAGTTGGTGCAGTGCTATTCAACCCCGCGGAAAAGCCAATCCTGTTTTTCTCTCAGAAGCTGCCTGATGAGATGGTGTCAGTACTCAATCCATCAGGCAAACAAACGGCAATTTTGGAGTGTGAATTCTTTGCATTGTTTTGTGCCTTCTCGCTCTGGGGTGAACGAGTTACGAATGCAGGTGTCATCTATACCGATAACAACGGTGTTCGTGATTCCCTTATTTCTTGCGTCTCTAGAAATGTAACAACCAGGAAAATCCTCATTGCGACAATGGCACTGGAGTGCATCTGCCAGCTCACACCGTGGTATGCAAGGATCCCCACGGATTCTAACCTTTCAGATGGACCATCGAGATTTTGCTGCCAGAAAGTTTTGAGCATGGGCGCTGAGGAATGTTTTCTTGATGTCTCAGCCAGCTGGGACAAGATGGTGGCACTCTATGAAAGTTGGGGGGAAAAACAGGCCACCGAGCAACCCCAGCTTTGAAAAAGGCGATGCAGTGTTGTGCACAGCATTTCATCTCTGTGCAACTCTTGACAGTGAGTACAATGTTTGGCATTGCAATCATGTTTTTGGTCCAGCAGCGGTTGGAAAGGTGATAATGTAGCTGTCAAACATGATACCGACTTATCACCGCATGCAAGATGTGGACGCACATCAGCTGCTTGGTTCAAACGGTTGTTTGGGAACGTGTGCTACAATTTCATGTCCATCTTCAACGCACTCCATGTCACTTCAAGTTCTTTACACTCAACAATGTCATGCTGATTGTGGTCAATCATGTTTTCTTTTTTAGGTGAGTTGCAAACTGCCCCACCCTCTGCCACCCTTGGCAGTTTGCAGCTCACCGTTGGCTCGTGCAACCTTTGTCAAACACATTTGGTCTCTGCCTTGACTCATCCAATGCCTTCGCTTGAAACTCCAAGCGTCGTATGCCTTCGCCTAAATATTAGGCGTCGTGTTGCAGGATGGCCAAACCCTGCAGCCTGAAAAACAGGCCGCCGAGCAACCCCAGCTTTGAAAAAGGCGATGCAGTGTTGTGCACAGCATTTCATCTCTGTGCAACTCTTGACAGTGAGTACAATGTTTGGCATTGCAATCATGTTTTTGGCCCAGCAGCGGTTGGAAAGGTGATAAACATGTTTTACGATCGGTGCAACCAGTAATTTGCATATTTTTGCGTCAAAGGAATTTTTGTGTGTCAGAACTGTTGGGTGTCACAACTTTGAAACGGGTTTGCGATTGGCATTCTTGATGCCCGTGTCATTGTATACATCACAAACGTTACCAAACAGACCACTGGAGATGACATGACTGTTCAGATGATCGGGCATATTTTTTTATAAGTGAAATAATTTGATGCACGTCCCAAGGATTCAACATTTTTCGATGGCAATGAATTTGCATTTTTTGCATAAAACACACGGAATTGCTGGGAAACATTTTTTTTTGTGAAACCCAATCCAAGTACGATTGAAATAAATCATGCATTTTGTTTGACAGTTCATCGTTGCCAAAATTATTGCCGAGAACATGATTCCTACCCCAGCGGATCAATGACGACAAAAACTATGCAGCGAAAACACTCCAACACCAAAATACCCCCAGGGAATTAGGTGAAACCAAGTGCAAAAATAGAAACACACATTTTCATTCATGTTGTTGTGCCACAGTTTTTCCAAAATCACATGTTCGATCCATTGCGTTTGTTCTTTATTTAATGAACATTCACAATTGACCTTTATAGTAAGTGATCGTTCATCGCCACAAATATTGATGGTTTACAGCCGATGACTATGACCATTTACCAAAAAAAATGGTCCGAATTCACCAAATTTGTCATGAATTTCACCATTTGATGACCAGATTTCAGCCAATGACTCGTGTTGACACCTGATCCCTTGGCAACCCCCGGCGCGACTGCTGCGCGTCATGTCCAGAGAAGGGACGCCGGCGGCGTCGCCGGTGCCGCCGGCGGCGTCGCCGGTGCCGGCAGAGCACCAAGTGGATGATCATGGGTTGGCACAGAGGCCTGTTTTTCTGTCTAAAAGTGGGATATACCCACAGTGACAGCCATGTTTTACAGTAATCATTTTTATGGGGAAAATGATGAAAAACAATGAAAAATAGATGATATACTGGAAAACAATGTAGAGTTGCTATTGTTTATGATTGATTGAATTGGGTATTATGTATTATGATGATAATAGGTATTGTTGCTATAAATTATTTTGGAAAGTGTGTCAACGAATGAATTTATTAGTATTATTATCATCATTATTATTAATATTATTACTAGTGATATTCCTATTCCTGTTCCTATTCCCATTCCTATTACTATTGTTATTGCTATTGCTTTTACTACAACTATCGCTATTGCTATTATTTTTACCCTTGCGATTGCTGTGAATCATTATCAGTAGATTATTAAGCCATCAAGGTGACATGGGTTAGCCAGGATTAGTGTTTCATCATTGTTTCATCAGTTTGTTCTCTGTGAAAATTGCCAGTAGTTCGACTCAGAATTGGGATGAACTGCCCCATCAAAAACGATTGACAGTCTTGTTTCACTGGGCATAAATTGAGGGGACATTCATTGTTTTGAGGGGAACCCATATGGGTATGGATCAATACCTATAGATACAGTTTATTAGGGGATGAACATCCATTTACCAGCTATTTTGATGTTCACCAGGGGTACAAGGTTTTGACACACTGTCATATTGCTCCATATTGTGTTTCCTATTGATTTACCCTCTCTATATGGTCAATAGAAACATCTATTGATGGCTATCCCAAGAATTCCCCACTGCAATTCCCATTGTGAATATATAGTCCCCATCATATCCCCAAATGAACATTTCCTAGAAGCCTTTCGGTTGATGTTTTTTTTTTTCGGTTTTATACTAGCCAATATATTGAGGACTATCAGAATCCATTATGGCAATGCCCATCAACAATCCACTAAAATGGAATCGTTTTTTTTTCACGCTGATTCCTAGCAACAGTGATAATTAAGAACAAGTAGTAGTAATAAACATGATGATCATACATCAACAGGCTTTATAGTATTATATAAAATTATATACTTATAATGTTATTATAGTGTATTTTTACCGTATTCATCCACTATAGCAGCTACAGTTAGGTGTTTTTTAAGCTGGGCCTGCCATGGAAGGGGAACTTTCCCGCCAGGATCCAGCAGGTCTTTGACCGCTTCGATAAAGATGGCGGTGGTTCATTGGACCGGACGGAGCTACAGCCACTGGGTCGCAAAGCGGAACGGATGGAACGGATGGAACGGATGGAACGGATGGAACGAATGGAACGGATGGTTGAAAAACAACAAGAAAAAACTGGCAAAGAATGACAAATGTGTCGCCTGAGGTCAGTTTTCAAGACTTTGTGTCCATCTTTCACCTCCAAACAAATCACGCAGTATGTGCACGAGCTTGACAGAGGCTTCCGAAGTTGCATGAAACATTCTGAAACCATAGATTTTGCTTGAAGCAAACCTGCAGGTGGCGATGGCTCAGTTTCGCACTCTGAATTCATTCATTGGATCAAAAATGGAAGCCAGGACCCAAGGTTTACAGCAACTCAGCTGAAACCCAGCTGCTTCGCCCAGGTTTTTTTCCTGTGTTTTCCCTTAGGTGGAGCCGCAACTGAAGTGTACAAGATGATCCTGAAAGAGACAGGAGATGCGATGTCTGCTCGAGTCAGAGAAGTGTTTCAAAGGCGCAGCCTGAGACAATCCACTCATTTTGGGCATTCTATGGCATTCTCATATGTGGATGGATGGCGATGATTGCAGTGGGGCTTATAGTGGGGATAAAGGGGATGATACGAAGGCAATTGTGCAACACATGCTGCGATAGTCTTGTCTTGAGGGTTTTCGACTTCAAACCTACTTCCCGTGTAACACCTTGATAAGCCTCGAGGAAGAAGATACCAGGGGTGCTCCATTTTCTTTCATTTTTTGGACGTGAGTATGAGTATGGGTCAAAAGTATTGACGCCAGTGTGCCAGTGGGCCAATGTTGTTGGTCCACTGGCACCCAATGCTTGACCCATACAAAAATGTGGGGATGGGTATACAATGCCATAAGCATGCAGCCATGCATCCATTGACTAGCTTCTGTGCTCACCAGGGGACAGGGTTTTGATCCTACATATCGCATGGCCGACGACACGGTTGCAGGTTTGACTCAGATGGTGGCGGCTATTTGGACCGCGATGAGCTCGCACGAGTTTTCCGCACGTCCCATGGCCCTGAAAAATTGCCCAGTCCTTTTAAAAAGGGGTTGTGGCGCTTGTCTTACAGGATCCCGCTATCAATGGTGAATGGATGGCTTTCGACGATTCCCAGGAAATCAATGATGTTTTCCAATCCATTTGGTTCTTCCACATACAGAATCTTTCCAAGTTTCGCCGGCAGATTTCGCTCAGGTTGAACTCGGATTTTACCTTCAAAGACGTTGACGTCTTATGCAAAGACCTGGACAGAGGCAACGGTGGCAACGTCGCGACGTGGCGTCGAATCGACACCCGTCCAGAGTCTGTCCCCAACCGCGTCCTTCGGCCAGGTGGCGATGGAAAGGTCTCCCACAAAGAATTCCTGCATTGGCTGAAGAAGGGCAACGATTTGACTCAGGCACTGTACCGCAATGTCCTGTGGTTGGAAGATGTCGACAAAAAACAAGAGCAATGGATATTGTACAACAGCAATGAACACGGGATGTTGAAAGATGTTTGTTGACGCTGTGCATTGTTCCGCCCTGCAAGGCAGTCACACGAGCGATCTTGAGGCGCATTACAATGCACCGAATTTTCATGGTCGATCAGCATTCCCCATTACGGCCATCTAATCGGGTATAAATCCACCATGTTTGGGTGTTGGACAACTCCATTATCTCATTAAAAAAGTCAGTACAATAGGTATATAGTCTATATAGTTACTAAGATTCCCAACATCTCCATTATTGATTGGTGAAATCCAATGGTCAAATCTCTATTTTTGCTCGGTTAACAAGAACACCGCTTTTGGACCCAAATCCATATCAACTGTGGCTTTTATATGCTTTTATGTATTATATAATTATATATATATAGATAGACATATATATATATACACCAGTATATATATATATATTTTCCCATTTATACTGTAAAAGTGTTGTATACTGCATACCCCGAGAACGTTGGTCAGCTGTGGCATCAACTTGACGCATCAGGGAGACCGGTGAAGCAAGAGACGAGCGCATCAAAAAGGCGGTGTTTGGTGGATGCTTTGGGAGCTTAAAACTTGATGCCTTTGCCAATCTTTGCTACATAGATATAGGACGAGATAGGGATCTACACACACATATATATATATATGTGTATATCTATACTATATATATATGTATAATATATACATATATGTATATTATACATACATACATACATTACATTACATTTACAATTACGGTTACGATTACATTACATTACATTACCATACATTACCATGCATACAATACATACATTACACACATTACATACGTACGTACGTACGTACGCACGCACGCACGCACGCACGCACGCACGCATGCATGCGCACACAGACATACATACATACATACATGCATGCATGCATGCATGCATATATTATACATTCAGTCCATGGACACAATACATACAGGTCGATCGGGTCAAAGAGTCTACAACCTTGGGAGAAGGGCAGAAGAAAAGCAACGTCTTGCGAGTGGCCCTGCAGGCCTTCCAAACCTATGATGCGACTGGCGATGGATCCTTGAACATCGAGGAATTGCGAAAGGCTCTGAAGGCGCCTGGAAGTTCTTTAAGTTGTTGGGGTTTATTGGATACCCCAAAAATAGTATGGTTAGTAGTCAACAAATGACCAACATTGGTGTCTTCATTTTTTGGAAATAGCCTTTTGTTGCCAAACGCTGTCAGGTCTTGGGCACTTTTTCAGAAGACGAAGCAAAAAAGATTTGCGCGGACCTGGACAAAAGCAAGGCGTGGATAACTCTGAGTTGGGCAGTTCCATCTCCAGATGGTGGTCGGGTCATGTTTGGATATGGCGGGTATGGCTCAAACTCATAGAAACCCTACCCTCAAACTTGGAGATGTTTTCCTTGATCCAAAAAACATGAGCAATTCATAAGTTTGGGTCCATTTTCAGAATTTCTTGGACTATGTTTGATGATCTTTGTTAGGTTTCATACACATTTCGCATTCTGTACTGGTTGGGGCTTTTAATTTTTGTATTTTTTTCAACCATACCTGGGTTGATTGGTTGAGATGAACAAGTATTTTCAGGATGGGTTAAACTACCAATCACCAACCTGCTGATGTGATCCAGGATGGAGAGGTCTCCTATGCAGAGTTTGCAGCTTGGTCCCTTGGAGATGCAAGACGAGAGCGTGACAGTGTGACATGACATGTACTGACACGTACAGATACAATCAGATACAATCAGATACAATCAGATACAATCAGATACAATCAGATACAATCAGATACACTTGATCTTACAGGTATTCTTTGTATTCGTGAACACCTATCTTTACAAGTACATCCTGTACATCCTGGCCGTGTTTCGAGAGAGACAGCTCTGAGTTGTACCTGTTGTACCATCCCTTCAGGATTAAAGCTGGGCATGGGCCGAAGGAGGCGATGAAAGCTAAAGCCATCCTGGCTCCTGCAGACAACGATGCTCGCGTGGGTGGTGAGCTTTTGGATGGTGTTTTTTCTCCAAAAAGGTAAAGATGGACCTGGTCATCGCGCTTGACAAATAAGAGATTATCGGAAAACGGGATCATCTTATTGCAGTTGACTGAGACAGGTTAGGAAGAATGGGATGAGGATCACAATTGACAGAGATTCTCGCTATGGATTTAACATGATCTAACGATTCTAACCCGCCCAGGATGGTTTGGAAGCGGTGTTTTACAATTTTTGCGGCGTTGGTCATTCCGACATGGATGGCAAGGGCTTTAAGAAACTCTGCCAAGACTGCAGCTTGATGGATAAGAAGCTGGACACCACCACAGTAGATCTCATCTTCGCCGACAACAGGGTGAAACCTCGAGGCACCAATCGGATCGACTTTTACCAATTCGAAATTGCATTGGAACTGGTTGCGGAGAAGAAGGCGGTCAGCAAGACGGATGTGAGATCCGCCATGATTGCGCAGGGGACTCCCAAAACGGTGAATGCCACATCCACGAATCCTACCCTGAAAGCGAGACCCAAAGACAATGCGAGATTAGTTAGTGAGAAACGAATTGCTGCAATTTTGAGAAGATCTCCTCGGGAATTGGGAAAGAATTCTTGGAAGAAGGAAATTGACAACACTGACTCTGGGACTAAGCACTGGCGCACACCGTTTTTTTTAATTTCGAATGACTTGCTTCACTTGCTTCTTGTCTCGTTTTCGAAAAAAAACAAAAAACACACAGTTCACAGCGCCACCAAGGAACTTTGGAAGGTCTTCGGCCTGGATTCAAAAGCAGGACGCATATTAAAGCGTGTTTATACCAATCCAGTGCAACAGATGTCAGCTTCCGCGTCTTCCAGAATGCGCACCCCTCAATCGAGTCGGATGCGATCTCCCGCCTCAAGGGGGCGTCCGAATGGGCAGATGGGTGGCCTCTCTGGAATGAAAGAGGAGCAAATTGAAGACCTTTCTGGCAGCTTGAACGGATCTAGCATGAAATTGCAATGATTTTTGCCTGGCACTCAGTTGTGGAACTGATCACCGCAATTTCGGTCTGCCTTGATTTGACGCTAGCTTTCTTAGGTTTGTCTGTGGAAAGCCTGTATTCTATGCGGTGGATGTGAATTTCTAGATCCCATGACCTACATCCGCACAAATGTCAGCTGCTGCAGAATGTACGGCTGATTTTACCAATTGACCGTGCACTTTCAGGTTTGGATTGCAGGAAAAGCTCATGTTGTTAATAGTGCTTCATTGTAGAGCTCTTCCGGGCATAAAAACCTGAAAGCAATTTTCAGCACGTGGATGAAAACGGTGGAGCTTCAGAATCACAGTTCTGCAATGTTCTGAATGTATCTATGCTTGGGGCAACAATCTAGGAGGTGAAGGATCTATATCTCTGTATTTTTCTTTGGCCGTCTTCGGGCCTTGCCAAAGAGAGTAGTGGTCTTAATTAAGGATGTTTCTGACAAAAAACTGCAGTACGGAGCAACAATAGGCCGTTACATATACACACATAAACAGATATGATCATATATATATGTTTATAAGATATATATGTTCATAATATATATATATATAATTATATACTATAATACATAACATAATATGCATAACATATTATACATAATACACTATACACATATTATACATTATATATACACACACCTAATCCATACACATTCTCTCTCTCTATCTATATATACACAATTTCACTATGACTTCTGAACTGCATGGACCTCAAGTCATTGTCAGACTGTTTCTTGTACCACACGTGTTTTAGCTTGCCCACCAACATCCACATGTCTGGGTTTGCCTCGAAATGGGGATACTGTTTTTGTTGAAGCGAAGACTTTGAAGACCGGGGAACATGAGGTGATCGCGGGAGATGGGGTCACCCACTTCGAGACATAGCTCACATATCTCAGTTGAGGAGTTGAGAATGGCATCGTCGATGTCAAAGTTACAATGACGAGATCTCGTTGTATCACGCTTCGGCTCGCTGTGGGTAACCCACCAGGATTGCGTGCTGACTCGCCAGTTTTTTTCGAACAAAATGGGAAGCATGGATCGATGGATTGATTCATGCTCGATTCATGGGAACATTGACAGGAATGGAACGGTTTTATGTAAAGTATTCCGAAATATAGGGGTTCCCTCCAAATTTTCCCTTTAAGTGTGGGAATGGACTCTATGAGTACAGGGGGGACATCTTGCAGCACATGTGAGATCAATGTGAGCGGTGCGAAGGAAAGTTGAATAGCTAATAGGTAGAAAAGGTTTGAATCAAACCTGAGTACCCAAAAAACCGCATGATGAGTGCTGAAACGAACAGGTCCCAGGGTTGTTTATTTGGACTCATACCCAAGTGTTGCCTCATTCTTCATGTTGTGGAAGCTGATTTTGCCCAGCAAACCCTTGTCTCAGCCCATGTTGGCTCCGACGTAGGTGTCGATCACAATGAGGTATTGTCCCATTCCTGTTTCATTTTTGAACTTAGATCAGTGCCAGAAAGATTTCCAGCCCTTCACTCTGCAAAGCCAGCCAACACTTTGGGGCTTAAAACTCGATTCTTCGTGCACACCTTTCTTGGCGTCACGAGATTCACGAGCAATGCCGTTGGGCACTCAGACCATCTCAGACCTTTGGACCAGATCAGTCAGATCAGTGGGAGATTCTGTAAGATTCTGTGAGCCAATCTCAGCGTCTGAGGAAGATTTGTGAGCCTGGCGGCTCCGGGTTGATGTGCCGCCTGGGATCGCCTGGGATCGCCGGGGTGTTCGGGGGTCGAGGGCTATTCCAGCAACGTCTCTTAGAAGGGACCTGTGAGACTGTGAGACCTCCTGCCAGGTTGCCGTTATCACAGGCAGAGCACAAGATGAACAAAGGAGCACGTTGCTGCCTTAGGATGTGTGTGGCCTTGACTGTTACGATGGCATGTTGGAAATTGTTGGAAATTGTTGCAATGCAATAGGTGCAGTGATTTACATCCTCCTCTTGTTGTACATGTTCATGGGTGTGGGCACCGTGGCCGATTGCTTCATGAATGTCTGAGCCTCATTTTGCCTGTGACACAATTTGAAACTGTTCTGTTTGATTGCAGCCCCAACTGAAGCTCAGTGAGGCAGTAGAAAAGATCATCAGCAAGAAGAGGCAAGCTGAGCTTTGAGTTTACTTTAGTTTGGTTGGAGTACTCTCATTTTGATTCAGTGATAGCAACAAACTCAGTGTTTCCCCAAAAACCTGACCAACTGGACATGAAGGTTGGTTATACCAGCGAAAAATGGAGGATTTCCCAGCGATGAACTCACTGATTTTCAGGAGGATCTACCGGCCCCAAAAGAAGCGGACGGTCACATATCTGGCAGGGAGCCTGGAAGTCACCTGCAGCGGGTTTGGACTAAACTTCTGGCTTTAGTGGGAAAAGTGTGAAAAACACCTGGAAGAACCTAGATAAATCTGTGACTTGGAAAGTCTTAAAGTATTATTCCATATTATCCCCTATTGGAAAAAATGTATTATCCATATTTTGGACAAGCTCATGAACTAAGCACCAGTCGATGCGAGCCGGTGTTTGTCTCAGGTTTGGAACAGCACTGTAGCGGACCTCACTCTGTTGGCTTTGGGCTGCTTGGTTTGATCTGAAGGCACTGAAGGCTGCACATCCTAGCTGTCTGAGCTGGGTTCTGTGGTGTGTGGGAAGGGATATGGCAATAGTTGAGCGTTTCATCCCCGACTGGCTATCTTTGGAGCGGCACTTGCACGTCTTAGGTTCTTCGGCACCAGAAATTCTGTTGTCAGCTGCCTAGACGTTGGGGTTGTCACATAGTGGAAATCCTTGGCAGATTTAGCACAACAGACTGGCCCGAGGTCGGTCCTGGAGATCATGTCGAATGGGTTCTACAGTGGCGAACTAGGACCTTCAACCATTGTTGCCTGGCAGCGGGAAGCACTGTTGACTCGGGTCGCAGCTCCAAATTTCCTCTCTGAGAGAGTGCTTGAGAGTCTTGAGAGCCGCATTTGCCGATGATGTCTCTAGCAAGAAGCAAAACATCAAAGGAACCTGAGATTGGCCATCAAGACATGGATGATGGGTCAAACCCCATGATTACCATATTTTTGGGAATACATATTCACCACCCAGCTTTTTTTTGGGGTACCAGACATGGTGTCGGGTTTTGACTGCGACCCAAGGTTGGGTCTGCAGCCTTCAACTTGCTCATTATTCTCGCCGTGGAGCTGACTTGCTTGGCATATCTTGGCATCCACCGGTGCCTCCGGTGGCTCCGGTGCCAGGTCTGTGTGCTAGCGATCCCCAATGGCGAAACTCGTTCCATTGAACATATGCACCGAACCAAGGGACAAAACTGGGAGGATACAGCAATTTATGGCAAGGATGGCGAAATTGATGATAACTTGAAAACGGATTCAAGTATTCTTCTTTTCCTGGCTTACACATTGCAGATGTTTGATGTCACAGCTAGCTTGTAGCCGCTGTAGCCACTTAGAACACGATCTACCGTTGTCAACACCTTCGAAGTGAGTGAAGGTCTGTGTATCACGTGACTGTGATCTTCTCGTGCGACCCTCAGTTGGATGTGCTGCTGGGGGTGGATGATTTCATGTCACATCCAAGGATCTTTGCCTATATGTGGCTTCTCTTCATTGCCCCGAGCTCGCATTCCTGCATCCGGGTAGACGTTTTTTCTCTTGACATTCAACCGCGGTTGAATATACGTGCCATGAGGTTGAAGTGATTTCACCCAATGTCATCGACATTTGGGAGGCGGACCTGCTGGGTACCAGGGTCAAAAGACCCCTACCTTTGACCCCTAGCGACATCCTTTGGCTCCCGTCGCAGCAAAAAGAAGCACGGCCCCAAGGATGGGGGTTATAACAGGTCATAGGCCAAACTAACTGCAGCCATGGTAGTTGTAACCCCACTTGTGTTATTCCCGGCCAATCCATTGAATCCGCAGGCTTGGTGAAATCACCTTTTTTTTAATCACCAATTTGGAGTGATGAAATCCCCTTTGGTGAAATCAGTGAAATCCATTGGTTCATCATCTAAAGAAATGTATGAAATGTTCATCGAAGATTTTCATGCTTCATCTATAATCATTGGTCAATCACCAATGTGGTCTGAAAATAGGATAAATAGGCGGATTGTCCGGATTGTCATCAAATCCGGATGATTTCAGCCATGGAATTCCATGGTTCGCCAGGCTTTGCTGACCTTCGTGATGTTCCCCACCCTGGTGACCATCTCCTGGTTAGCGAATAAAGGAAAACTGCCCTGGCTGGCACTGGAGAAAAAGTTGGGAGCCTCTGACTTTTCGAAGCTTTGATCAGTGATGGGGGTTTCCATCAATGGGGATCCCCAAGCTCAAGCTCGCTGGTTGGTTGATTTCATGGAAAACTGCGACTCAAATTTGGATGACTGGGGGTACCCCAATTTCAGGAAACATCCAAATACCTCTGATTTTCAGATTTTGGCCAATCAGCTCCTTTTGCCCGACGCACTCTCAAAATACTGTAAATGATTGGGTCTTTCTGGCGTTCCTGGAAAGCTCAGGTATGGGACCTGTGCGACATTGCACATGTCATCCTGAACCCTACCATACTAAAGCCGTAAAACCCTAAAATCTAAAACCCTACACCCTAAACTCCAAAACATCCAAAAAAGGACTTGGACACCTCCAGTTGAGATTCATGTCAAGGTCAGAGGATGACGATGCAGTCTCTGCAATGGCCCTAGCGTCCAAAAGGATGGAAATCAGATGCTGACAACTTCTATCCTTGAAGAATCGAAGGAAATGGCCCGATAGCCTTCTATCCTTTGGATATTTTTGGACCACAATCAATGCATTTTTCTAGGGATTCAGATTGATGATTAATCCATGTGTGAATTCCCACTAAAGGAGGGATGACCACAAGCCACATAGCATGTTTTGGCCATGGCACCAATGTGCATCTGCGTATCATGTATTCCTTTCATTTCATTTCATTCCATTCCATTCCATTCCATTTGATGGATGGATGGATGCATGCATGCATGCATTCATTATATAATTGATTCATTCATTTTCTAGGTTTGATTCTTTATTACCTGTAAATGCATGTAAATCCCACACTTGATGCGCCACATGTTCAGCTCGTTTTTTCAGGATGTCGGCAATCGCCGATCGTCGCTCCTTGATGATGAGAGCAATGCAGCCCAGAAAAGTGCCGCACCTGGTTCGCTTGCGACAGCCATTGGGTGCGACAGAAATTGATCAGTCAAATACCAAACCCAGTTGGTTGAAAATCGTTGGGGGGTTATGCTTACGTCATGTGATTATGAGCAAAATCTGTTTTTCCATTTAAAACATGTGAATAACCACTAACATATCATTTTTGAAGGTTGTCACCAATAGGTTTCTGACACCGCTAATTTTGCTCCTGGTGTTAGTTGACTTGTACAGTTTACAAGCCGGGTGAAGTTTTCTACGAATTTATCAATGTGTCATTTTGGATACCACCAATTACCACCTGAATCAATACCATTGTTTTCAGAATCTTCATCGACCAAATGGATGTTTTGAACAGATTGATAGCAACCATGTCCGAGACATGACATTTCTATACATTTCCAGACATTTCCATGAAAAAACATAATCCTTTTCTGGGTCTCCAGTTTCAGACAACCTCCGAGATCTCTTTTTATCTGCGTCCCAGGTCACCATCCGCGACTGAAGCTGAGGGGCTCAGTTGTCTGGATCTCGGAATCACTGGTACAGATTCAAATATCACTGATATCAGTCCGTCAGATACTTCGTATATGGGGATGGGTCAAAACCCTGGTACCTAGTGAACCCCAAAATAGCTGGTAAATGGATGTTCATCCCACTAAAAATGTATCTAATGTATCTATAGGTATTGACCCATACCCATATGGGTTCATTTTTTTTTTGGTGACTACATAACCATGTTTGGGATGCTGGTCCTTGGTTCAAGGGACAATCTCAGACTCCTGGCAGATGCAGATGATCCCAATGATAGACTCGCTTTTTCGTCGTAGATCGGATGATCTTAGGATAGATCAGAAAATGGATTGGATGGATTGGATAGATGTAGAGATTGGGAAAAAACAGATCGTTAGCCCCAGAAGAAGAAGAAGAAGAAAAAGAAGACGAAGAGGAAGAAGAAGCAGAAGTAGAACAAGAAGTAGTGGAAGAACAATAAGTCACATGATAACCATAATAGCCTAATAGCAGGAAGGAGAACAATACGAAGAAACATGCGCGGGTTTTCCAACCAAAACTGGGGAAGAACCCAACAACATATGGGACAACCCCCAAATCGGGCTTTCGCGTCCCGAGCTCCACATGGCAGGCTGCAGCTGCCATGGTGACTGGAGGGACTCGAAAGTCACATGTGGTTGCCGAGGCGGGTGTGGGGTTGAGTAGGAATTCCCATGGTCCGCCGAAAATCGATGCCTTCTTGCGACGCTCTGGAGGCTCAAAGAGACGCTGACGGGGAAGACAAGGTGCCCCGTCCTGGTGGTTTTGGGGTTTGGAATGTTGGGAACCAAAAGAGAATTCTCCTGAATGAGCACCCTGGGGTAGTCGAGTAATCAATGACAAACATGTCTTGGCTGTCAAAACCAGGGGTTCCAGTAAAAAATCACAGATTGTTGGCAGTTAATCCATATTAATCCCCAATGTTTGACGGATTTTGCCACTCCCCCAAGAAGTATGATTCCATAGTGTATGGACTATCGTCTCAAACTGCAGAAAAAAATGGCGGATTTTGCCACTATCCATACTGCGTAATTGCTGGGAATCCCAACTACTGTACAAATCCCCATATTTATCCGTTGGATTTTGACCTCTATTCATACCTGAACATCCCAAGAACATGTTTTTTCAGCATCCCCTACAGCATTTGTGGATCGGTACTCCCCCAAAATAGAAAAGTATTTCCAGGATGGTATAGATGATGCTTTCCCAATGTCCAGGTCAACTTTTGCATCTGGTTGCTATTTTTTCATATACTGGGAATATGACAGGAATGACAGGAATATGATTGATCATTCCTGAACAGCTAGGTATTCTAATGTCCTGGAACAGCTGGGTATAATGATTAAATTGATTAATAATGTCTATCCCAATATGACTATCTCAATAATATAATAGTATATATCAATGGATTGGATTAAGGGAAAATTTACAGGAAAGCCCCATATTTAATGGGAAAATCTATGGTTTCCTGTAAATTTTCCCTTAAACCAATCCATTGATATATAATAGTATCATATCCCAATACTATTGTTATATTATTGACTCTTCCAAATTGGTTTCCCCGATTCGCTGCGAGGCCATTCCCGCAGGAAGCAACGGCAAGGACCTCCAGGACCCAGTGACCAAGAGGCGGATCCATGCACCAAATGGCCCTGGAACCCAGATGGGCCCCTTGGGGTGAAAGAAATAGATGGGGTTAGACTAAATAATATGATATGATATAATATAATATAGTTATAATATAATTTTATTATAATATAATATGATAAAATATAATGTAATATACATAGCAATATATATATATATAATTTGTATAATATAATATGTATAATATAGTGAATATAGTATAATATATTTTATATGATATAATAATATATATAATATGATATAATACAATATAAAATAAAAAATATTATATTTTCTATATAATATATAATATAATATGATATAATATAATATAAATTATAATTATAATTATACTTATAATATAATAAAATGTAATAAAATATAATATAATATAATATAATTTAATGAATATAGTATAATATATATATATAATTGGTATAGATATACTTCGAAGTACTTCGATCTACCTGGGTTTGTGATGTTTAAGGATGTTTTTCATGTGAATTTTACTATGGAATTTTCATGTTGATTCTGATCATCCACTATTGGAATAGCTGGAGAATCCGCAGGATTCTCCTGGAGATGGGACTTCCATGACCTCATGGCTCAGGTATCATCACATTCCGCAGCGATGCCGTCGAGGTTTGGTGGTGAGATGGCATGCTGATGGTTTGGCATGCTTTCTCACTGTGGAGATAGCTATAGAAACAGGATGACAGTGAGGAAAATTGTCAGATTGCTGGCAGCTGGTTTTTTTCCTGATCGTTGTAAAGATAGATCAAGGGGTTTATGCCGCCGCTTCCAACGCTGTTGCATGAGTCATTTGAAGTCACGCAAGGCTGGCTCAAAGATGTGCTTCTTGCCGTAGTCCTCAGTTTCGTTGCAGCATGCCTGCTTGGAAAAACACAGTCTCGCAGCACACCTTCTTCCGCAGGCCGCTTCTTCAAGACGTGCAATCACATGGGTTGCATGCTGGTGGAACGATCCTTGCCATTGTCCTTGTCCTGGCTTATTGCGTCAATGCTGTCTTCCTCTGGGCCACGGCACCCATTGTTGAGACATATAGTGCTGGAGATGTCCGGAATTTTGGCATCCTTGATCTGAGTTTCAACATTTCATGCCCGAGTTGTGTGCCCTTTCAGTCGCCAGAGAACAATTCAGTGCAGGAGCAGTTTCGAGTTTGGCATGGCTACAAGCCAAGTGACTTCCCTCACTGCGCTGCGGCCGGTGCAGCAGAGGACCTCGCTGTGGTTGATGAATCGGTGTCCGTCGCTTCCCTATGTTATAGCTCCGATGACATTTCCGAACGCTCTGGGATCGTCGTGTCTCTTTGGAACATGAGTACTGGAGGCCAAGGAAATCGTGCAAACGTGGTGGTAACGGGCCCGTCATTGGCGGTCAACACACCCCTGGAGTTTTGGCATGAAAAGACTCTATTACTGGGAATGAATGTCTTCCGAGACAGGGAAGACTGTACATCTGCAGATCAGTGTGATCTAAAACGAGAGCTTTACCTGGGATCCATGCAGTATGATGGCCGTGTTGCTGGTTGGCCTGGGGCGAAGCTCAATATTCGATTGCTGCGTTCTGCGCATATCTACACTCGAACACCCGGCCAGACATTGTGGGATGTCTTTGGGGCTGTTGGTGGAGCCTATGGTCTGATTGTGAGCTTAGTTGGTGTGGTGGTTCATTGCTTCGAAAGCCGCGAGTCCACGGACAAGGCCAGGATTTCCGCAAATGACCCAGCACACCAACCTCAGAGACAATCCGTACCAGTGATGGCAGTGGCGGCGGATACGGCTGCAAACCCTGATGGTTATGACCCTTTCCCGATTTAGGCAGTGGCCAAGACTCAAAGCTGATGATTGTTTCCTTGGGGTTATACTACCCTTGTTATGCCTTTCTTGGAATCCTTCTCAATAGATTTATCACTATGGACTGTCTTGACATTTCAACAAACAACTAGCCCACCATGCATTCTGTTGGATCACGGCCGTTTCACATCTTTGACACTTTGAAGCTCGGTCACTCCATCGGGTTGAGCGGCAGTATGCCTAAGGCATACGCCCCCCGCGCGTCGCATGAGCGGCAGTATGCCTAAGGCATACGCCCCCCGCGCGTCGCATTAGGTGGCGTCGCATTAGGTCGCCAATCCAACGTTGTGCCAAGGTAAGGGGGGTTCCATAGTCATGGGGAAACCACCGCTGGTTTACAATGGAAAATCCGATTAACATTGATAATTTAGGGGTTTTACTTTAGAAAACTCCCATAATACTAGTTTTTTTTCAAGAGACAATTGTTGCAGGAGCCCCTTCTATTGAATGAATGAACTTGATCGAACACTTTGGATTTATTGTAGAAACTCTAACTAATTGATAGTGTTGCTATTAAGGTATTTGTTGTTTTTTTAGAGAAACTTCCTGATGGTGCAACGTTGAGACAAGCCCATTACCTGGCAAAACCACGACATGGGCAAGGCAAAATAGAAGATGCCATGGATTATCAATGGGCTTGGGACCCAAACATGGGAGATTTACCCACACTTAATATGGCCACATGGCCATTTGGCAAATGATGATCAGCCATTCAGACAAAATTGTTAAACAGTAAGAAGTTTTGGCAACTTGTCCCTGACAGCATCATTTTCCAATGCCAAGATACCCAAACCGCCCAAACCAGTTTCGGACAGGTGGAGGAGCACCAGTTCAAGGATGAGCCAACCATTGTGAAGTTGGATATCCTCCGTGACATGCTGAGATGACGATGGCAGACGAAGACCTTGACCATGCCACAGATTCCAGGGCCCTTTGCCATGTATGTAGACCTTTGCCATATTACCATTACCACATATTTAAGTGTCAGGGTACCTCCAGTGGCTTCAGGATAGGCCCTGGAGGGGCTGCACACACACACATACACATATATATATATATATACACATACATAGTATGTATCTATATATTTATACATAGACATACACCTCGCTCGCCAGAGCAATTCACATGATAATACCTATTAGTGACCACTATTTGGGTCAACGAATATCCAACGATGTACCGGCTCGCTGAAGGTGTGAAACAGCAGGATACCCAATGTTTTGAATGGTTCGACTACTAACCATCTGTGCAAACTTGAGGTTGCAATGGTTCCGAAGGAACCATCTCCTGCAAGCTTCAGACAGAGGGTCTTTCAGCTGTTCCAGGCAACTGAAGAGTGGTCAGCAGTGTCCTGGATACCTCAAAAACCATAGAAGTCATCCAGGAAATTCAAGGTACGGATCACCATGAATTGTTGGAAGTTTTTTTTTTTGTGAATTTTACCTACGAAAATGTGATGTTTTACTACGGGACCAGGATGTGTCGCTCGCCAGGTAAGGACTTTGAGGAGGCTCACTTTGGGAGAAAACTGCTTGGCTTTTCTGAAAATGGGGGTGGTATTATCCCCAAAACTGGCCATTTTCATGGGAACATGATTTTGTTGATTTTCTAAACCACTGGACTTTAGGGTTTGGCCCCAATTTTCAGACACAGATAAAAGGCCTTTCTCCAGGCATGTTTTGATGAACCTTCCATGAAAGTAATTTTCCAAGGATATCTCCAGGATCCGTTGGGGCCCCTCGCCCCTGCGCTTGCCAGATGGATGAAACACTCGAGTTTGAAGATGGAGAGACGGAGAAGGAGGCCATTGAAGTGGTGCTGATGTTGCAGCTGCTGCAGTACCCTCTGGTAATTTAACAGTTTGCTATTGAAAATGGCCATAGAAATAGTGGATTTTCCCATTAAAAATGGTGATTTTCCATAGCAAACTGTTAGTTTACCAGAGGGTACATCTGGTTCTCGCCCCAAATTGGGATGATCTTTGCTGCCAGATCTGGCGAGGTAGAGCTCTGCATCTTCCCCCAGCGGCCTTTGGAGCCAGATGACGTGCTGCAGCTGGTGCTCTCTGAGGCGCTTATCCCCCATTTGGGGATGATGCTCCTTTCCACCAATTTATGGTAATTTTGGGCATCTTTTATCGGCTTACCACATTTATCCTATTTATCGCAATGATAACTAGGGTTTATGGATGTTTATGGTAATTAGAAGTCAGATGGGGTTGCTAACCCCCATGATAGGTAGAGAGGCCCAATGAAGAAATAGATTATCACAAAAAAGGAGATGCTGAAAAACCGGGCGCTCACAGCGCTGCTTTCAGTATAGGTAAATGATTGCCACAGGGGCGGAAATGAATCATTTTACATCATTTTACAATGTTTTACATCTTTCTTTGGCCAGTTGCAGCCCTGGCGTTTGGACTGTTGGGCTTTCGCCCCAATGATCATCGAATTGCAGATGATTGATTTCCCATTAAGGTTGATCCAATGCCTGAACATCTATTTACTGGAAATAGGTTCTATTCTTTATGGCCGCATTAAGCCCATCCAAATCATGCTAGAAAACATATATGATATATGGTTGATTTATATACCATCTATGGCCAGATATTTTCATGTGAGCAGGAGGGTACAAGGGTTTTGACCCATATCCATCCTTCGATTTCTCATTATGTAAGGGCTGCCGCCCCTGCCGCCGACCCCGGAAGAATCGGCAATAGTATGATGGTATGATGAGATCAAGTCAGTGCCATGAAATTTGGGTGTTTCATATGCAAATGGGTTTTTCATTTGGGTGCATGTTAATATTATGATCCCATGGTTTTATGGGTTTATGGATCTAAGTACCTGTACAATACCAGTAGTACCGCACAAGGCGGTGGCGGAAGTTTCAAAAATAAGAAACCTATAGGAGAGGTTGGTTGTTGTGAATCAGGGATGGCAGAGCGAAGCCACTGATGGACCGAAAGGTGCTTGAGGTCTCCTTTCTTTCGCTCTCTTTCTCTGACTATCTACCTACCTACCTATCTATTTTCTATGTGTCTATCTATCTATCTATCGATCTATCTATCTATCTCTCTCTCTCTTTCTTTCATTCAATTATCTATCTATCTATCTATCTATCTATCTATCTATTTCCAAAAGTGGTCCGGAGCTGAGGTGCTTTGTACATTTTGACTTGGAAATGTGCTTCGCGCCACAATGGCGTACACTTTTTCGACATCTGAACCTCCAAAAGTGGTCCGAGCATGGTGTGCTTTGTACATTTTGACTTGGAAATGTGCTTCGCGCCACAACGACGTGCACTTTTTCAACATCTCAACTTCCAAAAGTGGTCCGGAATGGGGTGTTTTGTACATTTTGACTTCGAAATGTGCTTCGCGCCACAACGGCGTGCACTTTTTCGACATCGCAACTTCCGAAAGTGGTCCGAGCATGGTGTGTTTTGTACATTTTGACTTGGAAATGTGGTTCGCGCCACTACGGCGTGCACTTTTTCGACATCTCAACTTCCAAAAGTGGTCCGGAGCTGAGGTGTTTTGTACATTTTGACTTGGAAATGTGCTTCGCGCCACAACGGCGTGCACTTTTTCGACATCGCAACTTCCAAAAGTGGTCCGGACCTGAGGTGTTTTGTACATTTTGACTTGGAAATGTGGTTCGCGCCACTACGGCGTACACTTTTTCAACATCTCAACTTCCAAAAGTGGTCCGGAGCTGAGGTGTTTTGTACATTTTGACTTGGAAATGTGCTTCGCGCCACAACGGCGTACACTTTTTCGACATCGCAACTTCCAAAAGTGGTCCGGACCTGAGGTGTTTTGTACATTTTGACTTGGAAATGTGCTTCGCGCCACAACGGTGTGCAATTTTTCATCGCTCCTGTGGCCAGCTGGGTCCGCACCCGCCGCTTTAGCGAGCCTACTTTTCGACCCTCCGGAGCCACAAATCATTGGAAAAACACAGTGTTTCGCGACTTTCCTACCTTTTCGCGCATCTGTATCTTCTGTCCTCTTACTCTTTCTCTTCTGATCTTCTCTCTTCTAATCTTCCTCTTCTCTCTGCCTCTGCCCTGCTCTGCTTTTCATCTGTCCATATTGTCGGAAGTTTGACTTCTAAACTTCCTTCGAATATTTTTATATATATACACACATATATATATATAAATTATTTTTGGCCCTATTATTATACAAAACCCTAAAGTAGACCCTAAATGAAACCTTAAAGAATCCCTAAATCAAACCCTACATGAAACCCGACAGAAACCCTAAAGAAACCCGAAATAAAACCCTTAAGAGATGTAAATCTGAAAGAAACGCGAAACCCTAAAGAATCCCAGAGAATCCCTACATGAAACCCTAATTCTTTTGTGTTATTCTCTCCTGTTTGTATCCTATGAAACCCAAAGAAACCCTAAAGAATTCCTGCTAGGAGCTTGACACGAAACATTAAATGGACCCTAACGAAACCATAAATTGATCTAAAGAAACCACAAAAGAAAGCCTAACGAAACATTGAATAGAACCCTAAATGGCATCCTAAAGAGACCCTAAAGCCTTAAAGATATCCTGATAAGAAACCTCTAAATGAAACCAGAAACCCTAAAGAAACCCTAAATGAAAGCCCAAAGAAATGCAAATCCTAAAGAAACCTAGAATGAAACGCTAAAGAATAGAATCCCCAAATGAAACGCTATGTTTTTTGCTTTATTCTCTCCTGTTCGTATCGTAAACAAGACTTTAAAGACCCTAGGTTAAAGAATTCCTGAAAAGAACTCCTGATAAGAAATCCGTACATGAAACACTATATAGATGAACCCTAAAAAATCCATAAATTAACATAAAGAAACCATAAATGAAACCCTAACGAAACTTTGAATGAAACCTTAAATGACATCCTAAAGAAGGCCTAAACGACACACTAAAAAACTCTGAATGAAATCTTAAATGGAGCCCAAACTGAAACTCTGAAGAACTCGTAAACGACACCCTAAATGAAACACTAAAGAAACCTTAAATAAACTTTAAGAAACGCTAAAAAGACCTTAAAACCCTAAAGAAACCCTAAATGAAACCTTAAATGAAACCCTGAAGAGACCCTGAAAGAAACCCTGAATGAGACCCTAAATAAACACACATGAATGTTTGAAAACCAAGCAGAAACTCTTCTTGCACATGTTTTTCACCCAGAGACTTTTCACCTAGAGACTCTTCACCCAGAAACTTGTCTTGCACATATTCTTCACTCATACTTTGCACCCAGAGACTCTTTACCCAGAGGCTCTTCTAGTACATACTTTTCACGTATATACTTTTCACCTAGAGATTCTTCACCCAGAAACTCTTCTTGTACATACTTTTCACTCATATACTTTTCATCCAAAAACTCTTCTTGCACGTACTTTTCAGCCATAACTCTTCACCCAGAAACTCTTCTTGCACATACTTTTCAACCAAAGACTCTTCAACCTCTTCTTGCACACATTTTCCACCCAGAGACTCTTCACCCAGGGACTCTTCACCTAGAAACGCTTCTTGCACATACTTTTCACCCAGAGAGTCTTCTTGCACATACTTTTCAACCATGTACTTTTCACCCAGAGATGCTTCACCCAGAAACTCTGCTTGCACAGATTTTTCACCCAGACACTCTTCACTCAGAAGCTTTTCTTGCACGGACTTTTCACCGAAAGACTCTTCACCCAGAAACTCTTCTTGCATATACTTTTCACCGATATACTTTCCACCCAAAGACTCTTCACCCAGAAACTCTTCTTGCACATACTTTTTACTCATATACTTTTCATCCTGAGGCTCTTCACCCAGAAAAGCTTCTTGCACAGACTTTTCACCCAGAGACTCTTTACCCATAAACTCTTCTTGCTCATACTTTTCACCCAGAGTCTTCACCCAGGAAGTCTTTTTGCACATACTTTTCACCCACGTACTTTTCACCCAGAAACTCTTCTTGCACATACTTTTCACCCAGAGACTCTTCACCCAGGAATTCTTGTTACACATACTTTTCACCCATATACTTTTCACCCAGAGAGTCTTCTTGCACATACTTTTCACCCAGAGACTCCTCACCTAGGAATTCTTCTTGCACATACTTTTCACCCAGAGACTCTTCACCCAGGAATTCTGCTTGCACATACTTTTCACCCATATACTTTTCACCCAGAAAGTCTTCTTGCACATACTTTTCACCCAGAGACTCTTCAGCCAGGAATTATTCTTGCACGTACTTTTCACCCATATACTTTTCACCCAGAAATTCTGCGCATATGTTCCACCCAGAGACTCTTCATTCAGGATTTTTTCTTGCACATACTTTTCACCTATATACTTTTCATCCAGAAACTTTTCTTACACATACTTTTCACCTAGAGACTCTCAAATATGGAAACCATCCGCCTCACGTGCATGTTCCTCGTGGAGTCCGGGATCTGGAAACGATCCAAGAAGGCATCTACCTCAAGTCCAGGCTTTAGCAACATGGCTGCAGTTGGGAGCTCCATAAGTTGGGGTAGGGATAAGCTCCATGATACAACCCTTACACTTTTTCGGTTTTTTCGGTTATATATCCATTGAGTTCAGTGGAACTATGTGGAACTGCACTTACAAACTCTCTAAACGCAAGGTGTTGTAGAAATGTCTCCAGCTGCCTTCAGCCATGCCTGGGAGTCCAACTAGCCACTGGACGTGGCTGGAGCAACATCCATGTGACACCAGTTGGATACACACATATCTTGAAATTCGTGTATGTATATATATATATATATAATGAAATTAATTTTACAGAATTATACTGACATGGTAATATGTTTGAGATGTATGGTTGCTTTGAGCACATTTCCATAGTGCCAGAATTCATCCGAAAATCTGCAGGAAACCATGGAATCCAGTGGAATCATCCAGAAATCTATGGTTCTCTAGGAGTTCTCCCTGGTTTTCCGAGTTTCCTTAACGTGGAACGTGGAACAGCTCTATCGGAACCCCCGGTACCTTCCAGCGATGGTAACTCCTCGGCGTTGGAACACTGTAGAGACCGTGGAGCCGAAGACTCAGTTTGTTTCGAAGGCCATGAACCGGCTGGTTATTTAACAGTTTGCCACGTACTGGTCCAGAAGCAGAAGAATCCAAAAGTGTAGACGGTGGGAAACATCAAAGTGTTTGGAGTTGGAGTGTGTTGCAGTGCAAGGGGAGGACAGAATTGTAGACAGTGAGAAACATCAGCTCGTTTGGGTTTGCAGTGGATTGCGGCTCAAGGGAAAAGAAAGAGAGGTAGCATCAGGCCGTTGCGGTTGCAGCATGGCCAAGAATGTGGACGCAGTTGATTTGACGGAAGCAGAGGGCATGGAGGAATTCGTTGAGGGCAGCGGTGGGTTGGAAGGAAATGCGAAATCCTTTGCCCAGGGAAAAGGAGGATGTGGATCGCAAGTGCTGTCGCCAGGGTGGCAAAGGGTCTGGGAACCAATCTGGCATGGTTGGGTCACCAGTGAAACGCCGCCGCAGCAGCGGTTCCGGGGCAGCTGCGGTGGCGGTGGATGTCGGTAGCATTGCTGCGCTGGCAGATGTGGCGCCAAGAGAAAGGGTGAACGTGAAGGGGTACTTGATGTATATCCCTGCGGAAGCGAGAACTGTGACAATGAGGGCGTCAGTGAAAAGCCTGACACAGCAGGAGAAGCCGGTGTGCACACGGTTGCTGGCGGATCATGGCAGTGTGGTGCAAGTGTCCTTTTGGGGTGACATTGCCACCCGCTGGCAAGCGCCCTTGGCTGAGGCATTGGAAGCTGCAGAGGAAGGAGAGTGGCCATATTTGCAGCTGGAGTGTTGCGAAGTGGTTGCAGTGGCAGACAGCTTGCCATCGCTTCCGCTGAGGAAGCTGCAGTCGACTGGGGGAACTGTGGTTCACATTTTGCAGCCAGGGGCTCTGAAGATCAGCCCGGTGGCAGCAAGCGTGATCTCAGATTTTTCTGTCTTTGGCAGTTGCGTGAAGACGCCACTAGTAGTTCACGTACAAGGAAAAGCAGACATGGTGTCACAGCAGCGATTCAATCGCGATGACGTGCCCATGCGCGAATTGCGGCTGACAGATGGAAAGGGCCTTGGTCTCGCGTGCATGCTATATGGAGATTCGGCAGAGCAACTTGTCCCACAAGGCGCCTTTTTCCCGATCTTCTACGGCGAAGGTCGTCCACCATTGCCTGACAAAGAGGCAGATGGGTATTTCTGGGGTTTTTGACTCAGGAATGCTTCTGGTAGCCGATGAAGCGCCTGTCGGGCGGCACAAGATGGCATGCACGAATATGCTCCACATCTCCTGAGGTGTCAGGCAGCTGGGACATAAGGACGCGGACGCCGCATGAATTATCTTTTTGTCCCCTCTTCATATTAGAAATATCAAACACCCCCAGAAACCATGGCTTAGTAAGGGATAAAAAATGATAGACACGTAATATTTGGGACCATAGAATGGAGGTGTTTAATATCAAGGTCAAGCATGGTCAAAGTATCCTCAAAGTTGGGTAGATAGACATCTCCGAACATCCCAACATGGACTAGCCTGCTCAGGGATTTGAAATTATTTGGCCTGTTCCCATGTGGATACACTGTCCAATTGAAGCGAATATGAATGTGACCCGGCCGTAGGACCCTACCAGCTATTGTTGGACATGAAACATCAAGGTGTTCTGGCCTAGAAATCATGGATTGTAAGACATCTATCATTTTAAACCATCAAATTTCAGATATGTCATGATCATTCGTGGTGTATATATTTTATATATATTATCATAGATCATAACACACACATATATATAATATGTTCGTATTCAGATTTAAGGAGTCATATTATCAATATGTTCATACATCATTATATATCATAATCATCTTCGCTGTTCTGTACTAGACTACTTATGGCAGTTACCGCACTCAACCCGTATGGTTTGTATCCTGCGGCCCCGAGACCCAGCGCTTGTATCCTGCAGGCTAGACCTGCTAGACCTGTCATGGTCAAGAATCCAGATGGAAGCATCACGCAACATTATATGCCGCCACAGTACCAGGCAGGGCCTTCGACAGCCGTGAACGTTGTCTATACCTGCCTGGTTGATTACACGCATGAACATTCAGAAATACGAACTATTTTGGTGTGAAAACCAGGCCATTCCGGGGGTTGATCCACGCAAACTGGAGGATCTTTCGGATGATGTGTTCATCGTGGATGGTCATTTGGTACAAACTTGGGCATCCCAATAGGTTGACACTTAGCACCACAGGTGCTGCTATGTCAACCATGGTTTGCACCCAGGCCATGCCGCCGGTGGCACCACCGAAGCATCCCAGTGCGGCGGCACCGGTCGCGCCAGTAGTTCAAACGCAGGCGCGAATCGAAGTTCTTGAATGTCACGACTCAGCATTCCTTAGGGGGTTCCGGGCAGATTCTGGGCCACCGTCATCACCGGAGAAGGGACTCTTTGGACCTTGAATCTTCGGTTGAATACTCAGAGAATAACCTTGCAACTAAGACATGTTGGGAAGGCCTTGCTGCCAGTTCTGTTGACCGGGTTAGTGTTTGTCCATGTTTTTCCTATGTGGAGCACAATCGCTTCTAGCAAGTTAGAGCCCCATGAGTATCTACCAGTTCAATGTGGTGACATAGATGATGTATGAGTCATTTGTACAGAAGGGAGAACGGCCACTCACAGTGGGTGTTGGATAGGGCAGCGTTTCTGGCTCTGACCTGGCCATGGGTGTTTTGCTAGTTACCCTATGCATGAGAATGGGGGTGCATGAACAGAAGGCTACCAGAGTTTTGATTCATGGGTATTTCAAGCCCGTTGGGCAAACACACTGGGGCTTATCATGGCTTATCCAAAATCCCAAGTGTGCATTAGATAATATATGATAATATAATATATTCATTGATAATGCAAATGTAGGGGTGTACCCTGTTTTAGGGCGAACACATTACTTCTTGGTTGGATCCCTATGTCGATAGGTTAAATCATGCTGAAATTTATTTTGCTTGCTTAAATATCATTAAACGCCGCGTTGTTGGGTTACTTAGTCACTGTTTTTTTCAGACCACAAAACTCGCTTGATTTTTGATTGTGGGCAACCCGATCCCATAAACGTAGCACTTGAGGATGAAAAAACATGACACAGAAACACATATTCGAAATGGTCATGGCTTGGAGATCGTTGAATTTTGGGATATGTATAACATATCAAGTCACGAGTATATCATATATATAACATATATATATATGTAATATATATAAATACAACATTACACAATGTTTGACCACCATGATTTTTGTTGCAGGCCAAAGCCGCGAGTGTCCCTGTCGCGGCAACGACTCCAGCTCCGGCACAGGTCGCAGCGAATTCTGGGAGTTCTTGTTATTTCTTGGCTTCTTTGATTACCCTCTGGTAAACGATTACATAGCTATGGAAAGATCCACCATTTTTAATGGGAAAATCTACTATGTCCATTATGGCTATTTTCAATAGCTATGTAACAAATTACCAGAGGGTATGTGAAATCATGTGGTGATGGTTTTTCTGGATTTGTGTCGGTTCTCCCAATTCCTCAATATGGGATTTCTGCATTTTTGTGGGGGCCTTAATGAAAGTCCAAGAATTTTAGCGGCTGTTTTGGTGTGAACAGAAGAGTTGCAGGGTTTTGAACTACACCCACATGAAGGAGGTAGGAATGCTGGATGGCATTCGAGACTTTCCAAGCACCACCTTGACAAAAGTGTTGATACCAGATGGGCAATGACCATCGTTTATGTACCCTTTCTCAAACAACCATTGCAAACAAAAAGGACTCAGCCAGAAATTTAGGATTGAACATGATTAACTAAACACATATTCAGTAACTATTAATGTAGTAAAGCTGTTTAAACATGATTAACACATCAATTTTCAGAGTTTCTGAAGTTCATATTCAGTGAACATGCGATATGTATTTATTTTATATGGTAAACCTGGTATGGCGCCAATGACAAGCCATCCCAGGCCCAGCTTGCGGCAGCGCTTCCGGTTCCGGCCACGGTTCCGGCCACGGTTGCCACGGTTGCCACGGTTCAGGCGGTCCCGGTGGATTCATGGTGGATTCATGGAGAGCCAAGACATCCGTGGAATCCTTCGGCGCTACAATGTGATTTACCCTCTGGTTATGACTAACGGTTGGCCATGGTATAGATGGCCCATAGAAATAGATGGTTTACCGTTCTTAAAAACGGGTGGATCTTTCCATGGCAAACCGCGGCATGTCCCAGATAGAAGTGGAGCCTGCACAGCCTTGGCAGGGAGAGTGGCTTGCAGCAGTGACTGCTGTGGCATGTAGCAGGTAGATGCGGAAGGGGCAAAGTGTACAGATTTTTTTGCGGAGACGCATTCGTGACTGTCATCAACCATCAGAAGGGGCACAGTGTGAAGCGAAGAGCAGTAAGAAAGTGAGGGATGAGATAGCTGTAGACAAAATGGTTGTTGGTTGGAAAGGGTGATGACGGTGGAAAAGGCAATAGCTAGCGGTGCCTGCGCTTTGGCATGTGCGACCTGCGGATTTTTCAATATATGGCGGTCGCTTGCGAAGTTTGACTGCCAGGAGGCTTACCTTGAGGCACCAAGCCAAAAGAGAAATGGGAAAGAAATCATGCTTAGGAGGGAAATATGTTGGAAATGGCTGGTGCCTGCTGCAACTCGCGTGTACAGATGAGGGCGGCTGCGCAGATTATTGCAAAGCGGCTGCAAAAAAAAGAGGGAAACGGAAAGGGTGATGAAAGATTGGTGGTTGCATTGTGGAACAGGCTACAGAATCGCACCGAAAAACTCCCTAACGTGACTTCTGGATCCTACTAGAACTGAAGACCTGAGGGAACTGATGAAGGATACTAGAAGGCTGCTGCCGTTGCCGTTGCCGTTGCTGCTGCTGCTGCTGCTGGTGTTGGTGGTGGTGGTGATGCTGCTGCTGCTACTGCTGAAAGAAAAGTACCAAAAGCACCTCCCGGCACCAAAACAGCAAAGCACAGAAGCACGAACAAATCGCACGGAAAAACTGCTTAACGTGATTACTGGAACCCTACTAGAACTGAAGACCTGAGGGACCTGAGGCGGCTGCTGCCGAATGGGACAATGTCTTATTCTCTGGCGCGCTCCCCCTTGCGTCTGCCGGGGTCGGTGGATATTTGGGATTGACAGTGATAAATCCATGAGCTGGGAATCCCGATCAAAGCGAACCATTTTAAGTTGCTATATCGGGTGTTTCCCAATATGGGTTTGTCTGAAAATGAGACTGGTACCACAACACCGCAATGTTGAGAAGATAAATGATGATGATATATATATATATATGTATCATTAATGTCGTGTATATGATTTACTGTATATATTAGACAACTATATCAATTACTTTTTTTCAGACCGGTCCATATAATTAGTGCATAATTCTTGGCAATTGTCAGAGTAGACGAGCTGGGAATCAACATCAAAGTAAAAATGGAAGGTGCGATGTGTATTTCCAGTGAAATGTGGCTACCCCAACAACGTGGGTTTCAACACTCTAATTCTGGGTTGATTTTTTCTGTAGATATGGATACGAAAATGACTTAAAACCACATGATGATTTAAGATTAGTCTCTCTTTCAAGCCTTAAATGACCATGGTGACCATATACTTGGGCATGAAACAGCTTTTTCTGATCCCGTTTAAGATGGTTCAAGATCAAACGCTATCCATATCCAGATGGTAGATATCTGACCAGTGACATGTGCAACCACTTGGACATGGAGAGTTTTATATGGTGTCACATGGTGGTTGCTTCTCCAGGCAGAAGGAGATGCCTTTTTTAATCCAAACGACGATGGCGGAAAGGCGCAAGGCACTAAGAACTTCCATGGTGAAGGTCGCTGCATTTGCGGCGGCGTTTGCACCAAAATCTGTAGGAAACGTTGAACAACTACATGGGTTTGTTCGCGAAATGGGGGGATTTGTCCCAATGTTACATGCTCATTTTCATGGGGAAACTGATGAACCATGGGATGGAATGGGGCTCAAGAAACATACCGTGGATGGTTGCAAAATCCTGCACCAGTTGATAGGTCCCATTATTTATAGGGTTTCAACCATCCTTTACCTGTGAATCTTTGAAGGTTTTCTGCTTTCATCTCGGGGGGATACCAGTGGTGACATCCTAGGATTGGCCTTTTGACCGTCACGATCAAAAACTCGGAAGCACCATCTTTGACGGAGAGGCGGGTCGTTTTGTAGGTGACCAGTCCAGCTGTCTTTAAAATTTCACTAGGCCTGAAATTTATTGAACCCTACCCACAAGATGGTGATTTTTAACAGATCAAGGATGGCTCGACGTGTGGCCAGCGCCCCCAGCAGGTTAGTGGACCGGGACAACTTTTTCGCGGGCCTCAAGGCAAGTCTCAGAAGTTGCGAGGTTTTGGCAGCAGATCATCCATTTTTTTTGCGGGGAACATGGGGAACATGTACTTCACTAGACATCAAGCAACATGGGTAACTTTGTTGTTTTCCTCCGATTATTTTCCCCAATCTTTGCTGATTATGCCATTCCACTTTTTCTGCCGAGGGTTGAGAATCCTATTTGAACCGGCGGAAAGGTCTGGAAGCAACAGATTCTGGCTTCGTGGAAACCAGAGGAGGAGGAAGCAGAAGATGGAGAGGAGATGGGAGATGCCGAGATGCCCTGTTTCTGTTGGTGTTCTGCAAAAAGGTCCCGTTTTCCGTTGCGTGAAGCTGACCAGGAAGCATCTCAGTGGAAGCCAAAGGACTACATACTCTTCGTTTTGGGTGGGCTTCTGAGGTAAAGTGCATTGTGCATGGCATTTTTTCTGTTTTCTTGATAAGGTGCACATTGTTCAGCTGTGGCGCATTTCAAGGGCTAGCACGCAGTGTTGGGGTAAGGGCCAGAAGGTTTCACCCTGCACTGACGACAGCAAGTCTTTCTGCGCATGTGGGTGACAGTCCTTTGATGCCAACATTTTATGGGTTCACGTCAGACATGACCAAGCTACTAGTATATATATAGTTTGTCCTTTGTCAAATTGTCAGCCTTTCTCTTGAGCCATGTGTCATGACCGTCACATCAGCCGCATAGCAAGGTCTGCCCTTCAACGTCTTTTTCGCCATAGTCTGCCCGCCTGCTATGTGGGCTGGTAGCCACCTCAGAGCGAAAAATGGTGATACGTTACAAATTCCAATCCATTTGGAACTGGGCTTACCATGGCTTACCCATCATTTTCAGACCCGCCCATGTGGGTGTTTCAGCTTACCTGGGGGGTCCTGGTCTTCGACCCATGGCTGAATCTCTTGAGGCGGATTCCTCCTTTTCACCGTTGCGCTCACTTGGGTGGCCGTCAATCATGGCATGGTTTGAGCCGAACTGGCGCCTCACATGGGAAGGTGCGAAAACATTAGGAATCCTCCAAGATATTTCAGGATGGAATGTTGTTAATATCAATATCTCAAGAAGAAAAGACAATTCAAGATGATTCAAGCTAAATCAAGATAACTCAGGATACATCAAAATGATCAAGATAGATCAAGCTCATTGAACGCTTTTTAACAATTTCATTCTTAAATCTTAACCAAACTTTGCCCGGAGCCAGGTGGTCACCGCTTTGATCAGCGACTTGGCATCGCTCTTCGGTTGCTGCGCAGGTGTGGTCGCTGATTGGTCGCGGTACCAATAATCCAAGTCATAAACGACCAAAGTACAGTAATGAAGCAATCATGGTGTTAACATTGAAGTAACCCCGATTTTTTTTGAAGCATGGCAGTTTGGATTGAAAGAAATTCAATCCATATCTTAATCCTTATCATTTTTTGAAAATATTGCCGACCTCGGAATGTGAATTCTGAAGACTCTGATGAACTTAAGGGGTTACCCGCCCACGTATTGAATTCATAATTACAAGAAATGGATCATTTCCCATATTCTCATAATAACCAAAGTATATAATTACCAAATTCATATATAGTACAATATAATACATTATACAATATAATATTATATGTATACAAAATTTATTTGATAATTTAATATATATATATAAAAACGATAATAACAATAATATATATATGATAATGTTAAACACCTAAACTAACATATATTTATATATACATATATACATGTCCATGATACGTATGTATATGTATATGTATATGTGTATGTGTATGTGTATGTATATGTATATGTATATATTCATATATGTATAATTGTATAATTGTATATATGTATATATGTATATATGTATATATGTATATATATGTATATATGTATATATGTATATGTGTATATATGTATCTATGTGTATATGTATATATGTATATATGTATATATGTATATATGTATATATGTATATATGTATATATGTATATATGTATATATGTATATATGTATATATGTATATATGTATATATGTATTGAGAATATCACCCAAAATATTTGGGGGATCCCTGATCTCCTACCTCCAAGTTCCCTGGTCACCCTGTGAACACGTTTGTCCTTGTAGCCAATGGTCTCTGTTTCCACTGCCCGCCCACCACTTGATGGATGAAGGAATTGGCGAACGGCCGGCAGCTGAAGTCTCCCAAAAGGTGTTCAGTGCAGATGGTCATGTGTCCAATGTCCAAAGCATGAAGTCCAATATACAATTCACACTCGTCCAAAATCAAAAATTTTTATGTAGGGACATTTTTAGATGTTTCTTCATGACCATCTCAAGTGATCCACCGGAGACGCTCGCGTTTGGATGCACGTTGTTTCAGGCTTTCTGTTTCATCAAACAAGGAATACTGACCAGTCTTCAAGCACTGACGCAAAACACTGGAATCCATTGTCTTAGTTAGTGTGTTAGCCAGCATAGCCTGTGTGCTAATCCAACGCATTGCAATATTTTCTTGCAACCTTTCTCGAATTAAGAGGCACTCCAGCGTTGTCCTGTACTCGCTACAGGATGGCGTTGATGTCTTAGTCGCCAAATCGTAGACGGATTTGCAATCAGTCACTGCGCTCGCTTTCGGGGCATTGGCCAAAATCTTACCTGGATTGCTCCAGTCAACTGTTGGATTCTTCAACCATTCCATATGACCCTGATATACCCCAAACGATCCAGCGCGGAACTTAAAGAAATTGCCTCCGCACTCAATGTGGAAGTTACCACACGTGGGATCCGTCGAGAACTCCAGGCTATGGGACATACCACAGTACGCTCGTTCCTTGCAAGGAGCAAGTCTGTTGAAAAGATCAGCGAACCCTGTCTTTATGCTAGGTCTTTTGATCCCGAGAATGAAGCATCGGAAAAGGAACAGAAAGTGACCTGGTGTTCGGGTATCGGGACAATCATAAGGCAAACAGGGTATTTCTTCCCCTCATACAAAACCCTGTTGGCTTCTAAGAGGTGCTGTGCCTGACCCTTGGTTACCATGGATTGCAAATGTCCCACCTTGGCACCCAGATCAGGTCGTGTATGCACTGCAGCAAACTGCAGACTACCACATATTCTTCTCAAATGCTGCACTTCTACTGGTGTCAGATCCGATTTTGGGTCCGCCCTCCTATGTTTGGGAATCTCAATAGGCTCGATACGACGAAGATACTCAGTCTGATCCATCTCAATAGTACCATCATCCCACTGTCGATATCTAACCCCACAAAACTCAAAACTTCCCTCATTGTAGGCCCCAAAAATCATAGATCCCCCTTAGTTTCTGCAGCACACTGTGAAAGTAGCTATCGCCGCCACCGATGCCATCGCCCACATGGATGCCCAGAACTCCTCTCACTCGTGGTGAGCCATCCTTTTCTGGTGTCACCAAACTGAAAAGACAACCATCAAGAGGACATGTTACAAAACCAAGCTTCTCTAAGGTTTCCCTGAAAGCTTTATACCACAAATAGGGAGCGCCTATGCGACCATATGCTCCACCCATCAAGGCACACTGTTCACTTCCCCTGATACCCAGTTTATCCCTTAATTCAGGTGGTGCATGTATCCCCAAAGCTCGACCATCCCCATGTCCCTTGAGAAAAGCCGTGGATATGTCGAAGTTGACAAGTTTCCATCTCCTGGATGCCACTTGTTGCAACAACAGCTGTTTGCCATCCTTTGACAAAGTTGGAGCGTCATTCGGTTCTGACTGCAAACCAGGATCCTCAAAACCCAAAACAACCAACCTTGCCCTTTGCTCTTTTTTTCAGTGGATCCAGGTGCTGGATTTTTCCAACTTAAAATCCAACGGCATCGCAAAACTTGTTCTGGGCTGAGTGTCCCCTTTGTGACTCTCTTGACAGTTCCATGGTCTATCCATGCTTGGACTTCTTTGGCTTTTGCGGCATCGAAAAGTGCACGATCCCCTTTTGTTTGAGCACGGTAATCAACCTCTACACGCTTCTTCTTTTCCCCTGTGGTCAACCATACTTGTTCCAACATTTCAGGGTGTGCACAAAACGCTTCTGCTACTTCGGGTTCCCAATCACTTTCTTGAAAATTGATCTCCCATACACCGGAAGTGGACGGTTCGAGTGTTACATCATCCCCAAACAACAAGTCCTCAGACCCATCATCAGGAATTGGAACCTCATGTGGTGCAAGTTCTTTATTCCCCTTTTCATCGGCCGGAAAATCTTCTTGTTCAGGTTGTTCCATGGCAGATGAGTTGATGGGAGTTACCGGAGAATATCCACCCCCTTCGGATAGCAATTCTTCCCCATTGTTCATATGATCATCACCAACACTTACATCGGGGTCCCCAACCAACTCTATGTAGTTTCTCCCCTGTGGCTTGTCATCTACTACCTGCCCATCATCATCTCTGGGAAGATTCACATATTCTCGAAGAGACGCTGGACGCACTTGATTGGGACTTGCTCGAATGAGGCGACCGAGATGGCTCAACCAAACAATCCTTTTCTGTTCAACAGCTACTACTTGAGCAGGCCCATGCCAGCGCCCTCTCTCAATCGTACTATTCCCTCTTACCTGACGCCAATAAAGAACCCAGTCTCCTCTTTCGAGTTCCACTTTGCCTGGGCGGCTCTGTCGCAGCAGTGCACGGCGAAAAGCGGAGTCATTGTCAGCCTGTAATAGGCCTTTCGCGCGGCCTCTCGCCTGAAGAGATCCTCTCGGAACTTGACTGTCACTGTCAGCCAAAGCATGACTACCAGCATTTGTGTCAGACACCAAAGATCCAGGAAGGTGCCGAGATTTGCCTAAAAGGCATTGTTCAGGAGTGAAGCCATTTACCCGAGACAAGGATTCTTGGCAGCAAACACCTGTCTCAAACAACGAGAAAACTCCCCCACAGTATCTATACTCATGTCCTTTCCCATTCGGGTCAACATCATTTTGACGATTTTGCCATGAGCTTCACTCCTTCCATTTTGCCAGTGAGATGATGCTGCTGTCATAGACACCTGAGTGCCATCGCCCTGAAGATGAGCAGCCCATGCATCATTGACGTATTCGCCAGCCGGATCTAGATACAGCAGGCGACTTGGTCCAGCCCACTGCACCCAGGTTTCCTGGTACGTTTGAATTTGACTCTCAACCTTGCGCTCACTCACTGCTCCAACGTGAAAAAGGGTGGCTTCATCAATAAAATGCATAAAATGAAAAACCTTCCCACTACGATTTCTCCAATAAGCCCCATCAGCACCAACAACATCATTGAAATCAAGATCAGAGTGAATGCGACCAGGTTGAGCCAACTTTGGTTTGTTTTGAGTTTCTACACATGTGTCACAACACATATCTTTGGACCCCTCAACAACTGCAGGCTTAGCTCCCCTTTCAACCAAGAACCTACAAAACTTTTCGGGGTCAGGATGTCCCAAGTTGACATGAAGCCTACGCAACTCTTCCCTTTCCTCCTTCCCCAAACTCAGAAACTTTGGTCCAGATTTGGGAACCAGCCTAGGAATCCAGCCCTCAATTTGATGGTGACCGTCTCCCTCCTTGGTTTGTTGGGGTTCTTTTCCAGGAACTGGCCCGGCAAAAATGTCATTGTCCATTTTTGGTCATCCATTGCGCGGAGGGGAATCTAAAATGATTTCCTCTTGTCCGGCTGAGACTGCGGCTGATGTGCCTGTTCCGAGTTGCCCGGATGGCAAATGTTCCTATGAGTCTCCAGGATCCGACCATCTGGAAATGGATCTAGGGGAAGGCTACAGTGTCAAGTACTCCGAATCTGTCTCAACCTAGGCATCCTAGTCCATTCTGCTGGGGGCCCCAAACCAACAACATCCCCACTATCCCTTCCAATGATTACAGTCTTTCTTAAAGGGAGTTGGTCGCCATGTCCATCAGTGCCATCGATGCGATGTCGATCAGTGCCGCGACATGCAATGATTAATCTCACATCCATGTTGGGAACCAATTGTTGGGTCAACTTAATCAACATGTGATCACCCTCAAAACGTTGACCACCAACCCGCTTGGTCTCATACCCTGCTGTACGAAAAAGATCCCTCCATGTTGGTGCTTTCCCGTACATGGATGTTTCAGGTTGCTTCAATGCAACTCGACGCCGCTTTTGCAACTGCAAACATTCTTGTGCCAGTTCGGGTCTTTCGTGAATTTCTTTTTCCTCCAACCAAAAAATCATTTCTTCCTCCAAAAGAGGTCTTTCGGGTTCCTTACATTCCCCCAAAATTTCCTTGGCCACACGTCGTGCAAACTGTGCTGTGTAGGCTTGTGCGTACTCTGAAACCGATTTCCATGTCCCCTTTTCTTCTGAATTTCCCTTTTATGGGGTTATGTTGATGGTTCCCATTACAAAATTGTTCATGAACCCTTTCAAACAGTTTGCGACTTGTGGTAAACACCTGAGTCCTCTTCTGATGAAAGTCCTTGGAGGAGGGTAGGTGTAAACGTCCAACCTGGCACATGTCGAAGATTGCTGGCAACGTGCCCAGCCGAATGTCTTGCAGTTGCGGTTGATAGATCATCTCTGACCCGCGTGGTTGTTCCAGGTGAAAGTGTCTTCCCTTGCTGATTTGGTATAGATAAATCTGGTTACAGAGCTCTAAATGAGGTATATCAGATTGTCTTTCACTAGTGAGTTTGTCAAAAGCCTCCATGCTTCTTCCCATATTGAACCGAGCCCAGTTACCCCCACAAACGACATTCGGGGGCTACCCACACATGTCTGGGTTCATAATTCGATCCACGTCCATAATTTTTGTTGTCCTGAACTGGTGGTCAAATCCCCGTCTTCTTTGGTAAACCTAAGGGCCCTACCTCCCTTCATATTACACACTTTGGTAAGTTCGGATTCTTCATCACAATAGATTTCCAGTAGATCAACCCTCTTACTTACCCATTTCCCCGAAAATTTGGTCCTTTCCCTTTTAATTTCTGAACTCTTTTTAATCCCACAATATATGGGGTCACTTGATAATTTGGACAACCCGTCCTGGATTTTCTGTGACTTGTCCTGGAGTTCACATTGGATGAAGGCAACCTCATCGGGGGTCAGAGTCTTCAGGCCGCTTCCGACTGCCATGCTTGCCCGGTCAGCTCGACGTTGAGATCTCGCTGCAGGGCTGCGATCTGTGCTTGCAGTTGGGCAATCTTCTCGGCATTGGGCAGTGTCTCCATAGTGTTGTTCTGACTTGGCAGGCTTCTCTTGCTGCCCTTCTCGATCTCGGACACATGTGTCCATTCGTTCTCCACCTTGGTGGTGGCCTTCTGTGCTGCATCCTTCTGGCTCTTCTCCTTGATCAGGCGATCGTTGGTGCGTGGTGTCAACCACGGAGCTCCGCCAGCACGGATCAGATCTGCCACCTCGGGTGTCATATGAGGTGAGATAGGCATCTGTAGTCCCTGACGTTTTGCTTCGCCCTCGTGGTGATCGACACTGGCTTCTCGGCGATGACGACAGTAGAGTTGAAAGCTCCTCAGCCATGGCGCGACTGCCTTTCTGTTCCACACCTGGTTCACATAGGACCTCTCTTTCTCGTAGACCGTGGCATAGGTCTTTGACTGGTGCTTGCCCGATGGAATGATCATAGTTCCCCACTCTGCCAGATTGGCCACCCCCGGCGGTCGAGTGAGAGTGGTCGGAACATCCTGAAACACCTTCTGGTCCTTCAGAGATTCGTCCACTGGAGACGTCAACATCCGGGCAAGGTACGGCACCGATGACTCCATGGCCTTGTCGAGGCGAAGAGGGTCCTTCAGAACGGATTTCACCTGTGGTGACTTCCTCACTGAGCACGATTGCTGCATTGGGATTTACAGGATTCTGCTGAAGATTTTCGGTAACGTTTTCTTTAAGAAAACAACTTTCCTGACTTTGAATTCCATCAGAACTGTTCTGATTCAAATCATGCAAAAATTTTTGGGCATGTTGGTCAGTGGAATGTTCATCCCCTTCATGAGATTCTTGTGTCAGCAAGCTGTGTGTTTGTGCGCGCGTGTTCAACCTGGGGGTCTTCATCAACAAATCCATCACCTTTACTCCCAAAAGATTCTTTCTTACCCCGAACAGTGGGATCCAAACATCACTACCCTTGAAACCAAGCTGTCCACCCTCAACATCAACAACTCCCTGTAGCTTCCCCAATGCGTTTGAGATAAGAAAAGGTGTCTGGCCCGGCACAACTTCAACGCGTAGCCAGTCATTTTGAGCTCGAGGAAGTAAGACTGCATAGTCACTTGACAATCGGCCAGCATTTCCAAACTTGAAAACAATGCCATCAGTGGGAACCCTCATGACCCTTCTTCTAATCTCGGGGGGAAAAGATCGGAACAACATTTCGGGTCTATCACTACCAATGACAGCACGACTGGCACCAGTGTCAATGATGGCCTCATCGGCCGCTTCCTCCGCATTAAAAATCTCATGACCACCCGCAGAAGGCTCTTGGCTCTGCAGAAAAGTGGCATCAGAACGGACTGGCTCATGCGTGGGCGTTGCAACAGCGGGTCTTTGAGTCAGTATTCCTACAGCATTTGCGCAGGTGATGGACCAATGTTTGTTGCAGACTACGGCTACCCCTCTCCCCTATTCCAAGAAAAACACATTCCGGGTTATCGCACTCCCCCCCATGATTCATCCCTGGGTTAGGGTTACTTTGAATTGGGCCATCTCCACAACTCCCCTGAATTTTGGACACCTTCCCAACCTCAAGAGTGCCATGGTGGTAGCACTGAGCATTGGCAGGCAGTTGCGAGATCACCTCATTTCCTTCGTCCTGGATCGCCTTCTTGTCGGAGTCCACAACCAGGTACTCATCAGTCATGGTGCCCGTGAAGGCTTCCCCAGGCGATCTTCTTGATGTCTCCAGTCGAAGAAGAGCTTGCTCCCAAAGGACGTTCTCTCTTCCAGTGACCCGGTTTGCCACACCTCCTGCATGTGCTATTTGCAATGCGGTTCGCCAAGGTTTTGCGGCGACCCACCTGAGCATTGCCAAGGCTCCCCGTTGATCTCTCCTGGAATCCATGACCTTTTCCTTTTGTTCGATTCCATCTCCCCTTCTCGCGTCCCTTCTGTCCACTCAACGGCCAGAACCCGCGAGACCGTGCCTTCTCCTTCAAGCGCGATCGAGCTTCTTGGTAGGCCATGAAACAGCCTGAAAGCTCACTTGATTCTTGGCAGGCTGCCATGATCTGCTCCTCGAACTCTTGGACAAAATTGGCGTCTTAATCTCCTTCTTCCGCCAAAGTGGCGATCAGGAGTTCATCATCTACCTCTTCAGCTGCATCATCATGGAAGTACACCTGCTCCTCATCGATGTAGTTCACATCATAGGTCTTGAGCTTCGTTCAGGAGCTGGATCTGTTTTCGAGCACCATCATATGTGAGTTCACCTTGACTATCCATGATCACCCTCTTGCGCTCTTCCGGTGTCAAGAGAGATTGCCTCATCAAGACATTTGCTCGAACTTCTTCAAGAGATACATTGCGATTCAGCAGATGTCCTCGGCATCGAGCTTGCCCCATTGGCCTCCAAGGGCCTTCACCAAGTAGGAGACCCCATCAGGCTCTCGAAGTTTGGCTGGATCCAGGCGTGAGATTTTCTGGAATGCCACCCCTTCTACGGCCAATGCCGCTCGAGGCCCCAAATGTTCCAGCTGATCTCTCGGCCAAAGCGACTGAAGAAACTCCAGCTTCCGAGCGTACGTTCTCAAATCCGTTTCACCCGGGATGAGCTTTGGAATCTGGTTCCAGGGGATGGCTGAATTGTAGGTCCCGTCTCCAGTGGCCATGGCTCACAGGTCAATTGACCACGGCACCAGAAATGGCGTGCAAAAAGAAAATGAATTGTCCGTGGGAACAACAGGCCTACGTTCTAAAGAACCCTGTTGACCTAGGAAGGTTTATTCAGTTTATTCAAAAATTGTTTTAGGGAAGTCCTCTACTCTGTCCGCGGCAGCCCAGTGCTCCGCTACCAATGCGAATATCACCCAAAATATTTAGGGGATCCCTGATCTCCTACCTCCAAGTTCCCTGGTCACCCTGTGAACACGTTTGTCCTTGTAGCCAATGGCCTCTGTTTCCACTGCCCGCCCACCACTTGATGGATGAAGGAGTTGGCGAACGGCCGGCAGCTGAAGTCTCCCAAAAGGTGTTCAGCGCAGATGGTCATGTGTCCAATGTCCAATGCATGAAGTCCAATATACAATTCACAATGTATATAATATGTATATAATATGTATATAATATGTATATGTATATGTATATGTGTATATGTATATGTGTATATGTATATGTGTATATGTATATGTGTATATGTATATGTATATGTGTATATGTATATGTATAAATGTATATGTATATGTAAATATGTAAATGTATATGTATATGTGTATATGTATATGTGTATATGTATATGTGTATATGTATATGTGTATATGTATATGTATAAATGTATATGTATATGTAAATATGTAGATGTATATGTATATGTATATGTATATGTGTATATGTATATATGTATATATGTATGTATGTATATATGTAATATATGTATAATTGTATATATGTATATATGTATAATTGTATATTTGTATATATGTATATATGTAAATACGTATATGTATATATGTATATGTATATGTATATGTATATTCCTCTGCTGGCGACTGTTGGTGACGTTTTTATTTCGTTGTCGAATATCGCTGTCCAGATATTCCGGATGCCACCACAGCGATTACCATTGTTGCCATGGGCACTTCATTGCCTGGACCTTAGCAACGGATCTGTTTTTTTTGTAAGGAAAATCTGAGGGAAATCAGAGGTTTTACGTGTTTTTTTGCATGGTTTTACCTGGTTTTACTTTCCAACTTTCTTGGATTTTTCCTGAATGCACGATGTCCCAGCAATTGTTGGAACACTGGCTGATGGCTGTGGACAAGCGCAGGCTATGATGTCTATCGCGATTAAGCAGTGTTGTTACCATCATGGATGATGAGGATCCATTCATTGTTGGAACTCTCGCATGGCTCATGGCCAATGCTCATGCCGTATTGTGGATTGAAGTGGTGATGGGTCAAGTGCTCCAAGATGGTCAAATTTTGATTTTGGCAAGTACACTCGGGCATACACAATTGATCATAATTGCATTCAACAAAAACACCTTAGAGGTGTCTCACAAAACCACCGGTTGCCCAAGATCTTGACGAAGGCCAGACACATTTGCATCAATGACCTCTGCATCCAAAGACGACACAGCGGATTCATGGCTGCACTTAATGCGGATTGCAAGAGATGGGTCAAAAATCAAAACTGAAAAAGTGGACTTGGACCAATGAATTGCGTAGCCATACGGAGGTTTCCTAAAATGGAGGTACACCTAAATCATCCATTTTGATAGGAATTTTCCATTATGAACCATCCATTTTTGGGTACCCCCATTTTAGGAACCCCCCCAGGCTACCAGCCAGTTGATGTGTCAGGATTCGTCCATTGTCAACGCAGCAGCCTCGGTTTTGTCCTAGTGGAGGGTCAGGTCAACTTTGCAGGACACTCCCGAAAAGTGAAATCATTGGGCAAGTTTAAAGGAAATTGATAGGGAACCATAGTCTTTACCCCAAAATACTGGGTCTATCCGCCTCTATCCTGCAGATTTTCTCTTCAACCAATCAATTGATGAACAGTTATCTTATCTGGAGAAAAGTCGAAACTCGCGATCCATGGGGAAAACATATTGCACGGGGTTCCCGTAGAGAACTTCCGTAGAAAATCTCCCAATCAGTTCAGTTTTGTTTTGTTCTGCCCAGGTGACTGGAAGCAACTCTGTGAATGTCTACCTGGGCATTGGCATTCCTTGGTTGGCTGCAGCAATTTATTGGGCGGCGGCCTCTGGGGTCAGAAGCTCAGAACGGCGCCCAGGATCTCCCAGATCTCCCCTTCTGGGGATGGCTTGCTGGACCCATTTTGTGGGCGATGATTGTGCTGGTTGTTGATGGTTGTTGATGGTTCCTGATGCTTGTTAGTGGTTGTTTTTTGTACCCGATTTTGATAAATAACCACCCATGGGAATTGCTCGTGTCGTGCCCTCTTTCCAGTTGTTCCCATCATGCTCCAAGGACACGTTGTTAGCGTGGAAATTGAGATACGCCGTCAGAAGCTTGGGCAATTTGAGGCAGTTCGACAGTTCCGGAGAATTTCACACGGATCATCCCGCTTCAGTTTGGATGCAGCTCGATGATCTTCCGCAGTTTTTTGGGTGGTTGCCCTTTGGTAATTTAATATAGCAACTATTGAACACATCCCCTTTACAGATCTTTCCAGATGATTTATCCCCTAAACCATGGTGATTGTCCATAGCAATGTTGAATTACCAGGGGGTAACTGTGGATTTTTTGCAGCTGAGACCGTGCTCGATGGAGCCTTGGTGTCGAATTACCCCAGCGGTGCTTTTGTGGTCCAGGCTCTGTGGATTTTGCGAGGGCATTTTCCACCGGGGATACCCTCTGGTAAACTAACATAAGTATGGAAAATCACAATTTTTAATGGGAAAACTCACTATTTCTATGGCCATTTTCAATAGCAAACGGTTAAATTACCAGAGGGGATATGGGGGATCTGGCGAAGGAATACCAACAAGCACTGCTTTCTCCAGGCACCCATAGGCATTCGTCTGAATACACCGTGACATGATTCCCCAGGTTTGGAAAAACCCAAGAATATTCACCACCCAAGTTTCAAAGGCCATAAGGGAATATCCCCACAAAATATAACCTATAATATGGTAGAATGGGGGTAGAATGTGAGAAAATGACATGTAGAAATAGTGAACTCTAACCTATAAGGTACAGTACCTCCATTTTGGGGTCCTGAAATTGCCACCCAAATTTTGGAGAAACCAGTGGGGTGGTGAATTTTCAACAGCGCGAGGGTGGAGCGCTGGGATTCAGCGTCCTCATCTTCAACTGCGTGGCCATCTCCTGCTTGGCATGGAAGCCCAGGGGGCGGCTGGAATCTCTGCATGAAACTGACAATACTTAACATTACTATACATTACTTAACTACCCCCCTGGCTGGTTCACAAGCAGTTTGGCCGTGGCTCAACCCCCCTGGGGACACCGTCTGCGTGTCGCCACCGGAAGCAAGTTCGGCAGCATCCGCATCCTCAGCATCATTGTGTTTTCATGCAAAACTCCCTGCCAAGCTAGCTTTTGTCCCTTACCCACGGGCCTCAAGTAGGAAGATGTTTTTGTGGCACTGACTCCCATGAAATCATTGGAAAGCTCGTTCTGAGGACGATTCTGAGTAAGCCGAGTAAGCTTTGGGGTTTTGTTGAGAGGATTGCAGCCCATCGGATCATCGACTGGAGCTGCAGCTACTGGATACCAAGCATTCCATCACGCTTCAGGTCATCCTGAGAGTCCGCCGATTGGCCTTGGGTGGCGAGCTGGGTGGTCCCAAGAAGCTGGCCTATGTGGGCGGCTAAGCCGTTGAAGCCGTTGAAGCCGTTGAACGGGAACGTGGGGACGGTTGCTGCCCCGTGTTTGGTGATGGATGGGTAACAACGTGGTAAAGGCCCCACAGATTGTGAACAGATTTTTGTCAGTTTGGAGTTACTGAGAAAACATTTATTTTGGGGTACTTCAATCTTGACAGAAAACCACTTGGGGATGTGTCAGAGAAGGGATACCAATCGACCCAGGAAAACATTGATTTGTAGACACCCCAAGAAGGGGCCCAAAATCAGGAGCTCCAGTACCAAACCAGGGTTTTGTTTGGGGCTATTTACAGTAACACTATTGTGTTAACACTTGTTAGTCCTGTTGGGGACTATTTAGAACTGGGGCAGCTGACGTGCAGTGCCTCCGCCGTCGTTCCAGTCGCTGTTGGGCATGTTGGGCAAAGCTGGGCTGCAAATTCTGAGGCGAGTTCCGCGACCCTGATTTTCCTTTGGCTTTCCTACACTGGCAGCTCAATCTGGAGGACTGCAGCAACTGGAATATTCTGTTGGGCAATATTTTTGCCACCATTTGCATCTTTGACCAGCAAGTCTAATAAGAATGGTGTGTGTTTCGGGGGAGTTTCAAAACAAGAACTGACTTTGAGTTTTTTGTCATAGTCTCATACTTTTGCGGTCACGCAAAGACTACCAGTGACTACCAGTAACAGCTGGAACCAGGAACAGCTCGAAAGACGCAGAGGCTTGGCACATCCGAATTTGCTGCTCTAGATCTCTAGCGCTGATGCTGCACTTTACAGGTGATGATCTACCCCTTGGCTGCCATTGCAGTGCTGGCAGTTATTGGTAGCTGCCTCAGTGGTTTTCGGATGCTTCCGAGAATGGAAAAAATATGCAGGAAAGCCCAAGAGATTTGGTGGTTCAACCATGTTAAGCCATGTGAAACCCATGGTTTCCTGTAGATGTTTCCAACGAAACCAATCTGAGGCGGCCTTGTCTTTGAGCTCTCTGGAAAGGGCCGATTTGATCCAGAGGCGGCCAAGGACGGCACTCCGGTTGATGATTTTGTATGGGGTTATAGTACCCGCAAAAGGATAGAAAAGTCGTTCATGACTATTGACTATTTGTGTGATTTTAGTGGGATTTTAGTTTCTATCTTTTTGGGGATTGCTATACAATACTATTCAATATATTGGGATGGTAACAATGCAGTGGGAAATCCTATTCACCCGCCAGTGTAAAGGGATGCCATTTCGGGTTTTGAACACTGCAAGAGTCATGATGGGAGTTGCAATGAAACGCGTTGCTTTTCGGAAACCGATGGTCGGGAAGCCCTGATGTCGACCAGGCTTTGTAGATTTTCCAGGATTTTCCCATAGAAAACCAACACAGCCACAAACATCCCAGGAAGATGCTGAAGCCAGAAAGGGCCTCAAGGTTTGGAGGGTCAAGTTCTGCGGTTGCAACCACCCAATCCTTCTGGCTTGGGAGTTGACTGGGGGGGAAAACATATGTAGTAGGGGAATGTAGGGGGTCCATTATATTTGGTGGCATGTTTCTGATCCTTGGTCCAAGGTGGGTTTAACTCACTTGCAACTGCATTGTAATCGACCCGATGTGCCAGCTAGTAAACTGGATGCTCATCCGAGTCTCCATTCAGACTGGATTGCATTGGTTTAAGGGGTCAGTTTTTTTGAGGAAAGCAGGTGGTTTTGTCTTCATCTAATAGAAGAAACCTTCCTCGAAACAAATCTGGGATTCATGCAGCGACAGGATCATGCAGCGCCAGAAGTGGTAGTTCACGGAGTGGCAGAGGACATGAACAACGCCGAGGTGACTGACAACATCAAGGACTGAGCTTTCATGGATTCTGGGGAGTATGGATCAAGAACCAGGTTTTTGACCCACCACTTTGTCATGAGTAGCCCATCCATATTTTTTTGGCGACATGACCCATGGCCCATAGCCATGAATTAAACCTTGGTGATGAATAGTCACTAGCTGCATGGGCTGCTTTTTGGCCAAGTCCAAAGGAGGGCTTAGAGCCAGAGAAGCACGGTGCCTCAGAGAGCTGGCTGCCTCAAAAATTCATGGCCTGTTTCGCTTCGTGGCTTTGCATGGCTTTGCACTGAGGATTGGTGCCTCTACCCTTGAGATTCCGCCTGAGAGCAGTGCACCCAACGCGTCTGGGGACTTAGATACGAGACCAATTTGGAATGGAAATAAAACAAGGTTGTTCAGTCAGGGAGGAAATTCCCCACCTGGGTCCGGGTGCAAAGTGATTCCAGAAATGGGGTTTATCCCCAATTGGCCATTTAGGGAGATGATTCACCAAATGGATCAAATTCAGATAGGGGTACCAAATTTCAACCAAACTCAAATTTCATCATGTTTATCCTGTGAAAGTATCACCTGGCAGGCAAGAGGCGCCAGAAGTTGATGCCGAAGTCCTTTTAGAGGTCCCAGGATCCGAAAAGCTCGAGGAGGCGAGGTCATTCTGTTGGTCAAGTCCTGTTGATCCATCATGGAAATCTAGGTGTAGCCCATTTTCAAGTGACCCAATACGAACTGAATATTTCACACCTCCAGTAATTTTGGGGAACTCACCAGTTAATCGATCGTGACCCACAAAAAACAGGCAAGGTGGCAAGACAGCCCTGCCCTCGATGTTTCAATGCTCAGGTTGTATCCCCAGAGTCATCTTCGGCGCTGGATGAGGTGAGCAGAGGATCACAGATGAAAATGGGAAATCCCTGACATCCCTGGCCCTTGTCAGGGATGTCATGGGAAAATCATCATTAGCTTAATTAACTTGCCAGATTTCGGAAAAAATGCCGGTGTAGATTGCAAATCTGGATCCTTTCGTGTGCTCACGGGTGTGCTTTGCTTGAGAAGATTGACTTCAGTCACTTTGCCCAGGGGAAGAAGAAACGACCAAGTCCCAAGAAATCTGCTCGTGGCACAGAGGTTCAGTACTGTGGTGGTATTGCCACAGGCCGTTGATGACCATTTCTTGACCAGATCCGACAGGCTGGAGAAGCGAAGGAGAAGAAAGTTCCAAAGAAGAAGAGCGAAGCGAAGCCAAAAGTGCGCTCCAGAAGCCAAAAAACCGAACAAATACTGCTGCAGTTGGTTTGATTCGGAAGAGCTGCTTGAATGATACCTGCAAACCAGGCTCCTACCGAAGAGCCAAAAGAAGATGCGAAGGACGAATGAGTAGCCGATTTTCCGCAGCCAAAGCAAGATTGCTCTGCCAGAATCTCTGCCAAGCAGAGATAAATGGCTCAGACCGAACTGGACTTGCCGGTCCGACAGAGCCATCGCACTTGGTTTGCTGCTTATGCGGTCTGCTGCGAAGTGATGCTTTCAGCATAAGAAAGCCATTGCTTGGCAGCAGAATTACTCTGACTCGCAGGAGTCTGACAAGATAACGTTTGTAGCCCATTGCAGCGATTGGAGGAAGGCAAAACATCAGCCAGGATGGGGCTATCAAGTCTTGCAAGTTCAGGTGCAGATCACTTCTTTCCTCGCTGCGTGTGCTATAAAGGGACCTGGGCCAAGCCCGTGTTTATTCCCAGACATGTTCCGCAGTTTACCCCTTGCTCTTTCGATGCCGCAAGGCCCAATTGGAAGAGCATGCTTGTGTTGCTCGACAAACTTGAATGTTGTAACATGTGAGCTTGTTGCAAGTACTTTGCTATTTTTGATGTTAATGTTGCTGCCGTCGACAACGCTACATGTTATTTTTTTTGGATTGGATGCACCTCTGGGTGGTTTCAATCTGAATGCAACTTGGTTAAACCAAGGAAAATATAAATAATATACATATAATATATATATACATATTATTATGAGTAACCAACAAGATTAGCGGAAGACTAAAGTAATAAGGAGTGGACTTGGGATGCTCAAATTTGTATGAAAACCTTCACAACCGATAGGGGACCACCCACTTTGGCCATATTTATTGCGAGTAATAAATAATAAATAATTTTATTTGTAACTCATTGAATAACCGACAAATTTATCTACATACTGAAATTAATAATAGGAAATGAATTGGGATATTTAAATTTGGGTTAACAATTTCAGAACCCAAAACGGACTACCTACTTGCTGATACCGATATCTTATTTTTATTTTTGTTTACATAATATGGAAATATAAACCTTTATAATTGATATTTTGTTTATTGCTTATAAAATTAATATATATATATCCGTTGAAATTTCCCTTATGGAATGGTTGGTTTTAAAATACAAAATCGATTTTTAGGATTATTTTATGAGAAATTATGTTCCGTAGGCTAATAAAAAAAAAATATTTTATAATTTTTTTAATATTTTATTATATTATAATAAAATAAATAATTTAAATATATGATATTTTTGGAAAATTATTATTATTATTTTTTTAAAATATATATATAAATAATTAATAAAATTATTAAAATATTAATTTAATTTTGTTTTATTTTGGGATTTCGGAGGTTATATAAAATCTTTATAATCGATAGGAAATAACACCGATATTGATAATATAATATTTATTCGATAGGGGATAATCCTAATTTATATATAATATTATAAATTTAATATATAATTTTATTAATATATTATTTATTCGATAGGGAACGATTTTAATTTATATATAATATTATAATTTTAATATATAATTTTATTTATTATTTATATATTATAAAATAATATTAATTTAATTATTTTATATTTTTAGATATATACGTATATTTTTTTGCTCGATTTTTTTAGGACTTCTTTAATGGTACTGAAATAGTCCGATTATTTTGGGATTTGGAAAAATAAGAAATTTTAAAATAGGAATTGCGGTTTTAGTCTTTGTCCCGTAGCCTAATTATATGATATATTCTTGATTTTTCCTTAATTCGATTCCCCCGAGATCTATTTAATTCCGCCTTTGTTTGCCTAGTTTTTGTGATATTATTTCTGTGTTTTTTCTAATATGTATTTCTGTAAAATGATCCGTTTGCTGCATCCTTCTACCGTATATACTGCGCTTGCTTCCTTAGCCTGTGCGCGCTATTTTGGGGAGCTTTTTTGGGACACGGTTTTCGGTAGTAATTTTGGAGAGCAGCTTTGGGGAATAGCTGTGGGGAGCAATTCGCGGCTTTGCAACAGCATTGGTGACCAAAAACTTTGAAAAATAATAATTTTGGGGAGAAATTTTAGAAAAATAATTTTGGGAAGCTGCTTTCACAAACAATTTCAGGGGTAGCTGTAGTACCTTGGGAGTGTAACTGTTCGGAGCAGTTTCGATATTAATTTTGGGGAGCGCTTCGGGGAATAGCTTTGTGGAGCAGGTTTGGGGAGTAGGTTTGGGGAGCAGCTTTGGGCAGTAGGAGTAACTTTAAGGAGCAATAAGGCAGGGAACACCTTTGGGGATTAATTTAAATATGTGATTTTGGGGAGCAATTTTCGGCAGTAACTTTGGGAAGTAGATTTCGGGAGCCGCTTTGGGAAATAGCTTTGGGGAGCCGTTTTGGGGAATAAATTTGAAGCATAGTAACTTTGATACCCGCTTTACGGCGGTGCTTTGGGGAACAACTTTGAGCAGCAACTATAGGGAATTGCTTTGGGAAATAATTTTAAGAAATAGGTTTGGGAAATTTAAATAATAATTTTAAAATATCGCATTTTTGGGGAGCACCTTTGGGAATTAGCTTTAGCATATAATTTTGGGGAGTAGTTTTTGGCAGTAATTTTGGGGAGTAATTTTTAGAAGCCGCTTTGGAGAATACCTTTGGTGAGCCTTTTTGGGAAATAGGTTTGAAATATAATTATTTTGGGGCAATCGTTTTGCAAAGGAATATTAAAAAATAAATATTAGTTTTGAAAAATAACAGATTTAGGCCGTAACTTTCGGGGAACAACTTTACAAATAATTCCGGGGAACAGCTTTCAATACTACTTGTAGGGACCAACTTTGGGGAACCGCTTTGTATAATTTGGGGAGCCATTTTTGGGGTATAGATTTGAAGCATAGCAACTTTGGAGTAACAGCTTTGGGTAGTAGCTTTGGGCAATACTTTTCGATAACGACTTTGGGACGCAATTTTCGGGAGCCGCTTTGCAGAATGGCTTTGGGGAGCCGTTTTGGCGAACAGATTTGAGAAGAACTTTGGGGTATAGTTTTGGGAAGGAATTTTAGATAATTTTCCGGACTAGCTTTGAAATAGGTATGGGGAGCAACTTTGGATTTTTGGGGAGCTTCTTTGGGATACGGTAATTTTGGGAGATAATTATGGGATATAACTTTATAATTTTATAATAATATTAATATTAATAAAAATATATTTTAAAGAAAAAAAAAATTAGGAAATAATTTTAGAAAAATAAATTTAGAAAATTTCTTTTAAATATAATTTTTGGGGGTAGCTTTAGTAATTTGGGGGAGCAGCTGTTCGGAACAATTTTTAATAATAATTTTGTGGAAAAAAATTGGGGAATAGGTTTGGGGAAATATAGGTTTAAAGAATAATTATGTACGGCAACTTTAAACAACAAATTTAAATAACAATAAGTAAGAACCCGTAATTTTAGGAAATAATTTTAGGAATTAATTATAATACTTAATTTTAGGAAGTAAATTTCAATAATATTTTTATTTTTTCAACATCGCAACTTCTAAAAATAATTTAAAGCTTAAATATTTTAATGTATTTTGTATATTTTAACTTAAAAATATATTTCATACCACAACGGCATATATTTTTTCGATATCGCAACTTCCAAAAATAGTCCGAACATAAGGTATTTTTATTTTTTTATTTATAAATCGGTTTCGTACCACAACGACGCGTACTTTTTCGACATCTCGACTTCCAAAAATAGTCCGAAAATGCTATATTTTATACATTTTAATTTCAAAATGTATTTCATGCCACAACGGCGTATAATTTTTCATTTCTTATTTAGCCAAATAATTCCGGACCCGGCGGTTTAGTAAATTTACTTTTCGACCCTCCAAAACCGCAAATTATTTAAAAAACACAATATTTTACGATTTTCCTACCTTTTCATGCATCTATATCGTTTTTTTTCTAACTCTTTTTCTTCTCTAATCTCTTCTCTTCTACTCTTCTCTTCTCACTAACTCTTCCCATCTCTACTTTTCATCTATCCATATTATCGGAAATTTAACTTCTAAATTTCTTTCGATTAATAAATAATATATTTCTATTTAAATATTATATTAGTATATAAATTAATTATATAATTTTATAATTTAAATTTATAATTTTATAATAATATATATTAGGTAAATAACTAAATAAATAAATATTGTAAAATATAATAATTAAACATTTCTAAATAAATATTAATTTAGGCATATATTTTATCAATATACAAAAAACACGAACAAAATTCTTTATTATTTGCAATAGATATGGCCAAAGTAGGTAGTCCCCTATCGGTTGGGAAGATTTGTATTTCCACTTTGTGTAAACATCGGGTATCGGTCAGTGGGTGGTCCCCTGTCGGTTGTCAAGGTTTCCTCACAATTTAAACATCCCAAATCCACGACCTCCTATTTTAGTCAATCTTCCGTTAATTTTTGTCGGTTACTGATACATCCATATATATATATATTTATAAAAGATACATGCATATATAAACTTAAATAAATATAAAATAAATAAATAAATAACATATATTCTTTAAAAGGAAAATTCCGCAATCTAAATCAATTTAAAACCCGGCAAGCATTGGAACTTGTCGCATCCCCTTGGCTCCTCAGGATCATCTAGGATCGATGAAAAAAGCGAATACAAGGAACAGGAGAGAGGTGTTCATCAAAAAAAGCATATTTTGTCTTCAGACACGTATTTCGGCAAATCCACATTTGTTTTGAAAAAGGGGCGTGATTGCGATGTACTATTAGTGTCGCCTTTAATTTTACAGATAGTAGCTGTGTAAATGCTACATTTGGCAATTTTCAGCTTTTTCGGCCTGCTGCGGCCACCAAAAGTGTATTAATTAATCATGAATTGCCTTCAAATCAAAAACACAGCGGGACACTTCATTTACCATATTTATCATACCAATCTTATGTTTGTTCCCGGACCTTTTGCCGTCCAGAAATTCCAGAAACCTCAGTGAGCCAGGCACTGGGATTGAATGCGAACAAATCTGGGACTACAAAGCAGAAATATGCACAAATGTCAGCAAAGGAGCAGGTTCTTTCGCCAAGCACTTCTTCTCAATCCTTTTTTCGCCTTATCTTGAATTAAAGATATGAGAAGCACAGCAGCAACTGAATGAAAAAAAGAAACATGAAGCATGTGGATTGTCTGAAAATGCCGGTGCCACCAAACTAGCCAGAATTAGGGGCACAAGGGGCACCATATTGTCAGACAAACCGATGTGGTCTTATTTGGCAAACGGCTCTGAAGGCCAGCGGTGGTGGCCCCAAAAGACCTCACAGGAAATGACACGAAATTACTCGGAAACTGACCGTGAAAGGTATTCTCTTGTAAACAGCTGAGATGGCAATGGAACATCCAAATTTGCAAATCGACTCTCCCAGAAACAAATGGAACTTGCTGTAAACCCAGGTTTGATTGCCAAAGGGTACTCTGAAACATGTGTCTTTCACCGCTTGTGTCGTGAAATGTTTCCTGGCCTGCAATAAATGGCATTGCATCTTCTTCACCGTCATCCCCCAGTCTTCCAGATCCTTCACCAAGTGAACGCTTCGGAAGTTCCAATCTTCTGAATTTGAAGTAACGGCGGCAACTCGTGCGCTTCACTGGGACTAGGATAAGTTTCGATTCTGCCCGCTAAAATGGGTAGTTGATGGTAGTTGAATACCAAAAGTGACCAAATTAGTGGTTCCATTGGCCAGTTCGGCCAGTTTGGGCCACAGGAAAAAAACCTGGAAGGTTTGCTGAGGTCACGACCACCTTCTTCCCGATTTTCAAAGGAGTCTGTTAGGTCACCTCCAGGTTTTCCACGTCTCTTCTTTGGATGGGGAACTCCCGATCGTGTCGGCATTGCCGTTGGTGGTGTCTCCAAGCCACCTCCCACCTCATTTGTTGGGGCATACCATATCTGGGGGCCGGTAAAGGTTGGGACGGGTCGAACTTCAAAGCCCCAAGTGCCTAGAGACAAATCTTGGTCAATTGGTCATTTCAAGTATTGACCATCTGATTTTATCATATTTTATCGGGTACCAGGTGCCAGACCCAGACCCAGGTGTCTCCGATATTGGAGGAGGAGCTCCAGGCATTGGCGTTCCCTACCCCCAAAAACTATCTCAATGTTTGAGGGCTTGATCATGCCGTTTTTTGTCGGTCATGAGTCATGCTCCAACATCATGTACCCACTTTTCGCCCAAATGGTTCTGACAGCCCAGGATTAAAGAACCACCAAATTATCCACTAGGGCTACGAATAGTCAGGGTTTGTTCATCTTGGGTTGACATGTCCCTAGGTCCATAAAATCATCCAATGCTCAAGTCGAATGGCGACTGGTGTTCTCATGTCTTCGGCCATGGGAAGGTGCCGTGGAGCCTCGGTGTCTCCGAAGTATTCGTCAAGTCTTGCGGCCAAAGAAAGGTTGACAGACACTGCTGAAACAAACGTTGGCCTGCCATTTTTCAATCAGCATATCAGCCAGGTTTGCAAGGTCAAAACCTACATCATCCATGCAGTGCAAGGTCCCCAAGTGCTTCCAGGAACAGGTGGCGAACTCCCTGGTGGGAGGTTGTTCTTGGCATCCATGTCTCGGGTGATCTCAGCAAGCCTTTCCTGCCCACGAGCATCCCACTGGTCCCAGCCGGGATGATCCCCCAAGTACCACCCTGTCCCTCTGACCCCGCGCCTTATCAGACTCCCTGAGCTGTGCTACAGTTGCTGGTAACAGGTAACAACGACTTTGAACACACCAGCCAACATTTCTCAGTCTCATGTGTACCCCTGGGCCCTTTTGACCATTGGCGGGTAGCATTAAGAAAATAGCTTTCATGATCACACATGAAGTCACTATTTGGGCCTTTCATGTCCTTTAATATCCTTTAATGATATATCCGCCGACCCCAGCCGACGGCAAGGGGGAGCGCGTCAGAGAAGAGGGGACACGACACAAGGAGCAAGAATCCGCCGACCAGCAATTACTAGCAGCAAGAGGCAAGGCAGGAAGAGAGAGAATTGAAGAAGAAAGCAAGAGGCCAATAAGTTGACGTCAGGCACGGTCAGCTTCAGGCCGCAGGCGGCGAGTTTCTTCTGGATTCGAGCCTTGGTAGTTAGGCATGGCCAGCTTCAGGCAGCAAGAGCGAGAAAGACGAGAGGCACGAGAAAGCGACGTTAGGGAAAGCAACGTTAGGCACAGGCAGCTGCCAGCCGAAGGCCGCGTCCGTCTTGTAGTTCCATGGTGTTTCGGTCCAACGAAGCCACGGCTTTGGAAGCTTGCAAGCTGGAGTGTGGAGTTAGTTTCTAGCTGCGTCAGAAAGCAACGTTAGGCAGAGGCGGCTGCCAGCTGAAGGCCCCGTCCGTCCTTTAGTTCCATGGTGTTTCGGTTCTGCGGAGGGAAGGTTTTGGAGGCTTGCAAGCTGGAATCTGAAGCTAATCTTTAGCTGCATCAGAAAGCAACGTTAGGCAGAGGCAGCTGCCAGCGGAAGGCCCCGTCCGTCCGGGAAACAACTTCTGTGTGTGGGATATTATAATCGACCTCTGGGGTCGGGGGGCGTAGCCAACATTTCTCAGTCTCATGTGCACCCCTGGGCCCTTTTTGACCTTTGGGGGGTAGCATTAAGAACATAGCATTCATGAACACAAATGAAGTCACTTTTTGGGCCTTTAATGTCCTTTAATGATATATATCATTAAGCAAAGTTTCGTCCCGCGGACATCGCAGAAACCTCTCTGAGTCACTGGCGGATGATTGGGATCGGGTCCTGCGCTGTCTGGATCAACCATCTGGCCAGTGACCACCCAGCGTTCTGCTTCGACATCGCTTAATCCTTTTCCATACCTCGAGGGAAGCGAAGAAACGTCGTTCAACCGCAATGATTGCTGCTAAGCTGCTAGGTTGGATCCTCATCTGGGGAGACATCAGGTATTGCAAAAGAGGTAAAACCAACATCGACATTCCGACTGAAATCAGCTGCGGTCAAAGCACTTCCTCAGGAATTTGTCGCCTTTCTCTGGAAACATGGGGGACACCACAATCCCGGGCAATCTTTGCAACTCCTGAGGTGGCACGGTGGCACCACTTGGTGCCCGGTGACAAATAAGACTGCCATGGTTTGGCTCTTGCTGTGGCTCCTCGTGGGGCAGGTTCCGCAGAAACCACCAGCAGCCACTGGGATCACCCTGAGACTAAACGCAGCCAATTCTCCAAGTCTGACTTTCGCAGTTTCAGCATGTAAAAAAGCGACTGAATCGATAAGAGAGCCTCCTCCAATGTGCCTTCACCAGATGACTTGCAGTTGATTTCCTCAGAAGAAACATATCGATCATGTTATATACATATTATATACATATAATATCACATAAAACAAAATTAAACATACAGTAGTTCATTTAACAAATAGATATGATATATTCAAATAGTAAGTCTGCCGGACTTGACTGTGCATGGGCATGCTGGCAGTACTGACATGGCACGGCACCTGACTTGGGCCAAGTTTCGATAGGTCCATCATAGAGTGCCAGGAACTTTGCAGGCACGCACCATGGGTGTCCAGCTTTGCCGGAGCAGTCTCCCTGAGAGGATTCCCATCCCCCTAGATCTTACAGAGTAGTAATAAGGCACCCCAAAAGGCTTAGATTTGCGGGGGGCATTCAATAGGAGGGTGAAGAGATTATTTACTTCAGGTATGTACAGTATTATATATTACTCTACTACTCAACATCTCTCGCCAAAACCAGCTGAGTCTTGACACCCCTGGGCAGAATGGAGCTCCCGTTCGCTGCCCGAAGTCCTCCAGCTGTGTGAAGCCATGTGGTGAACCCAATGTCTTGGTGACACATCTTGTTTACTCAAATTTGACCATTTGGGGGTTTCAACACCATTTAAACACATCTCTCTCTCTCTCTCTCTCTCCATAAACAACTCTAGCCAAAATAATTACAGCACTCACTTTAGCACATTGTGGCCTGCGGCAGGGCAGTGACCTGGGGACAAGACACGAAAAAAGGGTGAAACTGGCAGGGTACCCAAAAGGGAATACAAACCATCGCAAAGTGGATGTTTGAAATTGTATGAAATTGTTTTAGGACAAAGTCATATACAGAAGGATCTCTCTCTCTCTCTCTGTGTCCTTTTGGATCTTCAAATTCGACCAAAACAGCTCGGATTCAAAGCCGAGCTGCGCAGGAGTCGGAGCCTTGACAGAACTTGCCTTTGTAGGCGCCAGTGATTCGTCCCCAGGGATCACACCCCTTTTGGCGCCTGCAGTCATGGAACAGATGGAACAGTGACAGGCCGCCAAAATGTCAAGGGTCACTGGGAGGTACCTTCTACTAATTAACCTGACCGTCTGATTTGTAGATGATCCCTCCCAAGTTCATTTCTTCCCATGACTATTTATATTATTGTATATTCCTGGATTAGGACATAGGACCCTCCATTTTTTGCACCAATCTCCATGGCGCATGGCACCTGGGAGCGCTACGAGTGGCTTTGACTTTGGGGGTCCCGGGAGGTGGCGCCAGTGGTGGCACTTCTTCCTCCTGAAATAGGGCGACCCACATTTTCGGCCACCTCCAATATCTCCAATAGGGTAAAAAATGGGTAAAACACACATCCTGGTGGTTCCTGGAGATTTCATGTACCTGTCGAAAAAACTCTACGAAGATAACATCCATCCGACTCATCCGCAATGTCCTCGTCGGGCTTTTTGAAGAAGTGGTTTGGAGCCAGCGCTCCGTAGCTTTTCTGATGGGCGCTGGGATGATCATGGTCAGTCCGGCATCCTTCCATGAACTAAGGTCCGTTGTTCTATAGTTCACAAGATTGCGATAACCAAGGCCATTTTGAAACGGATAACGCGTCAGAACGCTGACTCTAACCTGACCTGGTACTGCAAAATAAGCCATTTCTAGATGATTTTCATTCTGCGATCTGAGGACGCCACTCCTCCTGCCATGCTGTCTGAAGCGCAACCTGCATATGCTGCCCATACTGTGGCGCTGTAATTCTACACCAGCAAAGCGATTGGCTAATATGAATATCATATGATTGAATAGATCATAAATGACATTCTATAAAAATCATTGAAAATCATGATACCATTGATAAATACATCTCCTACTGCACCAAACCTTTAGGCACGGACTTGCTTTTCTGGTAGTGCTGCCCATTTGATGCCTGCGTAGCAGCCTTCCTGATCTGGATAATGAACCTTAGAAATCTGGGCATATCTGGGCACTGATCCTTCCGGGCTTCACAGCGCACACCGGGCACCGAACTTGGCCTTTCATTCGTGCCTCCTTAGCTTTTGGCATGCTGATGTCATGCTGATGGCAACAACAGGCCGTGGAGAGCCAAGGATCTGGGTCCATCCCTGCCACGTGCATCTTCGGTTCCGCTGTGGGTCGGGGCATTTCCCCGAAGAGAAAGCCAGTCTTCAGGCCTGATTCACTGCTAGGATTCACCTCTTGCTGATCCACCTGAAATGCATTAAATGATTGTATTCAGCACCTATCCACGAATTGCATGCTTGCAAACGATCTGCTGCAATGCACCCGTGAACCCTTTCCTGGTCTTTTGATGATGAGCTCATGTGGCAAGACCAAAAGCATCGGCTCTTTCCAAGCAAAGGGCATGCCTCAGTGCAGCAGCACAATGGGCTCACCAGCCTTGGGCCACTGCAAGTTAAATTCACCAAGGTTCCAACCGAAGGGCATTGCACTGCAAGTTCTCCTGGGCATGGCTGAACATCAGAGATAGCTGGGGCTTCCATGCCATGCATGACATGAGCAGTCCAAGGTCAAGACCTGGCAAAGTCTGGCTTCTTTGGCCAGCATATCGCGCCCTGCTCTCAGCACATCGCGCAAGAAGTCTGTGGGCCAAAATGGTCAAAATGGGCCAGCTTGTCACATCCTAAGAACATCCAAACAGCACGATTGACTCTGGGACTTTTCGCCTTTCCTGCTTGTCAAGCAGACAACCGGCACTGCCAATTGCAATGCGCTCGCTCGTTTTTTCTGAAGACCAAATGCTCCGCTGCTTCTCCAGGCCACACAAGTACCTAGCAGAAATGTGCAGGGGCGACCAGCCCCAATCCCTGGCTTGCTAACTGGGTCCGCTTCAAACCTTGCGACGTTTCCTTCAAAATTGATCAAAGCTGCAGATTTCGAATTGTATAATCTTTTGCATCAATGTGTCAGAAATTGCCAGTTTTCAGACTAGCAACTCTGGAACCATGCCCTGTTCGTGATATTCTTTTGCAACCGAGGGTCTGATATTTTGAATCGCCTTTACGAAGCATGCAAGGAAGTCATCTGTGCCTTGTAAATGTTTGCGGTTTCGGGTCAAGTGATGCAAAGCAGCCGTTTGCTAGCTGTTTGGAGTTACATTTAGCATTCAACATTCATCTGATTTCACTTCGTTGTTATTCAGGATCATTTGATTTCTCATATTTCTAATTCTAATTGCTTGTGTTTGATGATCAGCTCAGTGCTGGTTGATGAGCTTGATTGCCCCTGATGATAAGTTAACATACCAAAACCATCCAAAACCTTTACCTCAGGGCTGCACAGGGTGACTCGCAGTAAATCTTTGACGGAGCTGGTCCGACCTGAGATGGATTCAGCATCTCAGGCGAAGAGAATCCAACATTTTGAAACCGCCAGCCAAACACAGAGTGCAAATGCATGCAAATTACATTATTGGATGATTTCGACGAGTATGGCTTGCGCCAACTTGTACTCTTTGACAACTCCTTCCAACATCTTCCCCCTGGGTTTAAAAAAACGACTGATTCTGCACAGCTTTTTGATCCTTGGTGCAAGAGTCGTGCGCCGCACAGAACAACCGCCTTCAAACCAAGGCATTGCCTGGAAGATCTGTGCTGCACAGGTAGGACGTAAATCCCTTGAAGTACAGGGATCCCTGTTTCAGAAACTTTATGGCTGGGTGTTTTCACCAGCCATACCGGAAAGCAGCATTCCAACGTCGGATGCCAAGGTTGAACAACCCATCAGGTCTTGCACCAACGGTTTGATCAGGAGCCATTGCCTGCTGCAAGCTATACCGCTGGTTCGGAACCTAGTTGCAAAGCCGCACAGGCTTTGATCTCGCTCAAATCACCATCAGCTCACCAGCATGTACCGCATCAGCCCTGCAAATGCAGGTTCTATTGCCTGGAAAAGGTGGAATGCTTTTTCGCCGGATGCAGTATCAGCATGATCTGGGCAAACTGGAATCATTCCCAAATGCAACAAGAGCCCATTTTCAGGCGGCGTCCCTTAATTTCTAAACATCAACGACGCATATTTACAGTGAGGTACTTACAACATCTTACAACATGTTACAAAGTCGCTAGAACATGCAGTCATTTCCCCTCATCATGCCCCGCAAAAGAAATCAAAGAGGGCCCCAAAGCTGCAGCGCGAAGCCCTCGGGGCTGCCTCCGGCAAGGATGGTACCGAAACATAAATTGGGAGAACACTCTCCTTCTCGAAGCATCTGCCTGGGACTGCTTGGACGCGGCCGATACCTGGGGTAACCAGAAAACTGTGATGATTCCCTGTCATCAAAGATGGCAATGGGACAGACCCCAAACATATCGAAACCTCCATTTAGTTTGGGGATGTTTGGGGATGTTTGGGGATTTCCCATTCCATCCCATTCCTATGTTTGATTACTGGGTCATCCCACAGCCATGTCATGTGCAGCTCGAGTTTCACTGGGAGATCTGAAGATTTGATGCCTTTCCACCAGGATTTCATGGAACTTTGAGTCAGGAAGTGCCCATGTGGCAGCCTCGGCATGCTGATACTATGGCTAGATTGGATTCGATAATTTACAAATTCCAGTAGTACATAATAGATCATAATAGTCCTTCAAGTACTCCACGTCTTACATAAATGTTGCTATTGATAAGGCATGAGCTGGGACCACGAATGAAGACAACACAATAAATCGGGCTTTAAATGAGCAACCATTTACCATGCGCTGCAACGTGGCCGCAGATTCTTCAGGTCCAAGCCACTGACTCCTCTGCTTGGCCACTTCGGCCCAAACTTTCTCCCACAATGCGCGTGTTTTGGCCTCAACTTCTGCTGTCAAATTCTGCCGGAAACGCTCTGGGCTGGGTCAAAGAATGTGAATATGTGAACAGCATCTGGGTCAAATATTCCACGCTATTCCCAGCTTCAGTGGGTGGATTTGCCTCAAGCCGCTGACAAGTTACACTCCCTCCACTGGAGGGCTGGCTGGTATGCGCCCATCCAGCAATGGGATCTAAAAGTCTTTCCCCATCACTGTGCCAATATTCAAAGGGCTCCCATGGCAACCAATCTAGTTTCCTTGGCCCAGGTTCACCAAGGACCCAATCACAAGAATAATCACAACGGATGATGTGATCCACCACAAAAATCGTAGAATTCGAAGAGCTACAGTATCTTGTGGTGGAATATGATGGTATATAATGGTATATAATAATGATAATCATGATATATATAATAATGTTGCTATATTATATACCTCTCCAAGGCTCTCTTCTTCTTCTTTGGTCCATTCTTGGCCATCGCTCAGTGACCACGCTAGAGGCACGCCATGGCGAGAACAGAACTTCCTCAAGTCCTCGCCCATCTTGGAGCCAAAGAGGCCAGGGAAGCTGCCAACCAAAACCTGGGATTCGATCACCACCGAGTACAACGATGATGCCCAAGTCAACCCAGTCATTGAAACGGGCATATAGGTTGATAACAATTGTATAGTAACCCGTAGCCCCTAATGATATAATCACCAACCAACAGGGATCAACAGGAGCTTTAGCAGCCTACCTGAGTTTTGAAGTTCTGAAAACTTGCAGTAACCATCCCCGCCTTGGTGTCATTGACTCGCATCTCGCCCAGGAGGGCTGCTTCCATATACATATTTCCTTCCGGTGCGCAATTGGCTCATCTGATGTCATCCGCACAACAACCAGAGCATATGCGAAACCCAAGCCTTCGAGCGGCCTCACATCTGCGTCTTCTCCCAACAATTGATAAATCTGCCGTGCCAGCCCACCACCAACCTCGGGGCAAAATGCACATATCCGGTTGTAATCACTTGGTTGGTCAAAACCCTGCACCCCTGGTTTTCACCCCAAAGTGGCTGGTATATGGTATATCTGGATGTTCATCCGCCAAACATGGTATGATAGTATGGCTGTAGGCGTTGAACCATACTCAATTTATCCTCTAAATTTCATGGCAATCTCCACCTCAAGAAAATCCGGGAATTTGATATCCATACTCTCTGGCAATTTAACATGTACATCATTCGAACTCCAATCAGTCTATACCACAAGATTCATGGCAAATCCCTATCTCCAGACATTTCATTTCCATAAAAATCGCCAATGTGAGCCTCCAATTGGTATAGAAAAAAAATGAAAAAAATCCAACGAACTTGGGGCCATTGAGGGTATGGAAAATTGCCCCAAGTTCGTTGGATGAACATGGATTTTCCAATGGATTTTCCAACTAATGACCCTCTGGTAATTTAACGTAGCTATTGAAAATGACCATTAATAGTGGATTTTCCCATTAAAAATGGTGGATCTTTCCATAGCTATTTTGACATAACCAGAGGGTAGCCATATTAATCTGATTTTCCCACTAAAAATGGATGATTTCCATGATTTTCCAACTAATTACCCATTTCCCATCCATTTTTTTCACTTTCCCATCGCTATGAGGTCCCCTTTTCGGTCCAGGCCTTCCGAAAGGTCCGCGCGTTCGCCAGAAAGCTGTGCAGCGGCCTCTCTGCCACGCCCAAGGGCGTCCGCTCCACGGGAGCGCAGCTGACGCCTTGAAATCGTCCAAAGAGGTGGAACATGGGGGATTTATATGGATTTATATGGATTTATAATGGCTGTACCTCTTTAAAATCATAGTCCTTTTTAAATCCAAAGGGTTTCTTAGAAGTTTCACATTTAAAAAGGACATAAAAGACTATAATATACTATAATAATGATCTATAATGACTGTGAATTGGGGGGTAGTATACTTCATTTTCAGACCCAAATGACCACCGTCACTGGAGGGTTTCATGAAGAATAACTGAGTTTATGAAGCACCAAAGTTTAACAATAAACTGAGTGTCTCAACCATCACTGAGGATTTCATGAAGAATAACTTCGCAGGCAGTTGAGATTTGCATGAACCACAACAAAAACCACAACATAAAGAGGTAGTTGCTATTACTTGTTGAATCTGAATAGCAGGAGGCAATCGGAGTATAAGATCAAAGAACATGATGGCTTGGTTTTTTGGGTGATATGGGGCATATGGGGGAATATTTTTACGGGAAATATGGGGGATGAGAATACCCGTATTTTAGACATGGGCTCATGAAATAAGATGAAATAAGTATATCATGACAAGAATATAACTGAGTCGTTGGCATGATGACAGTGATGATAGCTGATTTTGAGTGGAATCATGAATTGTGAACGTGAAGTACCTGAATTGGGGGTATCAGTGACCACAAAGATACCACAACTGGGTCAATCACGACCCATCCTTTCGAAGCCCTGACTGGGACGATCAAGCGGAATTCGCAGCCAAGTCGCTCGCATCCTGGACAGTTCGGACGACAAAAACAAAGGGAATGGCATTTGGAGAGCATTTCCGTGGTGATTTTTGAAGCTACAGAGTAATCTAATTTAATATCCATATAACTATGTATATCTATGATTATATATGTAACCATTTATCAACAATTACACATTTAACATTATGTAACTATATGCAAATAAACATATATAACTAGATGTAAATAAAAATAAACAACTATATATATAGAGTAATATATATGTAACTATATATATAATTTATAATTGTATATATATATACAAATATAGTTTTATGTGTATGTATATATATATATATGTATATAAATATATCGAATTACCTCAATGAAAGCGCATTGGGGAAAGGATGAGCAAATCCTGAAGCAGGCAACCAGGGTCACGGTGCAGCGTTTGTCACAGTCCTCAACCAGCTTTGCGAACCAGCTGGGCTTGTGGACTGGCGTGACGGATTTGTTGCAAATGGACTCCCAACCACCAGTGTCCTAGGCTAGGAAGGGCGTTTTACATACCGAGCGTCAACGGATGTAAAATTAGAGGATGCAAGGGGGAACAATCATAAAAATGTAGGTGCTGAAATGTGCTGAAGAAGATTCTGAAATATTTCATATATAATATTTCATAGTATCATAGAACATCTACCCCAGGATCACTATATGGAAAATTGCAGCATCCTTCACATGGTTTGTGCCGCCCAGCATCACTACCAACAATAACTGCTCGTTGGCGGACGACATCATTTCGAAGAATGGCGCTGATGGAACCATAGCCTTGTGCGCCAGTTTTGGCACAACAGGAAACTCAAACTCAAAAAGAAATATAAAACAACAAGTCAACCCACCCCAGTCGCCACAAACTGCCTTTTTCATCCTCTCCAAGCCAGATTTGCATACACTTTCAATACCTGGTTGGTGGTTTCAACCCCCTGAAAAATCGGAAAGTGAATGCGGATCATCACCACAGAAAAACATTGAAACCGAAACATACTTTTTATAATTCATATTCATTTATCATATATATCATCTATATAAAGCCTAATTATTTCAAATCACCAGCCAATGATCTTTCAATCATTTCAAATTTCAAAATCTTTGGCCATCAAAAGCAGATCACCAGCACTACTTCATTTCAACTTTCAACTTTCACTACAACATACTACAACTATACAAATATCAAATTTCACCAGAAATGTCACCAGAAATTTCAACATCATTCAGCGTGCCATTTTTGGCGCCGAGAAGCGTCTTACGCCCATGGCCAGCTGTCGGGTGTTGCCTGCCAAGTACCTGGGTCGTTCTCTGGCCTCTTCGGGGCTCGGTGGCACTTTGCTGAAGGGCGGCAGCCGGTAGAGTCCCGTTTCGGCGGCTTCCATGACACCTGGGAAAGCTATGGAACAATAGGATGGACAAGCCATGGAAAAGAATGGACACCATGGAAAAAGATGGAAAATGGTAGGGTTTTGAGATGTTTTGATGGATACTTTCATATTCCCAAGTGCACTGATCCTGCCCAACTCTTCACTCTATTTCTGAAGTAGAAACAGGTAGGGTTTGGGGGTCAGTGTGTCGACACCTGGCTGACATTGAACTGAGATGCTGCGAACGAGAAAGACACCAAAAGATCCAAAGGCCGGACAAATGTATCAAAATGTTGAACATGAACATCATGAACATCTCAGTGCCACTGACATGCGCAAAACTGCTGCAACGTGCAACGTTAAACCCGAGTCTCCCCATTGGTCTTGCGATACGTTCGCCACGATGGAGGAATTGGTGGCTTTCAGTTCCCACATGGTAGGGAAGCGACCCCCAAACGCATCTAAGGTTTTGATACTGAAGGCTGATTCTCCTGGATGAGATTTCAAACTATTTGCGTCCAAGCCAAAGTTGGTGACCCACTCCAGATTCTGCAACGCAACCTTGACTTGGGAAGAGGAACTTAGGCTGCTTGACAAGGTCACTAGCAGCTTACAATCTTTGAACAATCTTTCAATCCTTGCTTTCCTGCCTTGCCCTAGCAGGCCCTAGCAAAATTAGATGCACTTCATGTGTTAACATAATTTGACTGCTTGTCTTCACAGTCTTCAAACGCTTTATATAACATGTTTTTTCACTCTTTGTTTTGGGTCAGAAAAACTTCCCCAAAAATACACGAACCATCTGAGGAGCTTTCAACCTCTCCAGGAGTTCCGTTGCGGAGAGGGAAGCCAAGCGCCTCCCTGCTGCCCCTTGTAATTTCAGTTCCCAGCGGAATGATGTGGTGGAAAATACTGCCTCAGCGGCCAGAAATGGCTCGCACGAATCATACAGTAATGGCAAAAGGTTCCAAAACTTGTTACCGTGGCAAACACTCCGATTAGTAACCAGCTGGTACTACGGTAGTACTGGTACTGGCCAGTTACAAAAACTTCAGGATGTTGATTACTGTTTGATTTTCATGGCACAAGGAAATCAATCCAAATGATTGTGCATTTTTGAAGCGAAGTAGCTTGCGCATTGGGGTCGGTTGATGTCGGTTGACGGTTGATGAAAGTTGATGAAACGGTCAAGAGGCTAGGATTTCGTTTTCTGCTTGCGTGGAGGCATCTATAGATGATTGCCTCGCTGTCTCAATCACCTGCACAGGTGAAACACCAACCAACAAATCACAGCAGCATCTGGTGCTTCAAAGATCTTCCAAGGTTCGGTCCCCCAAACTTGATCGAAATCAGATTGCCAGATTTGTATAGATTTTTTGTTTCAAAAAAACCATAGCCGATATGGGGCAATCAGGACCAACGTCATCAAACATCCAGAACTGTGCCCATTGAGAACGCGCCTCCCGCTGAGCTGGTGTCAGCTGCCCATGACAAGTGGCTAAGGTCAACCAGCAAGCGAACAGGCGCATGCTGCAACCTGCAGAATGGGACTCTTCGCCAGGTAGCAGTGGAATGGGGGATTCCCCGAATGGATTCTAAATGACTACGTGCACTAACTGAAGGAAATTTAGAAGTCAAACTTCCGACAAAATGGACAGATGGAAAAGCAGAGGTGGGAAGAGTCAGAGAAGAGAAGAGAAGCGAAGCGAGAGAAGAGAAGAGCAGAGCAGAGACGAGACGAGGAGAGGAGCGGAGAGGAGAGGAGAGGAGAGGAGAAGAGAGGAGAGAAGAGGAAGAGGAGGAGGAAGAGGAAGAGGAAGACGAAGAGGAAGAGCAAGAGGAAGAGGAACAGGAAGAGGAAGAGGAAGGGGAAGAGGAAGAGGAAGGGGAAGAGGAAGAGGAAGAGGAAGAGAAGAAGAGAGAGGAAGAGAGAAGATCCGAGAAGAGAAAGAGTCAGAAGAAAGAAGATGCAGGTGCACGCAAAGGTATAAAAGTCGCGATTCACCGTGTTTTTCCAATGATCTGTGGCTCCGGAGGGTCGAACATTAGGCTCGCTAAAGCGGCGGGTGCGGAGCCATCTGGGGAGATGAGAGATGAACAATTGCACACCGTACACTGTGGCGCGAAGCAAATTTCCAAGTCAAAATGTGCCTGGAGCACTTTTTGAAGTTGAGATGTGCAAAAAGTGCACGCCATTGTGGCGCGAAGCATGTTTCGAAGTCAAAATGTGAAAAGTAGTTGTTGTTGTGGTGGTGGTCGTCGTCGTCGTTGTTGTCGTCATCGTTGTTGTTGTCGTTGTTGTGTGGTGTGGTACGGTTGAACATCCAAAAGTGGTCCGAACGTGGTGTGCTACTACTACTACTACCACCACCACCACCACCACTACCACTACCACTACTACTACTACTACTACTCCTAGTCCTAGTCCTAGTCCTAGTCCTACTACTACTACTACTACTACTACTGCTACTGACACTAACACTACTAACACTACTAACACTACTAACACTACTACAACTACAACTACAGCTATAGCTACAGCTACACTAGGTGTAAACTACTACTGCAGCTACATCAACTACAACTACACAAAACTACAACTGCAGCTACAACAGCCACAGCAGCAACAACAATAACAACAACAACAACAACAGCAGCAGCAGCAGCAACAGCAACTCTAACTCCACTACACTCCACTACACTCCACCTCAGCACTTTTCACTACAACTACCGCTACCACTGCACCACAACAACAGCAACAACTACTACACTACTACTCCTTCTTCTACTCCTACAACTGCAAATGCAACAACCACAGCTACAACTACGACTTCAGCTGTGACAACAACTACAACTACAACTACAACTACAACTACAACTCCACTACACCACACTACACTCCACTACACCATACTACAACCACAACCACAACCACAACCACAACAACAACAACAACAACAACAAACTGCTGCTGCTACTACTGCTACTACTACTACTGCTACTGCTACTGCTACTGCTACTCCTGCTGCTGCTGCTACTGCTGCTGCTACTGCTGCTGCTACTACTACTAATACTACTACGACTACTACTACGACTACTAGTACTACTACTACGACGACTACTACTACTTCTACTTCTACTACTACTACTACTACAGGAGCTACAGCTACAGCTACAGCAATAATAACAACAACAACAAACTGCTACTACCACTACTACTACCACTACTACTACCACTACTACTACCACCACTACCACCACTACTACTACTACTGCTACTACTAGTACTAGTACTACTAGTACTACTACTACTAGTACTGGTACTAGTACTAGTACTAGTACACTACAATACAACTGCAACTGCAACTACGGCTACAACTCCACTACACTACACCACACTCCACCTCAATACATTTCACTACGCTTCCCCACTACACTACAACTACGACTACAACTGCAACTACAACGACTACCACAGCTACAGCCTAGAACTACAACATGTACAACTACAAGTACATCAACTACAGCTACAACTACACTACAATACAACTACAACTGCAACTACAAATAATACTTTGCACTACGCTCTACACCACACTACATCCAGCAGTTGTGGTTGAGGTGACCACTGCAACCACTCCAAAAAAGCACAACTCCAATCACCTTTCGGTCCATTAATGGATTCGCTTTGTCATCCGTACATCGCAACAACTCACCTGTCCCGTAGTGTCCTATCTTTGAAACTTCCGCCACCGACTTGTGTGGTACTACTGGTACATAACAATCCTCGATATCTCGGGCAGTATAATTCAAACATACTTGTAATATTTTATAATCATCAAGCATCTGGTTTTTTTTAAAACTGCTCCGGTGAACAATTGGGTTGTTTGTCATTTCTTTTTGACCAAGGCCAAGGCATTGTCAAACTTTTTTTTGCCGGGGCTTCTCAGAGGGATTGTCAAACTTGGGGACTCAAATATCTCCAGTAATCTGGTCTATTCATGTATATTCAGTACTGAGTTCTGAGGGCTTTCGGGTGTTAATATGGGTTAATCATCTTCATCCCTACTTCGATCATCATCCGTAACTGGTTGGCAAGCGGGAAAAAACAACCCTTATAACCCGCTTCGAAGCGGGATTCTCCAGGAATGCGGACTTACCGTTCACCAAGGGTACTAACCGTTGACGATCCATGGGATGATCCTCCAAGTACTACCGCCCGACGGGCTCAGCAAAGGCCTGCGTGGACAAACTCTTTGGATGTCTAGGGCGCCGAAAGGAGCCGAAAGGGCCACAAATCCACATCACATGCCTCAACAGTTTGAAATCATCAGTTTTTTTTTTGGATTTAACATCATTAAACCATTACAAATTGTGATTCAACCATCCGAAATATCAGTGATCAGCGCAATGTGATGGTAGAATAATTCTGTTCGGGCAACGGAGTCTGAGGAGACTGCGCCCACAAACTTGCAGTGCGCATTACATCCTTGGTCCGTTCTACCAATGATCCGCGGGACTCAAATTTGATGTAGTGTCTTATCACTTATCACTATTGAAAGATAACTGGGTACCCGAGAGAAAATTAAAAGAACATTAACCCCGACTTTTACGGAATCAAATGTTTACCACTGTTTACCCTCCAGTAATTCAAGCGTGGATAGCTGGGATTTTCCCTATCAACGGGCATGGAAAATCATCGAACTAAATGACAGACCATGTTTGATTACCGGAGGGTACGTTTCCTGGGACTTGCCCCTAAGCTGATCATAGCTAGCACATGTCCGTCACACTGGGAACTCTGCTGCTGCAACACGCCAGGGCTGTGTACATGGTCTTGATGGACACATCTTGGCCTTCCAGGCACGAGAATTTGCAGAACATCCCGGTACCAGTATCTGGATGATACAGCATGTACAAGGGTTTCTTGTCCATTTTCCTTCACCCTGTTGAGGCTAGCAGCGGCTAGAATTGATTAGAATTGCAATCCTATCCCAGGGAACAAACTGCGCGCTTCGACCAGCCCTTTACAGTAAATCATGAGGCCATGCGCTGGCCTAGTGCCTGATCGATCAGCGGCAAATTCTTGACAACATCTTCATATCCCTGCGCCTGCCGAAAGTTGCAACTGACAGTCTCTCTCCATGTGATTTTTGATTCCATGTGATTCCTGTGAGGAGTGGATGGGTCCATGTCTAACCCATTCACAAGACCGGCAGCGAATCCCCACAATCTGTAATGCAAGATCGCTGAAAAAAACAAACATCTCTCCAAAACCACTATATAGCGCCAAATGCGGGCCATGGTCAAATTATATGCTAGGTTGTAGTCATCCAACCTATCGCTGGCGGTATGACCAACCCCAAGAAAACACAAAGACAAAACAACCCCCCAAAACAAACACCCAAAACAAACCACAACAAAGAATCAGGCACAGCGGCACAGCGGCAATAAAAGCTCCCTAAAACTGACTCATTATGGTAAAACAGATTTAACAAGGCCATACAGGGCGCGGTCAAAAGACCCTCAGGCAAACGTCTCAGTACTGAAAAGATCGACCCATTCTGCGAGAAAAATGCTCGTGGTTCACCAACCTGCTCGCTGAACCAAAAGGATGCGAGCAATCACCGAGGGTCCCCATGCAGCCGCAGGAAAAGAATGCTGGATCGCTGGGCAACAGCCATACTGATCATAGAGATGGGAAATGACCCACCACAGCAAAACAACTACCACATTTTGTCCAATATATAATCTATTATAATCTATATTATTTGCATATTTATTTGCATTATATTTACGTATTCATTTCGATCCTACACGCCCTAGCCCTAAGGCCCTAGGTGCAGTGAAGCGATGTGCACAGGATCCAGCCAAACTGCCACCTTTTCTGCAGCTATGCAGGCGCTCCTCCAATCTCTCCTGGTGCAGGCCCTACCCTCAACCAGGTGAGGGCCACATATTTCACACAGTTCTCCGTTGGCAATGCCTTGCGATTTGTCAAATCTGTTGGATCGCCATCTCGTGTGACAGTAGGCCAAACCAGGGCATTTCCAGCTTGAAGCGGGATCTGCATTCCTTCTCCTTCTCGCAAGTTTGGGAAGAACGTTTCACCGCCGCCTTGCGCAGAGATGTCGTTCAACTGCAGCATGACCGTGACCAAACGCTGGCCGCTGAGCCAAAGGCTAGTGTCATCAGCGGGGCGAAGGTCGCTCCGCGCGCTTTGGGGCGCCTCTCCGTGGCGATATCGGATTAATCTGACAGCCTCAACATGTGCCAACGGAGCTTGGAAAGAGTCTGCCACCCACTGCCGAAATGCTGTGGCTGCAGGGTTCGATCTGTGGGAGGGAGACGCCAACAGAGCCGTCCAAGGGAAACCTTCGATGGCTGCCCCTGCGTCCTGGCCGGTGCCACCTTTTCGCGCGGATGGTCGCCATAGGTCATTGCTGTTGGCAAGATCCACCAGAGCTTGCAAATGGTCCTGTCATGGCCCAACATCTCCCCAAAGGGGGAGTCAATTGGGATCTTTCTAACCAATCTCAAGCAGGAATATCTAATAAGCTTTGAATGAAGACGAACAACATACTCAAAGTGTTCAACATCAATTGGCATCAACGCAGTCAACGCCACCATGTTTGAAGCCCCAAGTCCTTCATCAACACCTGAGCAACCTCCACCACCGGCAAGGGCCAGCCTTGCCATAGCTGGCCCTTTCCTGCCAGCTGTGAACAGGTGGACCACACGTGCTGCGCCAGGTCTGGGTCCACCTTTCCAGGAGCCTCGCCCAGCAGATCTGGAAGTTGGGTCCCTGCCTCTGAAGCAGCCCAGGCCAGGAGCCGAACCCGACTGCCTGGGATGGATCTCAAATGGATCTCCATGCCTTCCTGAGCCCAAGAAACATGTAGAAAAGTGGGAACTTATGGAACATTGTAGAAACTTGGAATCGTCTTCTCAAAGGATCTCAAAGGAATGAACGGACGGAACGCGTCATTTTAACCTCTTGAAGTCTGAAATCAGCGTCCTTCAGCAGCAAATAGCGCTGCTTGGAAATGCGTTGTTTGGCCAGAGCTAGGGCAAAACCGAACTCGGCCACCTGGCTTGGATGCAACAAAAAATCAGGCATGGCACAACAAGTTTGGGCGATCTTGACATTCAGTATGTAATGCCGTGCTAAACCCTGCTGGAATGGATTGATATGGATTGCATCTGCTTCATCTCATAGATTCAATTTGGGGGCAACATATTCGCTCGTGTGATAATCTGGTGCCCCCAAATCTCATGGTTGATCATCATCTTCTCCATGGAAACTTGCCATAAAGTATTTTTTTTGACCACTATCTCTGGACAAACCCATGTCTAGTTGCATTATGTTGCATTCAGCGGGAAGGGGTTCTCGAATCGTCACTTGTTCAGGCACCAAACTTTGAACTCGTCCCCACCTCATCCTCAGGGGCGTACAAGCAGAACATCGAGCCAGTCTCACCCACAACCTGAATCACTGAAGGGGTTCACGTGGACCCAACCCATTTCTGCATAGATCATGGCTGATTCTCAAAACATATCCTAAAATACCCTTTGGTAATTTAACATAGCTATTGAAAATGGCCATTTATAGTGAGTCTTCCCATTGAAAATGGTGATTTTCCATAGTTTTTTGTATGTCCTAAAATATGTAGTTGTCAATGAGCAGAGGTACAGTTACAACCTCCAGCCCACTGTGAGCACACCCAGTTGGTGTTTCCTGCGCCTTGTAAGCCTCATCGTAGGTGAGCCGAGCTGTTGCCATCGCTTCCAGAATGATGGTGATCTCTTGCAGGTTGGTTGTCTTAAAGGCTTCCCGCAATCCCTGAGTTCTGGCAAATGGCACCCCTTACGATACCCAATATGCAGAATACAAAGATTGCCCGTGATGATATTGCTGCGACATCATTGCATCCAAGCGACATAAATGACCACAGGCCTTGGATTCTGAAAGAAACCTGCTTGAATGCAGAAAATCTTTGAACTGGGAGAGGACATATTCCTTCTTCAGCCAATCTTCGCATCAAAATGGCGTACATTTTCAAAATTTGTTGGGTTATCCTGTCAGTTATATCAGCTACTAGTTGAGTCTACTTCCCAATGGCAACCATCATCAACATCATCAGCGTCAGCAACTTGAGTGTGTCTAACAATAGGGTCTCCCATTCCATCCATTGATTACCCATCCTGTTCCAATATTTTTCCCACTATTCAATGCCAGAAATAGCCATACCATGCTTTAATGAATGGTCTAGGCATACATACACCCCATTACACCCCGATTTTCAGGTACCACACCCACATCATGCAGCATCATCCCATTCCATTCGCAAATCATCATCCAGCATCATTTCCCTATACTTTCCCATATTCTTCCATATGTTCCCTATATTTTGTCACATTTTTCCTAACAGTTTCATGTTTTCTCCACATTTCCCCCATATTTTCCCTACGTACTTCTCCCTATCATCTGCCAGCTTTTCCTGGGGGAATCCTCCGCCAGAACTGCATCCAGGCGTCGCCAGCTCTTGTTCCAGATCCACCTCAAAGGCATCGAACAGCATCGCCAGGTCCTCTGCCACCAGCTGCTCCTTCCACACGCGGTTGCCGCTGAGAACATCTGGAAGCCATCCTCAGGCGATTTGAAAAAATCGGCGATGCACTTTGGATGATCGAACTGGAGCAATGTGAATTCGGTGCAGAAGTATGGTCAAATGATGTCAAATGGATTCAAATGGCTGAACTCCTGCAACATCCTGCAACATGGTGAGAAGCCGCAGGCAAGAGTCTGGCGATCTGTCCGCCATATTCGGTGATTTTGCCATACGCGCCTGATCAAAGTTTGGGGCTTTGGGGTGCCAGGATCCTGAAGCGACAGCCGAGCCTTCGAAGTCGTCTTTGGGTGACCGTTGCATGAATGTCCTCAGCTCCACTAACAGTTTGGGCTAGGAATCAGGGGCGACCAAAAGAGGACTCTGAAGTCTGCACGGATCTATGAACATCTGACATCTTTAGTTGATTTACTTCGATTCTCTGTACAACTATATAGGGATTTCTCGTATGTGAAATGGACCAAACATGGTATATGGGTTACACCATGTTACACCTATTAATGGGGGTGACCATTCCCTTACATGGGCAAACGAGGCATGTTTTGACTTTTGACCATTGCACATATCACATATGTATATAGCGGTAATAGCGGTACAAAATGAATGACATTGAACATTGCCATGGATGTGGTAAACCCAATATATAATGGTAAACCTACCATTTAGGGATGGCATAGCTTATGCCACTCATCCATGGTAATATTGGGGATGGTTTATTATTCGGTTTCCCACATTGCTCCACATTATAATGGTGGGTCAATAGTTATATAATGTTGTATAATGTTACATATCCCTATTTGGATTGTAACCATCTCCATTAAGCCAGATAGTATAATCGCTAAAAAATAGCCAAGGGCTTCATTGCCGGATCTAGCGTCTGAAGCTTTGGTCGACGTTTGCTCCTCGGATCTAGCCGCGCGCCTGGAGTGCCAGTGATGCAGTGATGGGTAAAACTATGCCATACACCATCCCCCAAATCACCATAAATAGGTGGTATATGGGGATGTATCAACACCAATCTTGCTATATTTGGGGGGAACCAGTTATTTGGGGTTCACTAGGGTACCAAGGTTTTGACTCATAGCCATATATAAACCATTCCCAGTCCTGGGTGGTTTATGACATTGTTTTACCCACATTACTAGGTATTACTAGGTTCTCTCAACAGAGTATGGAGAAGTACACGCAACGTAATGCAACTGCACATCATGATCACGTTCCCTCTCCCCTGTTTCTGAACGTACATGATGTGTACACTGAAGGAACATGCAACTGATCCCAGCGCCTCCTGCTCTGGCCTCCTCATACTTCAACTCTTTCATGCTTTCTGCCACCTGACAGGAAAACGTGGCTTGTTGTACCACATGCGGAGGGGCTAAGGCATTTTGCGATCCCTATCATTAGGCGGTCTTCGAAACAATGCCAAATTTTGAGGGTCGGGGCTATCTTATGATAGCCGGTGGTTTTAACCCAGTTGCACAGCCTCCACAATACTAGTCATAGTATTTGTATGTATTTGTTATACAGTTTCTTAAGATGTTCAAGCAGACTCATCAAATGTCCACGGCGGTCAATAATCTCATCAATCCTGATTGGATGCCCGGCATCAAACATGCTGGTGGGACATCCATCAAACTCTCGATCTTCACTAGGCGACGTCCCTCTGAAATGGTTTGTGCAACTCTCCTGGCAGGGAAATGCTTGTGATCCGAAGCTACACGGAAGTGGTAAGCACTCTCTCCCAAGAGCATCTTGAGGATTCCCCAAAATGATGCTGAGTACCGTGGGTTCTATCACCATGTAACAATGTCCAATCGATTTATGATGATCTGTCATGAATTCTTCATCACATTGTGATAACCGCTATATATATTTAATACACATACATAAGACATATAACACACACACATGCATATACAAGTATATATATATATATACACACATATATATTAAATATTATATTTGTAATTCGATGTAAAATATGTAAATATATCCAGGGTCCCCATCCTGCCGATCCCAAGACCTCCGAAATTGCCGAGGCTCTTCTTGGGCGGGCGATTGGGAATTCGCAGCTGCGGGATGCACTTGGGGATGACCTGCCGCTGCAGCCGCTGCCGCTGCAGCCGTCCAAGGCACGCGGGAGCACGGATCCCAGGCACCAAGGCCAAGGTCGACCCTAGGGCGATCAGCATAGCCATAAGTGGCAGCAGCCTCCAGTGAAGCCATGACCAACTTGCGACCAAATTATATGAACTTATCAAGAAGTAACACGAAATAGAAGCAGCAGTAGGTAGGAATGATCAATGAAGGTTGCTCAACCATCATGACATTCATCCAATTTCACGAAAATGTTCCAGAACATTCACAAAGCCTTCCGCTTTGCCTTCTGCTCTTTGCATTCTTCGAATGGTGGTTGCAAGCCGCAACTTGGGATATTTCCGAAGTATCCTGGGCTGAGAAGGCTCCAACGTGCCAGACGGCCCTCAGCCGAAAGTCGCTTGCCATGGAGATGGAGCCAGTGGCAGGAGCCGATTGATTTTGCGAAGGTGAAGTGAAGCTTCAACATCAATAGACATATGCAATCATTTTATAATTGATCTATCTATCTATATATATATATATTCATCATGTAGATATAATGTATGCTATGAATCTATTTCAATATATCTTGATGTGATGCCTTGAAAAATGCCTCCAACATCTGCAAGGCCGTAAATAATTGCTTCAAGAACTCTCTGAGCTTCCACCATGCTTCAAATGGAAGAGAGATAATGAATGATACCCTCTGGTAATTTAACATAGCTATTGAAAATGACCATAGAAATAGTGGATTTTCCCATTAAAAATGGTGATTTTCCATAGTTATGTAAACGTTTACCAGAGGGTAATGACCTGCCTGCAGTCTTGAATCTTTCTGAGTATTATCCAAATCTCAAGCTGGGCTGTGAGAGTTGAGATGGTCAAACCTTTGAGGTTTGAACGGCTTTTTTTGTCCAGATTCCAAGGGCCGAGCAAAAACACCAAAAAAGAAGGTGGCAACAATATGTGGCTAATGGGATATGTATGATCAATGGATTGGTTTAAGGGAAAATTTACAGGAAAGCCCCATATTTAATGGGAAAATCTATGGTTTCCTGTAGATTTTCCCTTAAACCAATCCATTGAGTGGCTAATGGGATATGTATGGATATGTACTTATCCTACATAAAAGGGACATGTGTTGAAGAGAAGAATTGAGCGAAAACATGAGAAATTGGTACCTGATCTCAAATATGATGCCTTGAGCTACACAGCTTGTGGAGATCAAAGTGCCTCTGCCATGCAGTGTTTGCTTTTACGGGGGTTCAATATGTTTAATTTAATATCCGTTAATGCACCATAGGCCAAGAATTTCCAGTGAACATCCTTCTTCATCCTTCGTGACTCAATGGTTGCACCCATATATCAATGGATTGGTTTAAGGGAAAATCTACAGGAAACCATAGATTTTCCCATTAAATGTGGAGCTTTCCTGTAAATTTTCCCTTAAACCAATCCATTGATATATGATTGTCGGCCCTGCAAGTCAGCGGCCCTGCAGTCCAGACTCACAGAATCTTCACTGAACCTTCACTGAACATTAAAACCCTATGCCACGAGAAATGAAACGTTCGCCTGAAAATGTATTCTAATTGTATATATATATATATATGTATGTATATATATAATATGTGTATATATATATGTGGTATCATCCCCCCATGATTCAGTGTTGGATCATCAGCTTCAACACTACCAATTCGGTGTAGTGTTGCACCCATGTTTTGACAATCCCAACTTCACAGATCCAAAACAGAACTGACCATGACAACCCGCCTGGTACTGCTCGCAGAAACCGCCCAGCGGCGGCCAGGGCTGATCTGGAAGACTACAAGTGGGAACCGCTGAGGACGGGCTACTTCACTGACATCAGCAGACCCATCAAATTCGAAAAAAACATACGTATATAATAAGTTATAGTAATAATACTAACACCATCCATAACTTGGAAGGTACAACAATAGCAATACTTGTGGGAAAAAACATTGCCAGTAGTATCAGCTAAACATAGTGACAACTATATAAACATAGAAATATGGAAGTGCCAAAAGCATCATAACAGTAGTAACAAATCCACATAAGCCAGCTTTACCCACACATCCTACACTCTCTGGCACAAGTGGCCAGAAACTCCCAGCCTGGAACTCCATATGCGTAGTAGTCCAGTTGTGGACCAGCCCCCTGCACAAGGGCGGAGGGTCACCCATAGTCATCATTATGGCATGGCTACCGGGTATATCAAGTGATGATAATGATTCTACCATTATCACTGATGATTATTATGATTATTATGATAATATTATAGTGATGATGATATAAGGTATGATTATTATTGTTGTTTGGTTCATGATGAGTCATCATATGTCATCATGTAATTGCAATCATATGCTATGAGATAATGAATGATAATGATATCTGCTTCAGGAGCCTGGTTAGCTGCAGTCCCATCCTCCGGGATTCCCGCCTTGTGCCACAGAAGCATGGTCGCAATCCACACCACTGCGAAGTATTGGAGCGTGTTGCCCCACCAAACTCCGGCTCCCCAAGGGCCAGTCGCAATGCGACCTTTGCGAATCCACCATCTGGGGTCACTTTGATCATCTTGAAACACCATATTCCTAAATGACAAATCCATAAATGATGGACACCAAAGCCGTTCGAAGCCGAATGCCACCACAAGTACTTTCACAGGATTTTGATGAATGTTGCAAGGAATGAATTTGGCTCCTGGCTTTTCTGAACCGCTGGCGGAAACCAAAAAACCAAGCCCCTCACGCACCAACTTTGTAATGGCTGGCCTCGCCTCAAAGACATTCGCTTCACTCTGTCAGCTGCAACATGGTGAGTACCCCTACATCTTCCATTTTATTTTCGGATCTTCCATTGTAACCCCTCCAGCTATTGGGAATCCCCACTATGGAAACCCCCACAGTCTCAGACTCCGACAGCCAGGGGATAGAAGGCTGGATCAAAAGCACCAATCCAAGTCCAAACCTCACGGACCATGCCATATTTCAGAGAATGATCGCATTGGGCACCCCAGCTCATCATGTTTCTAAAGAAATGCTGTAGATGTTTTTTTTCCCTATGTTGCATCGTATGATCTTTGAGTCTTAGCGGTCATCTCCCCCTTAGTACTAGTTCTGTGAAAGGATTACCAACGGGCCCCAATTTGGTCATGTTTTTTTGACCACCCATTTTTTTTGCTCTGACAGTCGCAACAATCATAATAATAGTAGTAAAGAAACCAATCGCAGCAACCATACTGGTTAGTAATAGTAGTTCATAAGTTGAAATAATCACAATGGTTCGTAATAAACACAACTTGTAGTAAATATAGTCATTTATAGTCAGACTAATACCACTATCAATAGTATGAAATGTATGAAACAACACCAAGTCATAGTTTTAACCAAAAAGCCTCATCAAATCAATAAATCCTGACAATAGCCATTGTGAATAACCATCATTGTATGTCATTATGCTTGATAATCCAATGATCAAAATTATAACGGTAATGATCACTCGAAACAGCACAATCTAATGGATCATTTATAGTACTGGTAACCTGGTAATGGATCATTGATCATAATTTTGATAATGTACAAGTAATTAGTCAAATTCCAATCGTAAGGATCAATTTATAGTATTGTGTGAAATCCAGTCACAAACCATCCCCAAGTCATCACCATTTTGATGGGTGGTTAAGGTTATCATCCCCAGTCATGGTAATTGTTTATGGCCTTGGGTTGCCCACATTCATGGTCTTTAATGATTTTCACTGATAGTGCTATGAATTGATCATTACTATTGGATAAACCCATCATACCCATCATTACTATTAAGCTTTTTCCATAATCATCCAGAATTCATAGTAATTCATAATAATAGTCATGATAAGTATGATAGTTTCTCATAATTATCATACCGTTAATTCTTCCTGGATAAAGTCATAATTTATTTCATTCCAGGGGTAAACCGTTATATTTAAACACCCCTATAACTTTGCACTCCCAAAGCACACCCAAACCATGTCCGAGTAACATCCTGCCAGTAGGTCCACCCTTTGGAAGACCTGCACCAGCTGTGGTTAGTAATCTTTGCAAGGTAAACTATAGATGATTATAAACATACTAATTATATATATATAGACAGTCTAGGCACTCTAGATATTCAGTAGATAATTAGATAATGACATGACTTAACTTAAACCTATAATCTTTAAAACGATATCGGTGGTATAAACCATCCAAAATCAAATGTTTATTGTTGGGTGTACCACATGATGTAATTTATATAGAGGCATCATCCTTTGCATACATGCACCAATGCAGAAATGATCGATGTGATGTTTTTGTTTGTGAATGTGCGCAGGTATTATGTGTACATTGGAATATAGGGATGAGCTGCGATAGCAAGTGTTGGCAAGTATATCCTCGCAACATCATGGCAACATCATGGCAACTACTAATAGTTACACAATTTGACAAAATTCATCGTTCTCTCCGCCTCTCACAGCGGCTTTGGCCACCTTGCCAACTCACCAAGCAGGTTTCTCCTGCGGTGAGTCGATCGGATCAAAGGGGTCTCCCCGGGGACCCCTTAAGGCGTCAGCTGGCCTGCCGTGCGGAACTTGAGTGTGGAATTGGGCAAATTCCTCAGTCCAATGCGAATTCGAATGGCAAAAGTGCATGAATTCCAATCCACCTCAGTCCAGTCATATTATATCATATTAGCTACACCCTTAGAAACTTAGAAACAATAGATAACCATAGCATAGTATGGGATCTATTCATTTTCCCGGGCCCAGTCATGAGGGGTATTGATGACAACTGAGGCTGGCACCCATCCTCACATGTACCACAACTTGATGTGATGACCTTGTACTTGCAGGATGTCTGCCCACAAGGGGGAAAACTGGGTCTGTCTGAAAACTGGGGTATCCCATGAAAAATAGCAAATGCAATGATTAAATATGATTTTATGATGATAAATCATCGGATTTTGCCCATTTCAAACACCCCCACATCCCAAAGAAGCAAGTTTGTCCAAGTTTAGGTGAAAGCATCCGACGCCAAGGGAGTGAGCGAACATTCTGACCGGAAAAGTCCTGGTGTGGTTCAGACAATCTATGGCATTCTGGTTGCACAAGAAACCTCAATCCACAACATTCCACTTTGCCTCTCCAAACGGACAACCTCAGCTCAACTGTCGTGACAAGGCAAAGGATGTGCACACAATGGATCTAGCAGTCAAAAGAAACAGTGCAACCCCGAAGGAACCACCGCACTACTTGGTTTCTGCAAGCATAAACGCGACTTTTTCCACCTTGGGCCTAGCAAATCAATGCCGCACTACCTGCGCAGGTAGGCCAAATAATCCACAACAGCGGACTCAAACGAAAATCCCATGGTTGATCATCATGTCCCCTGTTTCTCAATGCCCATATGCACTCTACACACACATACACATATGCACATATACAATACACACACACATACACGCACATACACACACATATATATATATGATACATATATCCACATTGCATCCCAGTTCTAGACAACCCCAAATGTCTTGACTTGACTTTTGACCGCCTGGCAGTATCATCTTGAATGGATAAACTCATTAAAACATGGTATTGACGTGCCTGCTGGCGGGTGATGTGGGTGTAGACGATGATCCGGAGAGTTTCCGATTAAATTTCACCTCAGTGCCCAGCATTCTTACTCTGGTAGATCTCTGTAGTAAATCCAACAAACACAACCAACCAAAACAAGTTCTTCCGTTTCGTGCTAGCTCGGAGTCTTCATAAACCTCAAGCCATTTAGAGCTTGAAGAAGTGGCCTTACCGTAGATATCCGTTGACATAACACGACATCGATGCCCTACGGTCCTGCGGCTGGGTCACATTGGGCTTGTTCTGCTGAACTTTCCGTCTCAACTTTTGACCAGTAGCCAGGAAGTGCCAGCATGCTGCAAACTCTTCCCCGAGGCATCACAGATTTGGGAAACTCTGAGACGAAGGGACATGAATCCATCATTAAATCTAAATCATTCCTATCATTTGAACTGAATTGATACCAAGCTGCGAAAAGTTTTTCCACCAACCTTGGCTTTCTGTTCAGCTGTCATCCATCATCCTTCTGTACACATGGATGCGTCATCATTTTCCTCATCTTTAAATTGCCATGATCTTTTCGCACAATATGGCTAAATCATGCTAACTCCCACATTTTTGGCCAAGCCCAAATCCATGAAATCCATTGAAATCCTTTTTCAATACTTAAATTATCATAAAACTCTATTTCTGCAGGCAAACTCTTTGTTTTTGCTGGTAACCACTTCCATTTTTGCTGGCCAACTCCAGCATTTCTGCAACCAGGGGGCTCTCCTTCGGTGGCACAGAGTCAGGGTGTGGCATGAAGGCCACGCGCTTGGGATGCACACGCAGGTGCCCGTTCAAGTCGGTGGCCAGCAAGATCATCGCGGCATCCTGAGATCATCCCAGCTGATGAGCAAGTGGGGCTACTTCACCGGAAAAAAAAACATGGGAGGAATCCAGGAATCGAGGAGATGAGATAAGGATGTATAAGGAATTACGATCACCTCTCTCTCTCTCTATATATATATAACTTATATATATATATATATCCTCCAAGTTCGATTGAACAGGACTAATACTTTTAATACGTCATGAGGGGTCACTCCAGGGACTTATAGTTACCACCTTTACTTGGAGGATTTAAGGCTATTCACCAGTCATTAAGTTGGACGCTCCAAGATGGGAATGATGAAAATCATGGCCACTATATTTGGCTCATTTCCAGCCCCCTGCAGGCCCTGCATCTCGCTTGTTGGGAGCAAGTCGGTCAAAGAATCTGGGGAGATGGGGGATATTTTTTCGGATATTGATGGGGATATGGAGATTTATGGGATCTATAATCAACATGAACCAACAAAAAGAGATGTTTGGGTGAAAATACCCTCTGGTAATTTGGTGCAGTTTAGTATGGAAGCCATGATGGCCCAAATTACCAGCGGCTACTTGGGTTCAATGTTTGAACATGGGGGGTACCCCTAAAATGAATCCATTTAAGGCTACTTAGATAGGGAAAATTATGTTTAACCGGTCGGCTTGCAGCTCAAACTCCATTTCGAACAAAGCGCCTTCAAGTGTGCATGAACATGGAATATCTATTATAGTCTACTTCCCGCATGGTCGAGTCACCTTCGCACTTGTGTTCAGTATTGAGATTATCATGCTATTCAACCAGTTGATCCAATTTCATCCCAATTTCATGCCAATTTCTGGGTTTCCATTCTTGTCCATTGAATTTGAGCCATCACTAACATGCTGCAGCACAGCTTCATTGTGGGAGGCTTCACCGTCATCCAGCAAATAATTGCCTCAGCGCAGCAAAACGTGCCTTTTTTTTGACCAACCCCACTCCAGCAATCAACTGCTTCTGTTGGGGGCAAGAATTACCCTCCAACAATCAAAAATCGCAATGGACAGTTGGCAATGGACAATCAACCATTTATAGATTATTTTCCCACTAAAGCCTTCATTGAGAGGAGAATTCCCAGCCAGCCATGTTTGATTCCATTTTGGAGTGATAGTCTCGAACTCTGCCACTTAAACTTTGTCACTTGGTGTCGCCCACGTCTGATTGTTGTGAAGAACAGAAAGCACACTCTCTCTCTCCATCGCCATCTCCAACAGAAAGCATAGTAGTAGGTTGCACTCATAATGTCTGTTTCGTAAAGATTAGAGGGGCCGCGTTGGATGCGTTGGTATATCATCTATCATTCTTTATCATCTTTTATCTATTCAGGGGGGTACACCCCTCCATCAACCCAATGGCACACGACTCAGCTTTCACAGCGCCATGCTGAGGACGCAGGTCAAATTAGCCCGCGGTTGGTGTTCAGATAACATCAGCAAAGGAGCGAGCTGAGAAAAGGGTAATCAAATGGCCTCCGTGCATGACCTGAACCATTCGCATTCTGAGTTTTGCCCGACAGATTCTGAAAGTGCAGAAAAGATGATAAGAGTGGTACAGTAGCTGCCTGAAAAGTTACTTTTCCCCCAACCTCTGGCCCCAGACCATGATTTTCGGATACTTTCCGAGCTTAGACATGTTGAAAATCCATGGGCATGTCAATTTTCCATCTTCATATTGTCCCGCAGGCCTTGTAGCCTTGCCTCACGAACTGATGTGAGCGAATGACAAGATCAATGCCTTCGCGCATGCAGAAGGTCCTCAAAATCATCGCAGCAGTGCTGAACGCTCTCTGGCTCGGGATTGCAGGTACAAGTTGCTTTGACTTCCACACGTCCGGCTGAAGATGCATAAACAACAATGTTTTGAACACAACCGTGCCAAATGCTCAAAGCTAGGTGCTGTGTGATGTCTGGGCCAAACTGATGTATTCCTGCTCCTTCTCCTCGTTCCTGGACACGGCTGTCAGTGTTGCCGTGTCAATTGGACATCAAACAGTGCTAGCCTCGTTGGAATGAACGCCCCGGGACATGGTGTTGTCTGAATCCTGAGTCCGGAGAAATGGTCGATTGATGCATGTTTCCCTTCCGTGCATCTTGGCTCAAAAGATGAGGTGCTGACCTGTCCCAATTCAACATGATCACACGCACAAATATGTGTATATATATATATATATATTGTATGTAATTACATATATATATATAACATTCTATATTATATTATATATATATTATATCTTGCATATCATATACTATATAAAAAGTGTAGATATGTAATATAGCCATATATAGCCTGGAGTGCATGGGAGATCTCAGTTTCTGACACTTGGATCGGACCACAAGGCATTGAGCGCATGATCGCAGTCCAACTCCTGCGACGACGATTTCGATGTGGCCCCGATTCCGATGGTCGGATCGGATCTCCCGACGACCCATCGCCTGCATGGGACGTTTCAACTCCTCCAGATCGCGCAAACCCCAAGTGCCGTCCCCTGCGGATGTTGGGGATGGAGAGATATCATCTGTGAGACATCAAACATGATATATACTATATACACATATATGATAATATATGTATATACTGTATATATGTATAATGAGATATAATGGGGATATATATCTACAGTCAGCAACAATATGACATGAGTTCGTCTTAAAATGAGGGATTTTGCAACCCGAGGATGATGCGCCATGGAAATCCAGAGTTCTCATTTGAGACTCTCCCTACATGAATGAAACATGGATCAAGAATCTTCCAATAAATAAATATATATATATATACCCTCCAGTAAATTAACATAGACCCCTGCCAGATAGGGGTTTAGTCAGACTAGTTTCCACATCAAACATGGGAAATTTTCAGGGTCCAACTCTTAATTTACCAGAGGCTAAATATTAACATCATCGTGGCTCATCGGCTCCATCCCTCATCAAGCATGACACATGAATCATCAACAGCCAAGGTCGTGAACAACTAATGAGCCAACGTGCCGTCGAGCCAATGAGCCAGTGAACTATCAAACTATCAAACCACCATAACAGATAAACACTGGTCATCACTGAGAATAACTATCACCATCATCATGATCAATATCAATCATCAATTGTCAATGATCAACATCAACCATCCAAATCATCAACGATTTTACTCATAATTCATCAGAACTCATAATGCATCGTAAATCTGATAACTCAGCCTAATTCATCATAAAGCAATAAAACATAATAAAACATCAAACATCATCGCACCAAAACATCAGAAATTACACTTAACCATCAATCATCATAACTCATCATACAGCATTATCACTCATCATAACTCATCACACAACATTAATTATCAATGGTCATCAAAAAGGTTTGTCTGAAAATATGGTACCTCTTTGTCTCCATTGGTTAGTCATCATTTTCTCCATTCAATAGCCATTTAGCTTAGGTATAATGGTGGTAACGCAATCATAAATCATGCCAAATTTCATCATAAATAGGTGGCATAACCCATTCCCAGTCATGGTAGTTGTTTATGACATCTGGTTGGTGGTTTGAACCCCTCTGAAAAATATGAAAGTCAGTTGGGATGATTCTTCCCAACATATGGAAAAATAAAAAAGTCATGTTCCAAACCACCAATCAGACATTGTTTTTCCCACACTAACCACTATTAACATCTATTGACCACTATGAACCATTATTAATATCTATTAACCACTATTAACGAGTATTGGGATGGATTATATACATCCACTATTAAACCACATGTTCAGAACCATTTCCATCCAGATCCATCGGCCTAAACCTCCGTGTAGGACTAAGACCTTGCCCGCGACCACCGCCCCAAGTGGCATCCAGTCAAAGGCCGAATGCACGGCATCAAAGACCTGGGCCGTTGATCCAAACGGAAACCTGTTGGAACTGGGTAACCTGACCTAATGAAAACACCATTAGTAGGATATGATATGGGAAAATCTGATGGAAGAATTGGTTGGCAAATAGTTAAAGAGTTAAAGATGTGATTTTGGTTCTCCTCAACCCATATTCTGTTTATATCGAAGTTGCATTCAATATTATGAAATTCCTGTTGGTGGCTGCTAGGGGTTTGCAGCCACTGACAGTGGATTGATGGGAATTTCAAGCGACTTTCAGGGTGGCTTGGCACTGGCCCATATACTAAATGGGGCTAGAAGCAGCAAAATCATGAACCATGAGAGACTGCCAGAAATTGGAGGAAATCTCTCTCAACCCATGATTTTGGATGATTTATCGACCTCAAGCTTTACTCTCTGGTTATTTTAGCGTGGCTATGGAAAATAACCATTTATTAATATCAGGCAAACCATCATGAATCACCAACGAATCAGCTATTCCACAGCTATGTTTAACAACCAGAAGGTAGACCACAAAAACGGCTTGCAGCTTGAGAGACTGATCTCCATCGTTTCTTCATGCGGGACTGGCAGTGATGCCTCAGCGGGATCATCATGATCATCACTCCACTGTAGAAGTTAGATCATTACACTAACATAGACCCGGGCAAGCCGGCGGCGGAAGTTTCCCAAACATAAATGACCTATAGTTCAAAGACTCCCTGTCCCGACCGTGTCCTTCCCTCGACACTCCACACCTCACACCTCACACTGCACACTGCACTCTTCGCACTCCAAACTTCACACTTCACTCCACACTTCACACTGCACACTTCACACTTCACAGTCCACACTTCACACTTCACACTTCACAGTCCACACTTCACACTTCACACTTCACAGTCCACACTTCTCACTTCGCACTTCAGACTTCACACTTCACACTCCACATTTCACACTTCTCACTTCTCACTGCTTCCTTCACACTCCAAACTTCACACTTCACACTTCTCACTTCGCACTTCACACTCCACACTTCACAGTCCACACTTCACACTTCTCACTTCACACTTCTCACTTCTCACTGCTTCCTTCACACTCCAAACTTCACACTTCTCACTTCGCACTTCACACTCCACACTTCACAGTCCACACTTTACACTTCTCACTTCTCACTGCTTCCTTCCCACTCCAACCTTCACACTCCAAACTTCACACTTCACACTTCTCACTTCGCACTTCACACCCCACACTTCACTCACACTTCACACTTCACAGTCCACACTTCACACTTCTCACTGCTTCCTTCACACTCCAAACCTCACACTTCACACTTCACACTGCGCTCTTCGCACTCCACACTGCACAGTCCACACTTCACACTTCTCACTTCACACTTCTCACTGCTTCCTTCGCACTCCAAACTTCACACTTCTCACTTCGCACTTCACACTCCACACTTCACAGTCCACACTTCACACTTCTCACTTCTCACTGCTTCCTTCCCACTCCAAACTTCACACTCCAAACTTCACACTTCACACTTCTCACTTCGCACTTCACACTCACACTCACACTTCACACTTCTCACTTCTCACTGCTTCCTTCACACTCCAAACCTCACACTTCACACTTCACACTGCGCTCTTCGCACTCCAAACTGAAACTTCACACTCCACACTTCCCACTTCCCACTGCTTCCTTCACACTTCACACTTCACACTGCACTCTTCACGCCCCACACTTCCACTTCACACTGCTCTAAACGTACGTCCAACAAAAAAAACACGAGTGCCAAAATGGAGAAAATCTGCTAACAAACCCATTTCGCAGCCTTCATGCAGCCACTCCAAGACGATTTCCGAGATCCAGCTGCAAAAGACAATAGTATTACGAGTGCAGCCACAGCACGAAGCAACCTTGACGCAGCCATTATACAATGCGATCTGCAGAGATTGAGTTCCAAAACACAATAGAACTACGCGCAACGGCGTCGGAAATTGTAGCTCCAAAACCGGATCTCGACGCCAGAGCGAAAAAAAGACGATTTTGAAGCACTTTTTAAAAGGATTTTTAGAAGGAAAATCACTAGTGCCAAAATGGAGAAAATTTGCTAACAAACCCATTTCGCAGCCTTCATGCAGCCACTCCAATACGATTTACGAGATCCAGCTGCAAAAGACAATAGTATTACGAATGCAGCCACAGCACGCAGCAACCTTGACGCAGCCATTACAATGCGATCTGCTGAGATTGAGTTCCAAAACACAATAGAACTACGCGCAACGGCGTCGGAAATTGTAGCTCCAAAACCGGATCTCGACGCCAGAGCGAAAAAAAGACGATTTTGAAGCACTTTTTAAAAGGTTTTTTAGAAGGAAAATCACTAGCGCCAAAATGGAGAAAATCTGCGAACAAATCCATGTCGCAGCCTTCATGCAGCCACTCCAATACGATTTACGAGATCGAGCTGCAAAAAACAATAGTATGACAAATGCAGCCACAGCACGAAGCAACCTTGACGCAGCCATTACAATGCGATCTGCAGAGACTGAGTTGCAAAACGCAATAGAACTACGCGCAACAGCGTCAGAAATTGTAGCTCCAAAACCGGATCTCGACGCTAGAGCGAAAAAAAGACGATTTTGAAGCATTTTTTAAAAGGATTTTTAGAAGGAAAATCACTAGCGCCAAAATGGAGAAAATCTGCTGACAAATCACTGTGGCAGCCTTCATGCAGCCACTCCAATACGATTTACGAAGTCCAGCTGCAAAAGACAATAGTATTACGAATGCAGCCACAGCACGAAGCAACCTTGACGCAGCCATTTACACTGCGGGAACGATCCTACAGTTGCAAATCACAATGCAATTCCATCAGCAACTCGTCCACCAGCAACACTTGCAACCCCATTTACAATGCGGGAACGATCCTACAGTTGCAAATCACAATGGAATTCTGTCGACCACACATGCACGAAACACAGGTGACACCCCATTTACAATGCGGAACCGATCCGAGACCGATCCGAGCATGATCCGAGGATGATCCGACCACACACGAGACCGTCTCGCACCCGTCGCACAGCAGAGGTAGATCATCGAGGTTCGGGGACGGACTTTGTATGGAAAAACATAGGGTTTCGTGCATCTGCTATCTCTCAAAAACGCATTTCGTGCGAGACTTCTTCCAAAACTCCATCGGCAACTCCTCCACCAGCACCACTTGCAATCCCATTTACAGTGAGGGAACGATCCTAGAGTTGCAAATCACAATGCAATTCCATCAGCAACTCATCCACCAGCACCACTTGCATCCCATTTACAATGCGGGAACGATCCGACAGTTGCAAATCACAATGGAATTCTGTCGACCACACATGCACGAAAAACAGTTGAAACCCCATTTACAATGCGGAACCGATCCGACCATGATCCGAGAATATCCGCCCATGATCCGACCACACACGAGACCGTCTCGCAACCGTCGCACCGCAGAGGTAGATCATCGAGGTTCGGGGACGGACTTTGTATGGAAAAACATAGGGTTTCGTGCATCTGCTATCTCTCAAAAACGCATTTCGTGCGAGACTTTCTGCAAAACTCCATCGGCAACTCCTCCACCAGCACCACTTGCAATCCCATTTACAGTGAGGGAACGATCCTAGAGTCGCAAATCACAATGGAATTCCATCGGCAACTCATCCACCAGCACCACTTGCAACCCCATTTACAATGCGGGAACGATCCTACAGTTGCAAATCAAAATGGAATTCTGTCGACCACACATGCACGAAAAACAGTTGAAACCCCATTTACAATGCGGAACCGATCCGAGACCGATCCGAGACCAATCCGAGGATGATCCGAGGATGATCCGACCACACACGAGACCGTCTCGCACCCGTCGCACCGCAGAGGTAGATCATCGAGGTTCGGGGACGGACTTTGTATGGAAAAACATAGGGTTTCGTGCATCTGCTATCTCTCAAAAATGCATTTCGTGCGAGACTTCCTTCAAAACTCCATCGGCAACTCCTCCACCAGCACCACTTGCAATCCCATTTACAGTGAGGGAACGATCCTAGAGTTGCAAATCACAATGGAATTCCATCGGCAACTCATCCACCAGCACCACTTGCAACCCCATTTACAATGCGGGAACGATCCTACAGTTGCAAATCACAATGGAATTCTGTCGACCACAAATGCACGAAACACAGGTGACACCCCATTTACAATGCGGAACCGATCCGAGACCGATCCGAGCATGATCCGAGGATGATCCGACCACACACGAGACCGTCTCGCACCCGTCGCACAGCAGAGGTAGATCATCGACGTTCGTGGACGCACTTTGTATGGAAAAACATAGGCTTTCGTGCATCTGCTATCTCTCAAAAACGCATTTCGTGCGAGACTTCCTCCAAAACTCCATCGGCAACTCCTCCACCAGCACCACTTGCAATGCCATTTACAGTGAGGGAACAATTTCTTTGCTAACTCTTTCTGTGACTAACTCTTTTCCTCACTAACTCTTTCTTTGACTAACTTGTTTCTTTGCAAACTCTTTCTTTGACTACCTCATATATCCTGACTAACTCTTTCTTTGACTGACTCTTTCCCTCACTAACTCTTTCTTTGACTAACTCTTTCTTTGACTAACTCTTTCCCTGACGAACTCTTTCTTTGCTAACTCTTTCTGTGACTAACTCTTTCCCTCACTAACTCTTTCTTTGACTAACTCTTTCCCTGACTAACTGTTTCTTTGCTAACTCTTTCTTTGACTAACTCTTTCTTTGACTAACTCTTTCCCTCACTAACTCTTTCTTTGACTAACTCTTTCCCTCACTAACTCTTTCTTTGACTAACTCTTTCCCTGACTAACTGTTTCTTTGCTAACTCTTTCCCTCACTAACTCTTTCCCTCACTAACTCTTTCCCTGACTAACTCTTTCTTTGCTAACTCTTTCTTTGACTAACTCTTTCCCTCACTAACTCTTTCTTTGCCTAACTCTTTCCCTCACTAACTCTTGGTTTGACTAACTCTTTCCCTGACGAACTCTTTCTTCGACTAACTCTTTCCCTCACTAACTCTTGGTTTGACTAACTCTTTCCCTGACGAACTCTTTCTTTGCTAACTCTTTCTTGGACTAACTCTTTCCCTCACTAACTCTTGGTTTGACTAACTCTTTCCCTGACGAACTCTTTCTTTGCTAACTCTTTCTTTGACTAACTCTTTCCCTGACATTCTAAAAGTCCGTAACACGGAAGTTTCTCCCCCTAAACTTCCTTTGACCATACCTTACATTACATTATCTCACCATAGGATTGCATTGCACTACACATCACTACACGTCCAGCAGTTCATTCATTTATCTATGATTATCAATATATATATATATATGTATGTATGTATGTATGTATGTATGTATGTATGTGGATATGTACGTATAATCATACATCTCATATGTAGTGTGGTACACAGATATAGACACATAATGACACATGCATACATAAATGAGGGACATCGCCAACAAGCCTACAATCTGGATGTTGGTTTTTGACAACATCTGAGGCAACCACAGGAAGCCGAGCTCGCCCATATTTTCACTCATGTCACGGAACTCGTGGTTCCCTCGCACCAAGTACACCTGCAGAGCAGAATCACACGGTAAAAGACATGTCTGGTAGCCTCACCTGGCAATGATCTACGCAGAAAAATGATATTTCCAGTGGATATCTGCCATTGCACCGCCATTTCACCCTTCAGGCTATCAGAGAAACGGGTCGTTTTGCCGACGTTTTTCAGCCGTTGTCCACCTGCATGGGATACACCACATGCAGTGAGAATAGCAATGCCACCACTTCTAACCTCGGCAAACGGGACACAGGATGCCATGGGATGACATGGGATGTCCTAAGGACCGGGCTGATGCTCCCCGCGGTCAACAAAGTCTCCATTGAAGACCTGCCAGGTGGGGTCCGAAAGCCAAGCCATGATGCCTGGGTTGGCTGGATTTGTGGCCGAGCCGCATAGGATGTTGTCTGAATGTCACCACCACCTGGGCTACAAACATGGCGTGCATCTGGGCTACAAACACAACCATGGCCGTACTTTGCCACTAGTGCTTCTGAGCGGCAGTGATATGGCATTCCTGAGGGCCGGGCAACCAAGCTTGACCACATGACGTTACAAATTCTGGTAAATCCGCACGTCACATCATCAAACCATATAACACGCAGTAAATCCAGTGCTGCTTCTGTGAAAAATAATGGGCCGATGGTTTTCCTCTATTTTCCAGTGCCAGGATAGAGAATCAAATCGCATCTATGACATTTAGACCTTTCCAGACCTTTCCAGATCTTTCCAGATCTGAGATTCCAAAGAGACCAAAGAGCAACAACACATCCCGAAGTTGTCCGTGGATATCTCCAAAGACCTGACGGTCAATGGGTGGATCATACCAGGATTGGTTAGATGTAGCAGTTTAACCTGGCCCAAACATGCAAACACACACGCATGTAATGTGATGTGATGTGATGTAATGCAATGTAATGTAATGCAGGACAATGGGCAATGCATGCATGCACGTATATATATATATACATGAAGGTTTCGGCTAGCAGCAGTAGGGGCCCCACAAACCCGCTGCTGCGTTTCGGTGACCTTAGCGGGACATTGCTGCGAGTCCCGCGGGCTGGTAAGCCATTGCGCTTTGCTGGCCTTGCACTACGAAACGTGCTCTGCTGATTTTGGCCAAATCAGCATCACCGCTTCCTCATCGGCCCAAGTTCTACGACTTGGAGATCGGGCTTGAGCACCTGGTGGATGCACTACGTGTTCAACTTCCTCTTCGTGATCCTCTTCTTCCTTGGCTACGGCGTCACTGACCCAAAGGAGGCGATCCAGGCGGCAGAGGGCAAGGGCACGGCTTTTGTGGCACTATCACAAAGCAGGTCAGACATTGTCCTCAGCGAAACTGGAGCGAGCATATCGGGTTCTGCAACAGCATCACTCAAAAGACCCGACATTTCTTGCTTGCCTTCAAAGAGCAATGACGTCAGCAGCCATCAAAGAGCCCTGGCGATGCAAGTATTGCCTTCGTCTGAACAAGCAGAAGGCACTACGTTGCGGCACGTGCGACACTGTGTGGCAACATTGCTACGACAGCTACTATGTCCACAACCAGAGTGCACAGCGTCAGGTGGCCTGGAACTACACAGGATGGACAGAGGAGGAAGACAAATCCTGGGATTATGCAGCCAGATCTTCCAAATCGCCCAGAAGAAAAACAGGGAAGTCACCCAGACGACCCAAAAAGGACAAGGAGAACTCTACAGTGCCAGATTTCGACCCACCATGGAATGCCAAGGGACAGCACAACGCACCCATGGTTGCGCAGACCGACAGTGCTGCGTCATCAGGGCAGGCCGAACATCAGCTGCAGAGCCTTGTTTCCAAGTTGAAGGAGAAAGAGGCGCCACTGAGTCCGGAAGAAGTGGAGCAAATCATTGCAGAGACCACCACCACGACAGTGACGTCCAAGAACATGAATCAGGCGGCAAGGAAGCTAGATCAAGCTCGAGAACGTTTCCAAGGCGCTCAAAAGGAAAGACGCAACCTACACAGCAAGTGGACTTCGTACATCGAAGAGAGTGTGAAGAGATGGAAAACCTTCGCGGAAGATTTCGCATCCAAAGATGCGGCACTGGAAGAGAAGGTCCAGAAGGCAAAAGAAGCCATGCAGACCGCGAAGGCCAACCTAGAGACGATCAAGGAGCTCCACTCGAAGCAAGACGAGGCCTTCCTCGGCGACGTCACGGAGGTGTTGTCGGAAGCCGAGGACGACAGCATGAAGGTGGAGTCCGCAGAAGCGATTCAAAAAGGACTTGCGTCAATGGTGAGCAGTTTGGATTCTATCAGAATCAAACCAGCCGACGAAGAGAACGCAGAAGCTGGGGTGGCCAAGAAGCCAAAATTGGCTCACACTGGACCTGGCTCTGCCTCTTTACAGCCTTTTGGCAAGCCGAGCAAGTAGACAGAATTGAGACTTGCTCTAGGCAGACCAGTGACCTGTGCTTCCAGGATAGCCAGCGCATTGAAGCGTCCCCAGCCATCTGGAATCACAGCATCCTTGAAGAAGAATGTTTCTTGAACCCATGGCATGCCAGCATTTGCGCGCTCGACCTCTCCTACGAAGTTGGGACATGGAGATCGTGCAGTACCTGGTTTTTGACTGAAGGTGCAAGAAAGCCAAGGCATCGTAGCATTACATTTTCCAACGATGTTGAACTCTTTGTGGGTCATGAGCTTGACATCGAAATGACGAAGTGTGCTTCCCTTCTTGAAGTGCCCACGTCAAGACATCCCATTTTTCAACCAGCAATTCATATGGCATCCACAGTTGAACCGGAAGAAGACGAAGAAGCTTCTTTCCTTGCAGTACATGCAGCTCATACGAGGGACTTTGAGCACGCTGACATCAACATGGATCCAGCCATTGCAAGAGACCCGCATGATCCAGAACCAGAAGATCTTGTGGATCAACATACAGATACAGAATCGTCATATGAGCCGTCCCTTGTTGCTCGCCCACCAAGGCGAGACCATGGGCGCTCGACCATGATCTATGCCATCGACATGGACGCCGTGGTCAGAGTGCTGGACTGGGATGACTATCATTTGATGCAGAATAGCATTGCAGCAGCTGTGCATGTGGACGTGGTAGACCTCCTGAATTTTCATCATGTGGAAACACAGCCACAAGACCTTAGAAGAGCCAATGTCGAAGCGGTCATTGCGCATCGAGTACATGATGTTCAACCAGGAGATCAGCGGCCACTTGTATTGCTTGACGTCGAGTTTCACTCGAACAACCCACAACACCCGCCTGAGACGGTGCGGAAGGTCCACAAAATCTCAGACATGATCAGTCGACAGCGACTTCTGGAAGTCCTAGGGCTGCAACCCTTTTGCAGACGCAGTCGCAACAGATGTCTCCTATGGGTCAATGATGCACTGATTCCTCTGCGATCCAAGCTGATTCACCTGCAGGATGGCGACTATGTTAGAGTCGCCATCCCACCTGGAGGTCCACGCATCGACCACATCGCAACCAGATGCCTAGCTAGTGCATTTAGCCAGGGATATACAGTGAGCGAGATCCTTGAGAGGCACACCCTCTACTTGCTGGGCTGGTACGACACCATCATTGGACCGCCTCATGTACCGCTTCCATTTTACCAAGATGACAGCGATGTCCATACCCTTTTCCAGCATGCACATGCACAGCACATTCCTGAGCTTGACCAAGGACTGCCAGAACTTTGCAACTGGCATGTTTGGGGACAAGAACAAATAGCTGCAGTGAGTGCACGCCTGGAAGATGAAGATGAACCTCTATCTGAATCGCCCAGACTCAGCCATTGGCATCGCAGAGCACAAGATCATGATGAGAATGACATTGAGCGACAGCCACCCATTGTTCAAGAACTTTTCATGACCATGGCGCACTTTGCTGCCAACAATCCCCCAGAAGATGAAGGAGAGCTCGTAGTTCACACATGGTATCTTGATGGCCACAGACACCTGAAATGTGATACTCCACGGGACCTAACTCTCAGACGTGATTTTTCTACATGGATGCGACAGATCCTTGAAGTATGGCAAGATCACATGGAGCCAAGTCAAGCAGTGCAGATTTTCCTTGTGCGTCCTTCTCCACCATTGACACATCGCCAGCGAAGTCAAGCTGCACATTTGATTTTGGCACAACATCTACCGCTTGATGGTTTCGCGAACCTCTTCACCATCGTCACAGCAAGCAGTGAGGTCCTCCAGTTTGCAAAGTTTGCCCCTGCTATCATGCACAAGCACAATGTCGTGATCTCAGCAGAAACGGCAGAGGCATGCCTGCCAATTGTGAGGGACACCAGCTGCATGACTTGGCATGGTGACTTTGAAATCAGAGCGAGAGTGGCTATCAGAAATCGACATGGCCTTTCATTTCTTGTTATCATCAACAATGAGTTTGACCGGGCCGCGTCCAGTCTGACCAATCCCTGGGAAGAAGACCAACCTGATGCAGCCTCATTCTTGCAACGGCACACACACAAAATCGTCCTCAATCTGGATGCACTACTACCACAGAAAGTGGCTGTGCAACTTCTTGATGGCACTGGGACTAGACAACTCCCCACGCCGCTTGAAGTGGATGCCCCTGGCACCACCACTCAAGTTGCAGCAGAACTACAACTTTGGGGGCATCGCTGTCAAGTCTTTGCGAATGAGTATCAAGCCAGATTGCTGTGCATCCCAGAGCACACTGCCACCGAGGATGAGGACAGTGGACTGCATCATTATTGGTTCTGCCATGATGATCCGGATGACCCAGAAGGCACCTTTCTCCACAGTGCGATGCATGAGATGTCTGAGATTGAACTCATGAGTTTCCTATGCAGCCTGGGATATCCGAGAGCCGTCATTTTGGAGCAAAGACAACTCTGTGCAGGTTGGCACCAAATCAGCTTTCATCATCGGGAGCCTACAATGCCACAGAACATTGCCAAGGCCAAACAGCGCAGTCCCTGGCCGCCCAGAGGGTCTCAGACTCGAACATCTCAGCCACTTATCAAGCTCGAGGGTCAGACAGCAGAACGACCACACTGTAGCCTTGAAACAGGCTTTGATGAGGCTGATCTTCAAGAGCTCTTTGAGTCATCCAAACATATGCTGTGTACAAATTTTGACGTATTGAATTTACCACAGGAGCTCCACATGGCTATTCAGCAGTATCCAATCATTCAGTCCTTTGAGGTTTGTGACTTAGACCACTATGACCGCCTGCTCATCTTCACGGACGGCTCGTCGAAACCGAGCATGCGCATGCTTGAAGCACAACATGCGGATGAGAAAGGACACCCAGACACGTGGGCATTCATTGTCATAGCGGAGCGCTACATTGACCCCAAGGACTCAGAGATTGTGATCCTGGGATGGACGACACACCCAGTCAGGTACACTGAGCAGGGTGCCGCATTCATGGGCATTCAGCGCATCGGATCTGACATGGCCGAGCGCGCTGGACTTATCAGTGCAGCCATGTGGCGCCTCAGCCTCAACCACCAGATCCCTACTGTGATTTGTACGGATTCTGACACTGGTGGCAAACAAGCGTTTGGATTGATCGGTGTGCAAGTGCCTGACGAATCATACAAACTGATGCGCAGCTTGTACCAAGCCATCGAACTGGGGCTCCCCTATGGAGCTTTGGCCTTGCATCACACCAGATCCCACATGGGCGACTTGTTCAACGAAATAGCCGATCTGGCAGCGAAGCATGAGGCTGAGAAGTCCCTGAACTTGCCACGACAGCGATTAGACTTGAGCAGATGGAGAACAAAGTTTTGTGCCTTGTGGACCCTTTTTGGTCACAAAATT